GGAAAGAGGACTATTCGACAGCGGACACGATGCTCCAGTTCTTCAAGCAGCACGGGATCGCAGTCCGCGGCCACAACGTCCTGTGGAACGACCCTCAATACCAGCCCCAATGGGTGAAATCTCTCACGGGAGATGACCTTTACCAAGCCATGAGACAGAGGGTCAACTCTGTAGTGTCGAGATACCGAGGCCAGTTAATGGGGTGGGACGTCGTCAACGAGCAGCTTCCGTTCTCGTTCTTCGACAGCAGGCTGGGTCCCACAGCTCCTGGCGAGATATACAACCTGGCCCACGCCGCGGATTCAGGGGTGACGCTGTTTATGAACGAGTACAATACCTTGGAGGAACCGAACGATAAGTCCTGTTCTCCGGCAAGGTACCTGCAGAGGCTGAGGGATATTCAGTCGTATAAGGACAACAACGGGATACCTATGGGAATCGGGCTTGAATCTCACTTCAAATCTCCGAACATCCCTTACGTTAGGTCGGCTCTCGATACTCTTGCCGCGACTGGTTTGCCTATTTGGATCACTGAGCTCGACATCAATAGTTCTCCCGATAAGCAGGTACCTTACAAACTACCCCTGGTCGAAACTGTTTGGCAGATCCTGAGATGGTTCTTGTTTCTTGTTGCGCAAGAAACCTTTCTGAACCAAGTTCTTAGGATCCTCTGTTTTCTCGGGTTTTCTTTGCGTTTCCATTTGTAACGTCTTCTTAAACCCTTAACATACGTGTTCTTATTTCATTCTGCCTAAGGAACTGCATATTTTTTGCATTTAAAATGATATATTTTTCTCGGTTTTAATTTCGTTTCTTGTCGCCCAAGAAACCGGTCTGAAATCCAGTATCTTTTCCACTTGGGATGCTCTGTTTTTTCTGGGTTCCTCTCGTGTTTCCGTTTCTCGACCATTATACAAGTAGATCCGTCGACCGATGCATATACAGACCCTAATATCGATATCCATATCGTTTCTTTTTCGTCGTTTTTTCAGCCGCAGTATTTGGAACAAATCCTGAGAGAAGTTCACTCGCATCCGCAAGTGAAAGGAATAGTACTGTGGGCTGGGCTGGGGCCGACCGGCTGCTACCACATGTGCCTGACCGATGGAAACTACAAAAACTTGCCCACGGGAGACGTCGTGGATAAACTTATCGGGGAATGGGGTGGCTTCCGCAAACAAACAGTGGGTGTCGCCGACAGGGACGGCTTCTTCGAAGCCTCGCTCTTCCATGGCGACTATGAAGTCAAGATTTCGAAGCCTTTTGCGAGCCAGACAGCAGCAACTCACGTCTTCAAGCTGAGCTCCGAAGTGGAAACTAACTCCGACGTGTCGGGTGCTTTCGTGTTCCGCGTTTAAGTTTGGGTGATTGTTGTTTTCCGGTGATTGATTTTTGTTTTCGTTGTGAAATTTAATAAACGGAAAAAGCTACATTAAATAGTAACTTTTTTTTATATATATAAATAAGAATCAAGCTCTCTTTTATATTAAGCCATATCAACGTGAAGGGGTTTTTGTTTTAAATTTTAAAATTTAAAAAAAAAAAAATCAGACGATTCCCGACGTGTTGTGCTTCAGAGTCTTCATCTTCTCTCTGTCTGATCATCGTTCCTGCAAAATCAGAGCTCATACTTCACCGATTTCCTCTTCGCGACAAAACAAAAATGTGATTGTGGGAAGCTTTTCTAAATTGGCTGCGAAGGTAAAGTTTGTTTCTTTTTCGCTTCTTGATTTCTGGGCTTTCCCTAAAAGTGGACGAAAACGAAAAAGATTGTACCTTTCGATTTGAGTTTTTGGCTGTTTGGATTCTCGGAAAGTTCATAACAATCCGTAATCCCGAAAAAAGTTTGATTTTTGCTTTGGATCTCTCTGTGTTCTCCAACTCTCCAGGAGACCAGAACAAGCTTTACAGTAGTTCTCTTTGTTGCAGAGTCTGAACTGTTGCAGTTTGCATGGATTCAATCTCAGAAACTGGTCCGTACGTATACATTTGTACTGGATATTAGTGAGAAGCCGCAAATTTTATTTTTGACTTTCTGTTTCTATCCCCAAATTGTCAGGCTATGCCAATGATCATGTTGAAACTTGAACTGAGTAGCTGGTAATACCGGGTTCAACCGGTCGGTTTAAGCGCAGCTGTGCCGGTTCAGACAAACCTTTTCCTGTCTGAGACATTGGTTGAAGGTTGACATCTAAATCTGTCAGGCAGTTCTTGAATTAGATCTGCTTATCCATCGGTTTTGCGTGAATTTTGCTGGTAAGGTATTGGAGAATAGGGCCGGTATAGTCTGGTTTAGTGCGGTTCAATATGCGTTGAATTGGTATGAGGATTTTACTCGGCATCGCCTTTATTGCTCCGAGATTTTTCCAACTTTCTTCAATTTCATGTTTTCTAGTCTCTTTCTGAAGCAAGAGATGGAGCTTTCGCTTATCGGACCTCAAAATGCAGGGAAAACATCACTGGTTAATGTCGTTGCAGTAAGTCGATTTTACGCGTTCAAAGATCGATATCCTTTTATCATCATTGTAAGAATCGATCGACCCAAAAAAGCCTTAATCTTTTTTTCATTTTGATGTTTCTCTGACTCATTTTCTCCAACGGTGAGCCAAAGCGTTAAAACTATCACTACGAGGAAAAGATAGTGTCAGTTTGAGATCTAATTTTCTCGAGATTTTTCGGATGTGGATGATACAGGTAGGGTTCAACATGAGGAAGGTGACAAAAGGCGGAGTAACCACAAAGCTGTGGGATCTCGGGGGACAGCCGAGGCTTCGGAGTTCGGAGTATGTGGGAAAGATATTGCCGTGCAGTTTCAGCCATTGTGTATGTCTCCTTTCTTTTCTTTGTATACTTCGGTTCTTGCCTTGACCCTTTTTCTTGATCTCGCCAATGCTTTTTTCAGGTACGTAGTGGATGCAGCAGATCATGAGAATATAGGGGTGTCGGGAAGGGAGCTCCACGATCTGCTGAGCAAGTCATCTCTCACCTGGATTCCTTTACTCGTGCTCGGTAACAAGATCGACAATCCCTGGGCTCTATCCAAGCAAGATCTCACAGATCAAATGTAAGCAGGATGTCCTGATTCTGAGAGAAATCTTATTACATCATTTGCCGCCCAAAAAAACAAAACACTGGTTGGATGTTGCAGGGAACTGACAGAGATAGGGAACAGCAGAGAAGTGTTCTGCTTCATGATCTCTTGCAAGAACTGCTCCAACATCGACACTGTCATCGACTGGCTCTTCAAGCATTCTAAATCTATGGACTAAGCTCCCCTCTCTCTCTCTCTCTCTCTCTCTCTCTCTCTCTCTCTCTCTCTCTCTGTATAGTGTTGTGTATAAATTAAAGAATGTGAATTATGATGAGTTCGAAGACTCAGTAGCCATCAGTTGGGGTTTCAACCGTTGTGAATGCGTATGTCGTGTTTATACCTCATTTCATAGAGCAGCACACTTAATTAACAGTATGGTTAGTCCATGAATAATGGTTTCATGTATGATTCCATGCAACATGAGTGGGTTACGTTTCACGATGATCTCTTCTTCTATTACCATTGCCTCTCAGTATCTCAGAAGCGAGAACAACAAGCTCAACCATCTCGAACCCTGCAGCCGAAACAGAGTCTACTACTCCTTCACTGCTGTCCCCTGATGCTTCCGCGTCCGCCTCCGCTGACCAGCTTATCGGGATGGAGATCCCGAGGGCAGTTTTCAGACGGTTCGCCTCCATTATGATCTTGTTAATGGCTTCTCCATATCTCCCTATCGCCATTTCGGTATCCATTGACTCCTTTACCTATAAAATAGAGACCACCCAGAACATCAAGAACATAGATTCTATCGCGGGTAAAAATGTGGAAGAATCCCGTCGAAATTATTTCCCACTCTCAGTTACCGGAACAGTGATTCGTGTAAGATACTATACCTGTCCTTAGAAAATGTGGGCATATGTCTAGAACTAAACTCTAGTACTAACTTAACCAAAGAAGTAGGGCTGGACAAACGAAAAACCCCGAAATTCGGGTATCCGAGCAGTATATGAGATGAGATTGGGTTATACCGTGAAGAAAACCAAAATATCGAGCTCGTGTTCAGGTAATTAGGACAGATAACCTGAAAATCTAGAATACCCGACCCGTGTCCACCCCTACAAAGAAGCAAATTCTTGAGAAAAGAACATGCTTACCTTCAAGAGGGCGAGACGGAGTCTACGAACAGAGTTGGTCAAGTGCCCCATGCTTTCCAAACTCTCCTTAAAAGCTGCATATTCTATCTTCATTCTGCCGTACAAACAACATTTCAATATCAGACTGGAGTTAACGGTACGAATACCCGTTGCAACTACGATTTATTGTTTCCTACTTGCACGCATGTAGTAACCATTCTTTAATCCAATTCACACTTTAGTTCAAAAGTATCGACAAACCTGGCGTAATCTGCTTCACTGTATAAGTGAGCTCCGACTTCTCTTGAACTCGGTTCCATCACACCGATCCAGCGGTTTATATTTGTTTTCTTCAACAGATTCTTTAGTCTTCCCTCTTTCTCGTGAGTTATAATTCTTCTTTCGATGTTTTCGTGTTTCTCTTCCCCCCCTGTCTCAGCCATTTTCCTGTAAAGGAATATAGCATCTTTTAGAGGGAGTAGTTATTAGCTTTCTCTTTTGAACTTAGAAATCAGAAACCGAATGAGCATGCTAATGTTATACTGTTCGGTAGCTTTTCCGGCTCTGTAATCCGTTGGAAACTAATCTACACATTCGGAAGAGACGTGAATCCATCACTACTAGAATAGGCAACACAACACCTAATCTTATTTCTTCTCCAGTGTCCATAAAGAAATTTTTTAGATTGCTCTTTTGAGGTGACTAAATTACTAAATGATACAAGTTACTGAATGTACTTAATATCGATCTAAATTTCATGCATTGGAAGTATCCTAAGTTTAAGGAGAATTGCAAGACAGTAGCACCGTTATCTACTATTTACCATGTGGACAATCAACAAGAAAGGATACAAGGATAGCTGACGGGAAATATTACAAGTAGAGGAGGGACTAGGGAGACATACTCTTTCAATGATTGATATTCCTGTCTTAGCCGTGCTAACTCCAGAAGGACTCTCACCTTTTCGTTGGTCACCTGAATATAAGAACATTTCAAATTGATTCAGAACTAGCCATAGAAAGCAAGAACATTCGATTCTTTTCTATTCAATAGCTTAAAACAACTTAAACAAAACCAACCAAGACAAGAAATCAGACAAAAGAAATGAAGTAACAGGGCAAGTACCTGCAGGACATTCCTCTGGAGCTCTTCTACCTTTTTCTGGAGAGCTACATTCACATTTTTTTCGAGCAAATGCCTCTCTTCCTCCTGTGATAAAAGTAAAAGAGCTGCAACCTAGCAATGCATCAGAAAAGAGAAGAAAAACACATCATGACAAAGCAAAACTGATAGCTGAAACAATCAGTCATATACAATAGATACAATGTGGTTGTCAATTTTCTCAGATGACCATCTTATAAACTGTTTCCAGCACTGTAACTAGGATGAAGAACAAAAAGTTTTTAGCTTTTAACCACAAGAATATAAGAAATGTGAAGAACCTTCTCTTGCAATGCTTGTGTAAGGGCTTCATCAGATGCATCAACTTTATTTTCAGCTAACTCTTTTGGTAGAGCAGTCTCCCCAAGCTGCAACCAGAAGAGATACACTCTTATAACATAAGCCCAGACCAAAAGTGCAATAGCTAGTATGACTATCGAAATCCTAGATATTCTTATTATGTGATATCATTTCTGCTATAAGATACAGATTTTCAGCCCAAAAACATTGAGTAACTTCTACACAATGTTGGGAAATAATCGAAGATTCCATCGAAACCGGAAGTTAAAAACAACTAAAGACAAATGCATCAAGATAAGGTGAAATATAAAAATCTAAACAAGCTGAAAATATAGCACAAGCGAGAAAATTTGCATCAAAATGGTCAAGTAAACAGGCCTTTGTTATCTGGTCGGATTCAACAACTGTAGTCATGTGCACATCCCGACATTCATCTTCATTTGGCTTCACATCAGGTTGACGTGGCACCGAATCCTGTATCATTGCTGAAAGAAACTGACCGAACTTTTCTTCTAGTGTTTCAGAAAATGACCTTATGTGTTGTCCTTCCTCATTAAGCAAGTTCATGATGCATGCCCTTTGTTGAGAATGATAATGGCGTAAACCTGCAATGCCATTGAGAATCAACTTGTCTGCAAAAATCTGTATTGGAGTCAGTAACACTAAGACAATTAAAAGAAATAATCCCGAAATTTACAGAACAATAACAAATCAAAGTACTCACATTCTTCTTTTCCAACTCACGAACTTTCTTCTTCAAATGGTTCTCAATTTCTAAACCCTAGAACATAAAACATCAGCCATTTGTGAACGCTCAAAGGCTTCAAGTTGCAACCAATCAAATCACAGAACGAAAAATTTGGATCCATTATCCATACCACTCGTAATTTACTCTGAAGACTATCCACGGTGCTCTTAATCTTCCGTAGCTCCCCTTCCAAAGCAGCCTGTCTGAGGAAAGTTGTTCAAAATAGAATAGCAATAACAGTATCAAGGTAATAAACTGTCTAAGAGTACTTTGAGCCATACTAAGGACACATACAGAAGTATTGAGACATTTCTGAAACATATATTGGTTCTTCTAATACATAAATTTCAAAAAGATGCAGATTAACTGTTATTCCAAGAGATGAAACAGAATCAAGTTCAGAAATAATTAAATAATTCTTAGAAATAACTGCTGCAATCAAACACAATATTTTTGCCCAGATGTGTTCCTCGTGTCCACAGGTTCTGAATAAAGGAAGAGCCAGAAACCAATTTTCAAAAAGTTTCTAGGAATCCACAAAAAACGATCCAATTCATCAAGATAAACATTTAGTATCGTATGGATACGATTTTGAACTTCTCAAAAAATTTAATCTTTTTGTTGTTCGTTTTTATCATAACTGGACTAGGTAAATGTTTGGGACTTGTTCATTTTTTGTTGTAAATTCAGTGCCCAGTCTTTTCTTCCACAAACTTTGGTATTTCTGCAAGTTTCTATGGTATTTATGATTTGTTATGTTTGCAGATTATTTTCCTTGGTTCATAGTAACATTTACTGCATGCAAAATCTCACATTTAATCATTGTCATTTATGGTGATTTACAGTTAAATGCAACAGCTAACAGCCAGAAAAAAGCTTCATCTTGATCATACTCAAAGGTAATACCCAATAGTAAAAAATGGATTATTTGCACCTGACTATACCAGCTAATGATAAAACACCAACAGCAAATAGGGATGTTTTCAAAACTTACTACATATTTCGATGTTGAAGGATCATTGAAAGTCCATGTTTCTTCAGGATCGTCTAACAAACACGCGCATTTTTCATGTGAACTCATTTCCTCAGATTCGCCGAGAGAAATTTTCCTGATATTGTAGAACTTATCAATCACCTGGACAGAGTGAGACAATGATGAGATCAAACAAATACATTTCCGACCTCAAATAGTATTACTACTAATGAATCAAAAGCGTGATACATTTTAAGAGAGAGATGAGATAAATTGATAGCAATGTGGTGGGATGAATTAAAGATAAGGGGAAAAAAGAAGGCCTACAATTTTGTCCCCATCCAAGAGGACGCGAGAGAAGATGAATCGTGTAGAAGAAAGAATGCAGAAATTTACCTCTACATAGATTCTAGTCTCTTCCTCAAGATTTACCAAGTCAGCTTGCAATGTATCATTTAGTCTTTTCTGTTCAAGACAATCTGAGTTAAGCTCTTCCAACCTAACTTACAAAAACCAACAGCAAACCAAACAAGGGAGGAAAATGTTATTTTTTGAAACAACGGAGACGTCAGATAGCACAATATGGACAAAATGTGTAAGAAGAAAAGAGCAATGAGTTGAAATAATAAATGTCTGTCTAGCTTTAACAAATTGATTTAAACAACAATAAGCACAAATATTCAAACTGTGATGCGTGAAGATGGAAATTTGATATAGAAAACAAAGAGCAGAAGGCATCCCAGACCCAGAGAGGAGTAAAACACCATATGCAGCTAAAGAGTAACACTTACAACTATCGTTCTTTTTCCTTCTGAACAATCAACATAAGAAGGGATAGTGAAATTAAATATGATCACAATTACCGCTTCTCAATTTCGCTGAGTCTCAGGGACATCATTTCTGCATTCTCCATGGCTTTCTCAGCCTGATCAAAGTCATAACAAAAGAAAAATAAATTATCCATTTCGGAAACAAGCTTGCTTCTGTAGCAATTAAGCAATAATGACAGTTCTGGGCACCTCCATTATTGAGTTATCCCGTTCAGCAAAAGCAGCTGCAACAGAATTCTGGAAAAACTTAACTTGCTTTTCTGCTTCCAAATTCTGGAAGAGAAAGGGAATATAAATAAACACTTTTAGATATTGGGAAAAATTTCTTAAAACAAGAAGATTTAGATTGACAATTCCGATCAAAAGGGAGGGACCTTTGCCACTTCTTCAGCGTGTAGATCTGCTAATTGAGCCTGAAAAACACAGCTTAACTTATAAAATTCTGAAAAGAAGCGTAAGCAATTGACTCTCAAGAACACCAAAGTTTCTCACTTTGACCCGGTAAGCTTCTGCAAGCTCTTCTTGAAGATTCAGTTTCTCCCTTGTGCAAGCAGTCAACTTCACTTTCAAGCTTTCAATCTCCTGATCCAGGTTTGCTGTCCTAATAGGGCAACATGAAAAGTAGCTTAATGCTTTCTCCATTTACAAAAGAACTCTCATGTAGTGAGAAAGGGAAATAAGATACCTCTTGAATGCTGAGAACTTATTTCTAATCACATGAAGCTAGAAAGAAAAATAAGATACCTCTGGAGATGCATTCGAGTAGCCACGCCAAGGATGCTGGGTCCAGCTTGTTGCATACACAACTGTTCGATATCTTTCTGCAGTTCGCCACGTTCTAGAAAATAGAATATGTCACGGTTATGTTCATCCAGGATGTGATACCAAGGAACATCAGAGCTTGGAAACTGGATAAACAATATCATGAGGCATAGTAACGAGTAAGTGCACTGACAGCAGATGACATCTAAATACAAACCTAAAACATCTATCACAAAAGAAATAATCAAACCAGCATCTCACAGTACAAGTGACACCTCCAATATTGTCAGACACAGTAAGATCAGCTCTTTGTCTTGTCTACCCAGCTTTACAGCCACAGAGAAGGAAATTACAAAGCTAATCTCATCCATTAGAAAACAGGACATGTATGCTTTCCGGAACTAAGACATAAATCAGAAAGACACAAAGAAACCTCAGCAGTAATGGCTGTATCGAAGAGCAAGAGGCTGCGTATAAGCCATCGAAAAAAAACTGAACCATCAGAGGAGCAAACTTAACATTACCATGTTCCAGTTGTTTGATGCGAGCCCTTAGTTTCTCCTTCTCACCTAAATTCTCATCCATGTCCGGAGAAAATTATACAACAGTAAATCCAGAGAGACTTCAATCTGCACCAAACCGAAAGGACTCTAATTTACAACTTCGAGCAAGAAACAAACCAAATTCTACTGAATTTTAGTCACATGGGTATACACTTAAAGCATATCAAAATTAGTCAACAGCAAGAAAACCCCAGAACTCGTCACACAAACAATTGATAAGAACACCTTTGAAACAAAGCCATACATGCTGTTCATAGAACGAACATTAACGGAATCACAATTCATCACAAATCGGAACTCAGTTCGAAACTTCGTTCATGATTACCGATAAACTCGACCGGAAAAATCAAGAAAAGTCGGAAATTTAACAAAAGGGGTCATTCAAAATTCTGCAATTCACTCGAACTCAGAAGCAAGATGGGGATTCGAACTTTCTTGTAGCGAAGCAAACCCAGAAACCGAAACTCTACAACTCTTCGAAGGCCAGACAGGGAAAAAGAAAAGTGAACGGCTTGTGATACGAAAGACTTGAACACGAGAGAATCAAGCAAAATTGAATAAATAAAGTATGAAATCTGGGAATCGAATCACCAAAGAAAGGATCTTTTTTACACCTTGTCGCGATCTCTTTTCTTCCGTTAGCCAAAATTTCTTCGGACGCCCGATTGCGTCTCTGCCTCGTTTTCTCGCCTGGTCTCTCCCTTTGTTGCCGTTGTGTTTTTCTCCTTTTCGATTGTCGAAATGGATTATGAGGTTTTTGTGTGCTTTATTTTGGGTTTGGTACTAATAATTTGATTATTGGACTTCTAAAAATATTATTGGACAACGCAGAATATTAGACAACATAATCAATTAGCTAATACATATTGAAAAAAAAAAAGATATATTAAAACATTAAAAAAACCATCTGACACTTGGTAGGAAAAAAAAGTTACCCGGGATAGACATTTTTTTTAGAATATACCAAAGTAAAAAGAAAAAACTATTAAATCATAGATCTGATATAAATAACAATACTATATCATTGGTCTAATAATATATATTTCATTCAAAAAAATATTTTCATTCGATTTTACTTTTTAAGAAATGTATTAAATTTCTTTATTTTCGTCCATTTTTATTTTACAACATATGTTATATTAAATTAAAATGTTTTTATTCAAAATTTTGATTTAGATGCAATTTTATTCATAAATTTTGTTCTCAAAAAAATATTTCTTTTTTAGGAAAAGAATTTATTTTCTATTTTATTTTTTGTCTTTTATATTATTCCCTTCGATTATTTTCGTTCGAAATAAGGCGTATATATGATGAAACTGAAATAAATGTCAATTTAGATATTACATAATTTTAATGACATTATTTCGAAAAGCCTTAGAATAAGAATATACCCATCTTTTTAAACAATGGTAGAATCCATTTGTTTTTGTGATAATCTGGATACCGTAGCAGAGCGTCCAATAATCGTCGGTGCGGGCGGCATGGACAATGGACGGCTCCGACGAACTTTTGGGTAGAGAGTACAAGGATTGATCGAATACATCGGAATCAAATGATGTATAGGTATGTGACTATACAGTCAAAGATAATTTACAGAAATTGATTGAGATACTCATATCAATAAGATGCATCTACCTTTTCGGTTGTCCATTTCGAAAGAACTCCAAAATTAAACTTGCTCATTCTGGAATAGTCTTAGTATGAATGACCTCATGAGAGGCACTTTTCGTGATGTGTGCGAGTGAAGACAAAACACGTTAAAAAATTTCGTGTTGATGTGTGAGGACAATTTTGACATTCTGTAACCGTCCGGGTCGTTACAGTTTTATCATAGTATTAATTGCAGAAGAGGTAAAATTGAATAAATATATTGGAAGAATAATCTTACACTCCAAACTCGGAATACATTAGCAACGCCCCTGTAATACGAGATGAATTCAAAAACGGAAATGATCGAATTTTCACCATTTGATTGTTCCCTGTAATTAATTATTTTGATTGTTCTCTGTTTCTATTAATTGCATATGTTTTCTAAATTAGAATTAAAACCCTAAATATGGTTGTAAGGTAGCAATCAACCCCCACTCTCTCAACTCCAACAACGAAATAATTAGGTATAATGTATAGTTATCATATAACAAAACAATCCTCCACCATAGTCTTTTGCCTTTATTCAGACAAGAAAATGCATTCCTTTGTTCCTCATTTTAGTTGGTTCATTATAAAAAATACTTATACTTTGCTATTTTGATTTCAAAGCATACCCTTCTTCCGTTGTGATCCTGTAGCCTATTTGACTATAAATTTATTTATGATCACACTCATTCATTATGTTCATATATTATATATCTCACTAATCATTTGATAAAAAAATTTATAAATTTAATGTTATGACCAATATAACCAAGATTAAATTTCTGGTCACATGGATCATATAGTCACAGTTGGTGGAGGATATGCTTTGAAAAAAAATAACAAATGCAGGGTATTTTTTATATAATACCATTTTTAGTTGAATCTTTTCTTTTATAAACCAAAAAGCTGTCTGATTTTGGATTATAATCTTTTGCCCAAACATTGGAAAAAAATCACTAAATAAATCAGTTGTTCGTTTTGTTTTGTTTTGTTTTTTAAATAGCAAACCAAAGAAACAAAAATGCCAACTGGGAATAACAAAAGTAAATTGATGAAAAGAGCAAAGTCGCAATAGGAAGTCTCCGCCACGATTTACATCCCCATAATCAAATCCAAACCATCATCGGCCACAGAGAGTCTTACTTATCAAGGAGATAGCGTTAAAATAAACGACAAGAGAAATAAATCAAGATCCACCAGCAATCTCTGTCTCCACGAATCAGTTAATGTTTTTTTCCTTTTTTCTTTCTGGGATGGCTGGGTCTCCGATCAGAAGCAGGCATCCAAGAGACAGCAACAGCAGAGAGCAGCAAGGCTGTAAAAAAACATCAATCGATAACCAAATAAGAACAGAACAATGGTTTCGTAAACCTCTCATGCAATCCATCATGTCGTCGCATAATGTATTAGCTTTCTTAACTATGCTGAGGCCCCAAAAAATGAGAAAGATGGTCGAAGATGCTACAATGCAGTTGGTCATGCAGGCTTCGACCAGTACAAGTCTACAAGAAACCAATCAAGATGGATCCAGTTTTTATGGAACTACGACAAGCACTCAAGCTTCAATATGTATCTATGAAATCACTCAAGATTCACAATTTCGAGCGAGAGAAAACGTTGACATTAAGCAGTCCCAGATGAATCAAACACGTGTTAGCTCTTCACAGGCAAAGAAAATCATCAGATTAACCAAGAAAACAGAGAAAAAAAGTCTTCACGAAAAATCTCCATTGAAAAACTCAAGCAAGGGAGGAAGAAAACAAAAGCAATGACCAAAAGGACCCGTCTTTTCCTGTTTATGATTAACCCAAATCAGGATCGCGTTACCAAGTCACTCCGAGACAAGGAAAATTTCAAACTTTGATTAAAGAATGTCTCCTGAACTTTCCCTTTCCTCGAGATCCAAGTAGTAGAATATTCAAAGACAGAAAAAGTCCACAACCCAATGTTCTTTATCCTCCTCAATCAAAAAGCGGATAGGTCCCAACAATCACACATATTGCACAGACAAGCAGACAGAATATGTTCTCATGGACAGTGATTCACGAACACGAATATACATACATTCGAATAAAGTTTAGTCAATAGATGCATATATACAGCTTACCATCCTTCTAGAAACCCAGGACTGCTTTGTTGGTGCTGTTGCGGCGGTGGCGGCGGCGGGTATTGCGGCGCGTACGGCGGAGGGTATCCTTGAGGAGGGTACCCCTGAGGAGGATACCCCTGGGCATAGCCCTGCGGAGGATATCCCGGCGGCGGGTAAGCGTCCTTCGCATATCCCTCCGGCGGATAACCTATTCCGGGTAAAGCAAAAACCACAAGGATTCAGATCTCACCGCAACCAAACAGGATCAGAGTAACACACACAATCCAACAGCAGAAATTGCACGCCAAACTATCAGATCTCGAAATTCCATCGCTTCAAACAAACATGCAGTGATTTGAAAGGAAAAACCAAAAATAAAAACAGTTGAAAAAACTGAATATAATTTAGAAAAGAAAAAAGAAGAAGAAAAAACCGGATCAAAACCTTAAAGCATGAGTTCACGAAGGAGATCATTCGACGAAGACACGATACAAACGAGGCAAAACTCGAATTGGAACCAAAATCAAATCAGAATCCAAACCGACAAGCAAACGCAGAATCAAACAGAAGAAATCGAAAACAGACCTTGAGGAGGAGGGGCACCAACAGGGGGCGGATATTGACTCATCGTTCCTTCTACTACACTCTTCTTCTTCTTCTTCTTCTTCTTCTTCTTCCTTCGTCGATTTCTCCCCCTCTCTCTACCTCTTGCAGAAAATATCAAACATAGAGATTTCAGAGATATATGTTATATATTGTCTCTTTCTTTTTTCTTTTTTTTTCCTTCTAAAAAAAGGGTTAAGCCTCACCACGCTGCCAACTCGCCAGGGAGTAATGATCCGTTCAGATCTTGACACGTGTTCAGATCTCGGATCGTGTCGTGGCTGGATCGGATTTGTTAACTGATTTCAAAACAAACGCAAAGATGAAAAAAGAAACTAGACTAAAAAAAAGTAACTGTCTTTTTAAAAAAAAAACAACGACCAAACTTTGATGATTTAATCTGTAATATGAATATAGCTTTGTTAATAAATATCAAAATGTATTATTTTTGTATTATATAAAAAAGAAAAATGAAAAGATTTTTAAAAGTACAGATACAACCGAATCTGACGTATTAGCATGTGAAGGACTTCCCCTTTTTTTTTTAGAGATAAGGAAGTAAATCCCAAATTTCTATTACAAAATAATATCTAGATTTAGCACATATATATATATATATATATATAAACTTCAATGGATGGTTTACCAAATTTTGCATAAAATTATTTCTTAAACATGATATTTTTTTAATGATTGATAACTATTTTTTAACTAATTCATAAGATATGTCAACAATTTATTTAACCCCAAAAAAACAGATATGTCAACAAAAATACGATATTCTAAGTAGGAACCCACCTAGGCCCAAAAGATATAATAATAGCCCAATGAAAAACTTCTAATGGGCTACCTCAAAATCAAATATAGGCAAAACAGCATATAAGAATAAAGAGCCCAATTAACTTAGTTGTTACTTGGGGTCCAAGAGGCCTAGGCCCAATTATTATAATAAATTATTGTATTCGTATAATTTGATCAAGGAAAATCGCCAACAAAAACCCTCCACAAAAAAATTATATACTTATTTTATTACCAAAAAAAGTTTGTACTTATACTTATTCATCGAAAAATCTTTTACTCTTGAAATATTAGACAAAAAGACCCTATACTTTTTTATTACCTAAAAAACCCTATACTTATAACTTATTCGCTGAAATATACATGTATTTTATAAATTCTAACAAATAAACTTCTAAACACAAACACCCAAAAAATACGGTAAAAAATCTATTCGAACCTAACTCAACCGATATATACCCGAAATGAATCGAACCGATTAAAATTTCAAATCTGAAATAACTGTATTTATTTAAATACCATATTTTTTTAAATAACCGAATCCAAAATAACTGAATCTAAAATAATCCAGATTGGATTTATATTAGTCAAATTCGGTTCGGTTATTTCCTGATCGGTTATTTCGGATTTGAAATATTCATATCCAATATGGTATATTATTTTAATCGGTTTGATTCGGTTCTGGTATATATCGGTTGGATTAGGTTCGGACAGATTTTTTATGAAATTTTTGGGTGTTTGCGTTTAGGGGTTTATTTGCTAAAATTTGTAAAGTACAAGTATATTTCGGAAATAAGTTATAAGTATAGGATTTGTTTATAATAAAAAAAGTATAAGATTTTTTATCTGACATTTTAAGAGTACAAGATTTTTTCGGCGAATAAATATAAGCACATGATTTTTTCATAATAAAAAAATATATGGTTTTTTATCGACATCTTAAGAGTACAAGGTTTTTTTGGCGATTTTTTCTTTGATAAATTGTTTAAGCCTAATATTGCCTAGTAAAAAAATATCACCTGAATTCGATATCTCGTAAGAAAATACGTCATTAAATTAGAAATCAAAATGAGAATATATTCTTAGGACGGATAAATAAATGTGTGTTTATGTTTCCCCAAAAAAATAATATTCCCTCATTTTAGTTTTAGTTTTAGATGACGTTTTGAAATCATTTTTTGTTTTAAAATAAATGAAGTTTTGATATTTTCTATGTATTTTTTGATACTTTTTCCAAAATTATCCTTCATTAATAATAGGTAATTACAATATTGTATGAGTGAAAAAATAAAGATATCATAATTAAACAATGATATTTTAGATAAAATTTTATTTTTCTTAATATACACGTTGAAAACTAAAACGTCAAATAAAACTAAACAGAGAGAGTAGATCACATATATCTTTACCATATATCTTTACCAGCTTTTAATATATATCCTTTTATCTTAATTTGTATAATATTTAGGATAACAAAATTCTCGACCATACGAACTCAAATTATTTGTTGTAATTATGTTCTTTAATATAATTTTTAATTTGTAATTCTATCTAAATAGTTTCTATATAGTATCCTTTTAAAAAATGTTTGCCGATAGACATCAATTGATATCTAAAATTTTCATATATGAATATGAATATCAAATTATGATATTCAATTGGTCGAGTATTATATTTTTTTCTATCCAAACAACATCATCAACATTTGGATTAATTTATATATTTTGTTAATAGAATTCCGATTAATTTTTTATTAAATTAAAATTAAAATTTAGTTCACCAATTCTATTGTTTTATAAAATAAAATAAAAAACTGCTCGTTCAATAATTTCTGGAAAGAAATGCACCACTTTGCTGGATTTTTCAATCATTTATGAATGAAACCGAAACACTCGAAAATCAAACCGCTGGGAAATGATTAGAGAGGGGGACAGGAGGGGCGACGCGTGGGGACAACGGTGGCGCGTGGGGTACACGTATGAGTCCGTACGTTGTACTTTTCGCTACTTGACAAATTCGATATGGGACCCACAATGGTGTCCAAAAGCCAGCTCATCATCATCCTGTCTGTCCCCCTTAGCTGTGTCTCCACCTTACTATTTACGTCATGGGCCTTCACCCTTTCTTGTTCCCCACCGCTATTAATTATCAATGTCGTGAAGAGAGAAAAAAAAAGAAGATAATTTCATCTTAAAATTATGTTTTTTCGATCCAATTAAATCACATTTCGTCCAAATTATTATAGAAATTCTATCCTTAAAGGAATGGTTTTGTAATTTTCGACGCATAGAGGCATTGTCTTTTTTGTATTATTCTGTTTTTTTATTGCATTTTAAATATTAGTTTCCCAAATTATTTATTTCAAGGTATTCACATTCATATCCAAATGCCCAAAACCCTTAGGACTTGGTCCGTTTTTTTTTTCCTCACTTTTTTTAATTATAAAGAGCATTCTTTCATTGAAACTATGATTGGTATTGTTATGTTTATGTAAGCACAAAAGCTACATAGCATCATCAACAAACCCTAGAAATGAACAAAACATTAGCTTATACGAACGGATGAGCATTTTACTCAGAATATAATTCAGTGGATCATGAATCGACCAGTAAATATTTTGTTCTGTTGTCGCCTTAGCAATGACGTGGAATTTCCAAATGCTAAATGACAATATGAAAGGTCGATCGCATCCGTAGTTTTCACGTATCCGTTTGAAGAAAATCGGATAAATTTTCGGGTAATCAAAGGAGAAGATGGCTTAGCTATAGCTTGGTCCCGTAACTAATATATAATATGGTCGCCAAATTATTGGGGGAGAGAGGTTTCAATCATTTAAAAGACAAAAACTATAACAAATATTGGGTACAAAACTCATAGAAGGTTGGAGGGGGACCAAAGTCCCCATGTGGAGTATTAATGTCTATAAAATAAGAATCTATCCTGTTCTTATTTTGTCAACTTTGAATTATTTACATCATGGACTCCCCTCGCTACACAACGAAAAGCCGAGATCGTGATTATAGACTATATCCGAGTGGTTAATGCCCTTTGGATGGTTTGGCGTCTACCCTTTGTGGATAGATTCTAATTAGTCACACCCACATATATATATATATATATATATATATATATATGTATGTATATATGGTAGGTATATTTGGGTACTTTGAATGCTTAATGTTCAATGTATTGTCTTCTTAAAAAGTTAACTTTCATTTAATCACGCCCATTTCCACCAATTCAAAAGCAGTTTGTGTACGTACGTGTATAACCAATAAGATCATGTATTCGAATGATTTAATTTGAATTCCAACTTAATTGAAGGCATATCCGAATAACTTCAAATCCAAATTTATTAGTCTCGACCTCGAATTAGAATACTCGGGTTATCCAAACGAATAACGACTACATTATTTTGAACTTTTTTTTTTACCATACAAGTTCCATGTTGTGGTCTATATATATTTATATAATAGTAGTGATTGGGAATTTATATGAATAAAAACTACATCAATGTTCATTGAATATATATATATATGTCTTCGTTCAGCTTATCCGATTGCAAAACCAACTGGATTAACACAATGTCCGTACTGATTAGAGACATGAGGCCGACTATTAGGTGGTAATGGGCCCAAGTATTAGGTGAAACACCCATAATTAGTGGTTTAATTATGGTCCATATCTATATCTATATATTATAATATTATATTGCCTTTTGTTTTCTATTTTTGTCTTTTTAGCTACATTATTGTAAAGATATTTATTAATGGCAATCATATCGACTTCTCTTTTTTGATTAATTTGTTTGGATTTGGGACACACAATGATATGAATGGCCATATTCCATAAGAAACACATGTCTTTTTAATTGCAATATATAAGCCACAAAAATTTGGACTGACTTCTAACCGTGTGAACAACTTGATTTTCTTCCTACATGGCCTTTTAATGTAAATACTATATAACTAATCGCTACACCGAAACTAGAATACCATCTAAATCTATCGTAGTCAATCTTCATGGAGGAAAAAGCATATATATTGTTCTACTTGGTGTATACTATATAGTTTTTCCGTAATGAAAATATCTTAATATTCCAATCAAACATAATAACGTGGTCTGTCGCGGATCCAAACCGTCACGTGACGAACGGACCATATCTCAAGAAAGTAACCCAGTTTTTGGTTATATTTTTAGAAATGTGGATGAACATTGTTGGTTCGTGACATGGATCTTGTGTGGGTCTTGTCTGTCGTTATATATTGTGTTATATTGCTTTTGTATTTTCCATGCATGCATGCATGCATGCGTGTAGCGCTTGGTTTTCTTCTTGCTATGGAATGATAAATATTCAAATGTAAATCAATCATAGATATAGTTTTGGAAAATCAGATAGGCTCATTTTTGTGAAACTTAGGCAAAGTAATACATATATTTTATATATATATACATATATATATATCGGGTATTATTTATCATGCTACAAATTTCAGGTCATAACAATCAATGATCTTATTTTTTTTTTTGGTTCACACTTCCGTGGGGCTCATTGGGAAATAGCTAAAAACGAGGAAAAGCGAAAGAACACATGAAAGATGGGAAGATCGAAAATTCGCATAGGAAGCATAACCACAGAGAGAGAGAGAGAGAGGATCACAAAATGACACATTTAATTTAATTTAATTTGAGAAATTAATCCTAAGTGCCACAAAAATTAGGTCGAAGTGCGTGTTGTTGCACGTGCGCACATGTGTGAATTCGTTGAAGCTTGCGTATTTCTTATATGTGCACACGTGCCCACATGCATGCGTGATCTCGTTCGAAACCCAAAAGCAAATCCAAATTCCATTCCAATACATACATACATACATGCATATATTAATATATGCCATGTGTTGCATATACTTCTAGAACATATAATACTTCTACTTGAAGTCCCAACTAGAGAAGACCTTAATTATTACACTAGGAAAGCATTGGCAGTTTAATAGTTCGGATTCGATATTATAATGAAATTTCGATGTCATTGAATTGCACGACATCTGATATATAATGTCGAATCTCTGAATTTGATCAAATATTCAGATGTGTTAATATTTCATGTAAGAATCAAAACTATATGAAAAAAAATTCACGTTGAAAGAATAATAATAACCGGAAAATGTAGGTTAGTGGTTATACGTTTTTTTTTATATCAAATGAGAAATAGAAATTCAAATATGAATACTCACAAATTTAAAAATATTAATTCATAATGACCACATGACTTATTTTTTAATTTAAAATGAAACATTACAACCGTCTGATTATATGAAATTGTGACATAGTATATATTGAAGATTATAGGGAATTTATATTGAAAATAATAGAGAATTTGAGTTTATATATTATTATAGTTCTTAATTAGATTGGATTTTTTATGGTATTATAACCTATATTTTTCTATGAGATTAATTAGGAGTGCTAGTAAAAAATCTATATGGTATATTTAATAACAATGATACTATTTTTTATTTTACATTTTGTAGCGGTATATAATTAATTAATATCATGCAATAAATGTAAGATTATAGGAGATTATATATTCTATGTAACTTGAACATTGGTGCCATATGGAGAAAAAAAAGATATAATATATTTGTTCTATGTATGTAAAAATTATTGCGAAATTCCAAGTGAATTTTTTTGTAGATATTTAGGTGAAAAAATAAGATAATTGCAAATGGGATTATTAAATGTGAAAGAAAAGTGTAAAAATGTGAGAGAGCATGTGATATCATGAAAGCTTAGTCAATGGACCGTCGGGCTATTCCTCACCACTTGTCTATAGGAGCGGCTTTGACCCATGCATGCACCATCTTACTCCAAACCATTCCTAATAAATATAAAATTTATATAAATAATTATCACATAAATTTGAAATTAAATGAATAATTCATAATATATTATCCACGGGATTAATCCCCGAGAGAAGTTTTGTAAGATATGTCACGTGGAAGTTTGTACTTTGATGATGTTGCTCCCATTTAATTTACATATTTTGCATAAATAAAAAATATTATTTATTATTGACACAAAACATTCACAAATTGTTATTGTTAATATATTTGAGAAAATGTTGATAGCCGAGTGATCTCAAAATTATATTTCATAGTTTTTTTTTTTAATTTATAGGATGTTTCTCGGATTATATATACCAATTTATAAAAACGAAATAAAGATATTTATATATTTTTTCCCCTTTGAAAACTTTGTTTTTTTAAAATGTTCATCAATTAATGAACTGATACATTATATGATCAATTTTATACATAGTGATTTTACCGTTTCCGAATAAATTTACAAAAATAATGAATTTTTTTTAAAAAAAATAATTTTTAAATTTGTTAATAGTCAGTTTCAAAACTCTATTTAAACGGATATATGGGTAATTTTGATAATGTTTGGAGTGTCGAAGACAATAAAACTAAAACAATTATTAAAACCGAAATTTACAATTGAAAGGGAAAAACGACATAGTATTAATTCAAATCATACGTAAGATTATCTATTTCGGTAACGATCATCAAAATTAATTTTGGGTCCAAATGATTAAATCTATAGTGATTGATATTGCACCAAAATTAGAATGGAGCGGACCACACAGCCAACCCAACATGCAATAAAGTTGACAAATCCCAACTGAAAGAACAGCGAATACATGTCCAAAAGCACCATCGAAGATTCGGAAATATTCTTTCTATGATACATTTATTTAAAACAAAATATAAAAAGTAAATAAAATTACGACATTTTTGTATGCTTTCTTAAATTAAGAGGCTTATTTTTTGGTCCCGAATTTAAGAGAGCTGTACATATACTATAGATTGAGTAAGTAGTTATTATATTTAACAAAAATCCAAAAACTTGAGGTTAAAAAAGTTTTTTTCCCAAAAACAAATATGTCATTACTATTAAATAATTTTGTTGCATGAATAAAATTAAAAATAATATAAGAATGAAATAGATAGTTAAAAATCAAATATAAGAATAATTATATTAACCCCCATTTTCTTAGTCTTATTTTTCTCTTTACGTAATATATATGATCTTTTCGTCACCTTCATTGAAAATGATTGTCACACTTGGTTATGAAAATGATTGTCACACCCTAAAATTTTTGTAGATTCTTTTCTCTTCCATTTTTGTATTTCGAGTTTTTGTTCACATGTTTACATTTTTATTAATCAAACTATCACATAAAAACGTTAATACATAATTAATCTCTAATTAAAACATATCAGCATTTTAACACTTTGGATTATTTTTTTTTTCTTTTTAAAGAAGGATAACGTAGGTCTTATTTTTTAAAAAATTGAAATTATCTTTTTAAATCTAGTAAGCTTTGGTACACCCCCAGCTTCCTTTGCACCCATTCTTAGATCTTACATTATAAAATGGCATACTATACAAATAGGAATACTAAAATCCATAAAATATAATTAATAAATATCTCTAATTTAGGAATGCTTTATAGATTATTTAAAAGAAAATAAAATAATGTGAACCTAATCTTATTCCATACACATGAACACAGATAAAGACCAAAACTAGCTGAGTCCGTAATCCGTTTTACAGTAACCTGAGTGCACAAGTGAACAACAATGAATAAACAAATACAACACATGTACATACACAGATACATGTATACATATATATATGTTTATATATAGACATCAATATAGATATAAACAGAGGGACAGTTCACCTCTTCTCACACACACACACACCCCCCTCCTCCTCCTTCTCTGTTTTGATTTCTAAGGCAGAGAGAAAGAAACCCAGAAAACACCACGAGAGAGAGAGAGAGAGAATGTTGGGTTCTTCAGAAAACAGCAGTGGGTGCGAGTCCGGATGGACTCTGTACTTGGATCACTCTGTTTCTTCACCAAACCCATCTCGTTTCAGAGAGATCACCAATGGGTTTGGCGATAAGAGAAGCAAAAGCCGAAAACATTGGGGAAAATATCATTACACAGATGAAGACGGCGACGAGGATGATTTGTCAATGGTGTCCGATGCGTCGTCGGGTCCACGGAACTTGGCCGAGGACGAAGCATGTGATTACAGCAACGGGTTCAAGAGAGAGACAGCGAAGAAGATCAGCGTTCGTCCTCAGAAACAGAGCAAGAGAGAGAAGAAAGGAAGGGAAGATCCGAAAATGGCTTCTTTTCTCGACGACACTGCCAGCTCTCCCTTCTTCAACTTCCCCAATGCATGTTCCTTCTTCTCTTGTTTCGATTCAAAGTTTTTTTTTTTTGGGTTGTCTAAATCTAAAAATACCCTTTTGTTTAATGTCACAGAGCAATGTCGGCGTTAACCATATGGAACAAGGCTCACTGGAAAGTGCCTTGGATTACTCGCAAGGCTTCTCTGCAACTCACTTTCAGGTCTCTCTCCCTCTCCCTCTCTCTCTCTCTCTGTTCTTGTTCACTCTGCTTTCGATCTCTAACTTTTTTTTTTCTCCTTTTTTTTCAGGGAGCACCTGCATTTCAAGAACAATATGGTTTTCTCCAGTCCTCGTTATCTGGAAACCAGATTCAAAATAACCAGTTAAGTACATTCGATGATTGAATCATCGTTATAAATTTTTACATGCTCATATGTACATAGAAACGAAACGTATCTTATAGAAAAAAAATACACTTTTCATTGAACAGGTGGTTTTAGCGCGAGGATGAACCGCAACGGAAGAGTAATTTCCGGCAACCTTAGTATCTATTGTTTCGGATTTACAAAACTTGGATCCAATGAAGAGTCGAAGAGGAGAGGAAAAAAAGGGTCATAGAGATTATACAAAAAAAATCCAGAAAGGAAAGAAAAAAAAAAAAAAGAGGGTCGCCGGAGAAAGAAGAGAAGGCGGAGATATCGGAAATGACCTTTTTGCCCTTTTGTACTCTCTTCTCTTTTTTTTTTTGCATTTTTTTTTATCGTTTCTTGATTTGTAGTTCATTTTTTTTTTTTGGTTTTACATGAGAAACATTAAATCGGAAATCGGTTTTTTCGCCATAGTTCGTGTATGGATATTAGACAGAAAATTATCGTTTATGGTTAATAAATATGGCACGTTATTTAGTTTTTTTTTTTATGTATCTCGAAGAAAAATAAAATACCCAAGATGCCATTGGTTGAACTTATTGACGCTCTTGATTTTATTATGGTTCGAACAAATATAATTTATTTTAATGTTGTGTTGTATATATTCTTGGACGTGTAGAAAGATATAATTATTTCAAATAGAGATTTATTATTTTCGGGGTCACGGATTGGTGAAAAGAGTGAGAACCTATAACTTGTATATTTTTTTAACAAATAAATAAATAAATATTGTACGCATACGCACAATTAGTACGTCTATTGCTCTTTTTGATCGAACAAATGTTTGAATCCATCGACGAGAGACAGATGTCATTTGGCAAATAATTTCCATAATTCATTACGGCCCAACTAATTCATTCAAGTAGGCAACAAATACGTGTACGAATATGCACCTAACTCCGATGCCAAATAAATACGCTATCATTATTATTATTATTATTAAAGAATTAGAAAATAGATAAATAAATAAGATACGATTAGGTGAGATTTGAGTATCTAATTCGTGAATCCCTCGATCTCTCTCTCATGTAAGAGACTAATAACATGAAGACGAAAACCACATTGTCTCCTGTGACTCCGACAACATGGTCGCCGTTCTAATCCTCTTTTACCTTTTTTATTATTTTTTCTTCTAATTTGTTAATATTCATTATGATATTTTTTAAATTTTATTTATTTTGCATGATGATCAAAGTGCCAAAAGTTTAATTATGGTTCACCTAAACCAGTACGATGAAATTCTTGATATTCCATGTAATCAATGTTTTCAGATTTGATACATTAGATTGATATAACTATCAACACACAAAAAAAAAGTTGTATCCATTCAATATGATTTTAATTGTCCCGTTTTAGATTGGAAATCTTGTTGCAAAATAAATTATTGCATTTTTTGTGATTTTTCGCAGTTAAACATATATATATATATATATATATATATATTGTTGGATATGTGTGTGATATGTCAAAAAAAAAAATTGTTGGATAAACAATAATAACATTTTTAATTTTAAAATACCCTGAAAGATCTCTGACTGGAAGGGACATGGCCCCCATTATTCAGATAATCTCCTCTCTCTTTGTCTAATTTACAAAGCCTCTTTCAAAAAGTTATTTAATATATTTTATTTTCTATTTCCAGTAATAACAGATAAATTTATTTCTTTTATAAATGACGTGTCTTCTATGAAACTTCCATTGAGCTCGGTGCCTCATGTTATATAGTTCGGTGACGTGTCCTTGTCTCATAAATTATTGAACCTTAGTTCATAGAATTATTGGTTGTACACTTATGGTTATACTATATATATATATATATAACCCCGATGCATTTTTATTTAAATATTTGTTGGTTGTCCAAACTGTAGAAGATAAGCACTTGGAGAATTTAGGATGCCAAAGTTTTCAGCTCTAAGCACATGAACACCAATTTAATTAAATAAATTGCTATATAGTATGTTTGATTAATCAATGAATTTATTTATTTATTTGCTTTGGTGGTCTTTCACACGGTCAAACTAGTGGATACCAAAAAATAATGTTATTTGAACATAATATAAACCGAATTATAATAACAACTTGAAACTAATTAGATAATAAAATTTGAACATATTATTTTAATTTTAAAAATTTATTGAAGAACCATCGGATCATATTTTTTTAGTTTTTAATCCTAGATATTTTTTTTCCCATGAAACTCGTTTTCAATCATTTTTAAATAATGATTTTGTGTTTGAGGTCACTCAACGAAAAATTTCCTCAAACAACATTTCATAGGAGATTAATTAAGATCAAATGTTTAAACGCTCTTTACTATTGCGCATTATTGAAAATTTATATAACCCTAGAGTTTACACATTTTTTTATATTTTCGATTTAATTTTACATTACCGCGATCTTTACCTAAAAAAACTATGTCAGAATTTAAATAAACAACATAATATTTTTTTTTAGTGGAACTCGTGATACCGTAATTAAACCTAAACGAAATAGCAGACATAACAACATCTACATTTTTAATAATTTGTAAATGTTACGAAATTAAAATCTAAAAATATTTTATTTGGTCGTGTACATATCAAAGTATGACAAAAATAATGGGCGGAGAAACTGAGAGGGTATGGGCGTATGTTCTCTGTGTTCCACTGTGATATAATATTGTTCTTAAACAAAACGTCGAGTAAAATAATGTGCTTATCCAAAACCCAAAAAAAAAAAAAAAAAAAAAACACTCGGGGGTTGTCTTTTGTTTTCAAGCCTCCCTCTGATTCCGCCATGCCATTTCTGTGAAACGATGTCTTTCTTTGAAGAGACAAAAGACACGCAGCAGAAGAAAACCCTAATTAGGGTTTTATTTTTTTATATAAAATAAAAATGTTTTTTTTTTCCTCCTCTTATCTTCTGCATGCATGTGTTTGCCGACCAGAAGTGGTTCAGTAGCTCAGTGTTCGTGCATATGCTCTCTCTGTTCACTTTGTGTTGTCTGCTGCTGCTGCGACTGATGATGATGATCCATCCAATGCGCTCACTCAACCTCTCTCCCTCATTTACACACTCCCTTTATCACTCTTCTCATGAATTTAATCTATTCTGCCATACATTTATTTTTTTTATTTTTTTTTGGTAACGCGAAAACTCAGCCAGTGTTATTCGGACACGGTGATAAACTCACCGACTCCACGTAATAGTCTACAAACCACGTGAAATAGTGATACGTTCGCTGGAGAGTGGAATCGAACCCCATAACCTCTTAGAGAATCGTAAACTCTTTTACCCGTGCACCAGACCCCAAAGTGTCGGTCATATATTTATTCCTTGTCCACGACCCAAAAAATTGAAATAATTATTGTTATTTATCGTTATAATAATATCACTGTTATGTTATAATTGATCTATTCTTATCAATAACAAGCCTATGCATTGCGAGAATTAGCCATATTTCCGTGGTAAAATGCGTACTTTAGGATCGGTTTGTCGTTTTTTTCCCGCCGGCGAAAATATATGTTATCATGACAAAAAAAAAAAAAAAGTCGCGAAGTTAAATGCACCCATCGAATTGAAGAGACTTGGAAATGGAACCGAAGAGTTTAATGGGCCGATCTGACCCAACACCGGCCCAAGCCTAATCCGTAGGGCTTTGACAAAAATATTCGATTTTTGGGTCTTAGTTTTAATATAATCATATTTTAAGATGAATTATTGTTCCTCTAATAAATACCAATAGGGTTAATTTTTTTTTGTCAAATTGATGAATAATTTTTATTCTCACTCTCGCGGTCTGGCCCTCGTCGAACATTTTAAATATTTGTAAGATATTCCAAATTCAGGATATCGACAAGAAAATCGAAATTCGGATATCATTGACAATAATTTGAAAATCAGAACCCATTAGTGGGTGGTCGATTGATGAAAGGGTGTTCTCTAAGTTTCGGTCACCAGTTCGAAACTAGTTGGGAAGGGAGGGATGTATTTAAGGTGTTGCTCTCTAAACCCTTAAGTATACTTGACTGCTTCCGAGTATGAGGGGATGTAGGTTGGGTCGAAGGTCCGGTAAACCTCTCCATTATCCGGAAAAAAATTTGAAAATCGGATGAAACACTAAGAATGGAGTCATTTTAAATTAAGAGCCGGGTGGCCCAAATCCTAGAGAATTCGAATTTACAAACCCTAATACTGACCAAAACATGCCATAATCCAACTTTATCTTAAAGGCCTACGATCAAACTTCTAATCTAAAAAACCAGCTTCGCCCAAAAGACTCCAAAAGATCCAAGACTCGTCATCTTCATCAACATTGTCGGAAAACCTACACGAAAGCCCAGAACGATGCCTGTAATAATCCAGGGTGAGGCCCATTTACGTGGTTTGGTTGCCTCGTGGATCTGATGTTCGTAGCTGCGTGATCGCTGACATCAATGGCGATGCTGTAAGATACGAAAAGAAAAAGAAAAGAGGAAAAAGAGAGAAAGAGAGAGAGAGAGAGAGAGAGAGAGATCAACAAAAACATCAAAGGGAGAAAAAAAAATCTGGATTGAAAACTTTTTTTCCTTGCTTTTGGGTCTGATGCGCGAGTGACGAACACGATGCCATTTTCTTCCTCCCTCTCATGTTTATCTTCATCGTCTTCTAACTCTTTTCTATCCCTTCAAGCACGATCTCGCGTTCCCTGCATCTACAATCCCCAATCCCTAATTTTATCAAAACCCCGCTATTTCGCTTTGCCTCTTCTTGCTTCGAGAAGACCCCGCGATTTCATCGATGTATGTTTCGCCTTATAGCGCCGGTTCTGTATGTATAGGTATATATATTCATGCGTAAAGTTTTCAACTTTTTTGGGTTTTTTTTGGTGGGTTCGGAACAGGGGAGGGATGATCTTGTGGATGATCCGAGGAATTGGAACCGCAAGGTCAGACCAGAGTATGTGTTCGATGAGGATTACGATGGGGAAGACGATGATGGTCAGGAGGACGAGGACAGGAGTTTGGATCTGTTAGTTCGATTTGTCGAAAATGTGTTCAGAAAGATTTCGAAGAGGGCGAGGAAGGCAGTGAGATCGGTTTTGCCTGTTTCGATCTCCACGAAGTTGGTATGTTTCAATCCAACTGTTCGATCGTGTTGAAGTTGGAGTTTGTTCTGTACAAATGGTGATTCAAGTCATGGGTTTAGAAACTGTAGGAACATGATTCTATATTTCCGAAAATTCTTAGGAAAGTGAAGCAAAAGCAGCAAACTTTGATTTGTAAATACATATGAACATCTACCTCACGAAAGATTTCAGAAAGCTTAGTTATCTCCATATCAAATTAGCAGGATCTGACTGTTTTTGTTTCATTTCAGGTGGGTTTTTCAGTTAATGGAGTACTTATTCTAGCATTTTTGTGGATTTCGAAGGCGTTCCTCGAGGTAATATGCTTCATATCATATATGTCCTCTGCTTAAACCTCTATCCATCAAAATCTACATACGATACGATGCCAACGATGTAGTATGAACTAGGAAGGTGGTTCAGTTTTCTTAGCATGTTTTAGATGCCCTTGTATCAATTTAGCTTCTATAGATCCATGGATCGTTATGATTGCCTGTGCCAACCACTTGGACTAAGAAGCTTTCTTTAAGTCGAGAGCTTTGCTCGTTAGTTGCAGCAAATTCTGTTATCTTATGCTTTTGTCTGTTTAGATTGATGGGTCGGAGCAGAAGAGCATATTATGTTTGTCTGCCATCAATTCAGACATTAGAGACTCTCTTAAAGCTCGGAACTTTGTCGTTGATCGCTGCTTATTGAGCATACGGTTCCAGTAGAAATGGAAATTGATGCTTAGGAATGTCAAACGGAATACAAAATATTGAGAACCAATTCAGGATCTTCTATCCTTTAAGAATCTAATTCTCTTGACCGAGCTAGTTGGACTCTGTTGATTTCGGGTTTTTAGTGCTTTTTGAACGCTTGAGCTTATGCATCTTAGTAGATACTATCGAAATGCAGAGCGTATGTATATATACAAACGAGGGTTTACTGACTCGGGTTCGGGCTGGTTACCGAAAAATGCAGGTGGCTTGCGCCCTCGGGACTATCGTATTCACGAGCATTTTACTCATACGTGGATTGTGGGCCGGTGTAACATACATACAAGAAAGCCGTAGCAACAACATGAATGAACTCGGTAACGACCCGAGTGCTTGGAGCAGGGTTCAGCCCGTTTCTTGAGCCCCGTTTTTCGGGAAAATACTATCGTCAGCGACGGGTAATAATCGCAAACTAGGGTTTATAGAGATGTCTTTCTGTGGGATCTTATTTGCAGGTGAAAATGGATAAACCTGAGAATGGCAGATGCCATTAATTTCTCTGTTTGTGGTCTGTACATTAGGAATCAAATTAAGACCATTTTGGATCAGAATGGGCTATAATAAGTTCATGAAATAATCTTTATATCAAATCTTATAAAACTTTATAATTAGATTCAATGAAAATATGATATTCACTTTTTAGTTGATTGTATTTTGTATAACCTATAACCCGAATAGCCACCCCCTAGATGAATAGAGCTTTGCTTGGATTGTTTGTCCTCTATATTTGGTGCAAGATCACAAAAGCTATTAAGATAAATATGTCCATGTGGATAACTTCTCGTGCACTTTCTATTGGAGACAAAACACATTGAGCATGCATATTCATATATTATAAAATATATTCAAAATGGACAAATATAACCCTAACTCCACCATGCATGTATGTATGTACCTCATATATATATATATATTGAAAAAAATAAATACCTTTTTTTTTTTAATGAAAATGCTAACATTCCATGAAGATTGCATTTGAACAAACCAATTGAATTGTTTCCATTATATTAGACCGAAAAAATAAGTTCCTATTTGGACAAATATCAGGGTTATAAAACATCATAAACATAATGCAATAACCGTTTTTTATAAGAAAAAATCTCCAAAAAAATATCTAAACTTGTCAATTTTATAAAACTTAAATTTTAGTTTTTATCAAATAAAATTCTAATTTCATTTTTCAGTCGAAAATAAAACTGATTTTTATAATTGTTGTAATTTTTAAATCTATATGTTGACATCGTATACCGGTATCCTATGTATCAAGATAATATTTTGACAATATTTGACACGTTATCATCTATTTCTGATATCGATGTGTCACGTCAACGATGAGTTTAAAATGATAACTTTTATAAAGTTTAGGTTTATTTATAACTCAATAATATGTTGAAGTTTTATTTGATAAAAACAAAGTTCAAATTTTATTTTGTAAAAAATAATAAGTTCACGTATTTCTTTTAGATTTTTGCCTTTTATATCTGTCATATAAAAATTAGGAATATTGATGATTAAATAAAGCAGGAAAAATAATTAACCTAATATATTTTATGGACAAAGGAAAAAGGATTCGAGAAACAGGGCATTCCTTGTTGTGCCTAACAAAGGAGAGGAGAGCATATTCTCTCTGCATGTTGGCTAAAGTTATATATTCTTAAAAAAAAATTGGAAAGTAGATTATATTTATATTATGAGCTTTATATCACACATATATATATATATATTGTACAGAACTTTATATTATATATTATAAGTTGGAAATCTACACAACATTTTGATTTTTATATATACTTATTTGTTATTTGGATGTGAACAAGATCGAGATTATCCCCCACACATGAAAATGAAAATAAAAATAGGAATATATTTGGCATCCACCACAAAAAGATCTGCTTTCCATTTATTCTCATATTTTTTTCATAATATTATAATTTTTCAAGTGGAAGCTCCATTTGTTTTTTTTGTCTTTGCAATATGTCTCCACAATTAAGGAACGTTTGCTTTTGGTTGCTGTACAAATTTTCTTTCTAAACAATAATATGCCATCATGTACGGTAATAAGATGAAGAGTTACAAAAATTTAAAAGGAATTAAAAATTAGAATTACAAATATTATAAGAACATTAAAATAATAATAATATGGAATTTTATTTTAAATTATAATTGATTATAATTTCTTAACTTTATTAGAATCTTTTAAATTTCATATAAAGCATATCTTTCTGTAAATTTTAATTGAAGTTAGTTCATATTATAATAAATACAATATATTAAAAATTATTCTAATTTCATGCCATTTAATGGAAAGTAAAGAATGGATGATTTGATATTTCTTAATAACAAAAATAAAATTTCACACAAAAAAAACAAGAATAACCATAATGTTACAAACAAATTGTACAATGTGAATATTTTCAAACATTTATATGTATTTAAGCATTATTCTTATGCATTGATAGAATATTAATGTCATCATCGTTGACCGGAATGTATAAAAGCTCATGACACTGTTTGATTCTATCTTTAATGGTTGACTCACAAAAGAGTATATATTAAATGAGATTGAAGATATGAAAACCAATGGCATAATCCTTTAAATTCCAAAATTTGACTATTTTTGGTATAATCTGTGACGAATATTTTTCGAAAACATTATGAACAATAATATAAAAAATGTATATATATTGTGAAATTTGTTTATTACAGGGGAAAAATGATAAAAATTATTTTGGGATAACATATGAATTTTAAAATTATAAATTTTTATTCAGTTGAATTTAAAAAAAAAAACATTATTTAGAGTTCGATTGTTTGAAAGTTTATCGTTAATAAAAAAATAATCATTTATTCGGTATCAGTGATATATATGTGTATTGTTTTAAATATTGGATTTTTGGATATTTGAAATTTAAGTTTTAATAGAGGAATACAATATATTTGGATTCAATTCAAATTTGTATAATGCGAAAAATTGTGGTTCTGCGATCGGAATGCTTAGAGAGCAATTGATTTTGGAAAAATATTCCAAAATAATATAATACAACTTACTTGGATTGGATCTTACTTTAAGAATTACATTTAGATATTAATATACAATATATTATTTTTTCCTCCATATGTATATAATATGTTTTTACACCACATTTTTTTAATATATGGATTTTTACCCCAAACAAATGTGTGGATGGGTTACGTGGACATTTAGGAGCACCTGTGGGTCGGATTTTGGATCTTACTTTAAGAATTACATTTAGATATTAATATACAATATATTATTTTTTCCTCCATATGTATATAATATGTTTTTACACCACATTTTTTTAATATATGGATTTTTACCCCAAACAAATGTGTGGATGGGTTACGTGGACATTTAGGAGCACCTGTGGGTCGGATTTTAAAAAAAAAATACCCGAAATTTTCAAAAAAAAAAAAAAAAAAATTTAAAAAAAAAAAAAAAAAAAAAAAAAATCGGCGAAGGTTCCAAAACGGCCATTGCACACACATCTCTTCTGGCTTCCCTCTCTCTATAAATATTTTGCTCTGAAGCCTAAATCTCTCTTAACATTTCCCATCTTCCGATTTCTCTCTTTTCAGTAAAAATTCCTCCTTTTTCTTATTCGCCGTATCAATTTCTTCAATCTCCCTCTCTTCTTTCTCTGTGCGATTCCACGCCTCTACTTATACCTATACATATAGAGGGACGGAGTCACCTCTCTCTCTCCCTCTCTCTCTCTTGTTCTCGCTTTGGAAGACTGTGCGCGATGCTAAAACCCGACTGCTTCATGTAGTTGTAGACAGAATCTTTGGAGAAATCTTTAAAGAATCTGCCTTTTTGTTCATTTCTTTCTGGGTCTGTTAATGTCAGGGACTGGTGCTTTCAGCGAAATAGAAACTGGGAGATTGAGGGGAGGTTTGGGGATCGCGTGCAATTTAGGGTTTTTATGCGGTGGATTTGGGGATTTAGGTATGGTGGTGCCTGAGGCCGAGGGAAGTGAGAGAGAAGTAACCGATACGCCGTCGTATCAAGAGCAACAGCAGCAGCATCAGCAACAAAAACTCGTTGTTGGGTATGCTCTGACCTCCAAGAAGAAGAAGAGTTTCTTGCAACCCAAGCTTGAAATTCTCGCTAGGTATATGGAAAACCCTTGTCTTTCGGGTCCTAAAGTTTCAATCTTTAACTATCAATAGCTGCCTAATTGTACTGCAGAATTTCCACTTCCTAGAACAATACCATTTGATGTGCCTTTTCTTCTTATCCACGTGTGACTCTGATTAGTGGGTGTTCCATTTGACCGACAAATTTTTTGTTTTCCAAATTCGACATTTTGGGCGAAAGATTTGGTCCTTGTTTCGTTGCTCTTTATGGCTGGTTTTTCCTAGATTCTTCTTTGGAGGAACTTGCTTTGTCGATTGCCATGTTTTTGTCTACAACCGGCTCTTTGCTTGGACTTGATAGCATATGCCTCTGCCTATGGTATCAGGAATCTTTTTCCTTATCTCCCTTGTTTCTGTGGGAATATTCCTTTATATAATCCTTTTGGGTTGGTCTCCATTGAGAAGTCAATGTTTTGGATAATGATTTTTGAGTTTTAAAAAAGTTAAATTCCTTGTTCTACTTAAAATATTAGTTGCCTTGATTTCACAGGAAAGTGGATTCTTTGACACTTTGCTCCTGCAGAACACTTCAAACAAAGATTTAATAATTCAGGAGAATGTTTCTTTTCTTGCATATTCCGAGTTCATTGATCCTGTAGATAGTTTTTGCTTCATTTGACACTGGTTCTATGACTTGGGTCGGCTCTGTACATCTCTCTGGCTATTCAACTATCATTGTTTTTGCGGTTTAGCTTTCATTTTTTTCCCTGTGTTCATCGTAGGAAAAAGGGCATTTTCTTTGTGGCAATCGATCAGAACAGGCCACTCTCTGAACAAGGTCCATTTGATATAGTTTTGCATAAGGTTTGTGCTAAATCTCAAGAGACACTTCTGAGAATGCAGTAATAGGAGCATTTTTATCTGTATGTCTAATAATGTAATTGGTTTTTCCCTTGCAGTTGTTGGGAAAGGAGTGGCAAGAGGCAATTGAGGTGTCTCCAAGCCGTTCTAACGTTTCCGTATTGTTTTTTCAATTATCGAACTGAAAATCTGAAATGTTGCTTTTTTAGAGAAACGTGTTGTTTTCGTTTGAACCAAACGGATCAGGTGAACAGAGTTTAATTCTAACAGATCAAGTGGTGTTTGAAACACTTCTGTCATTTATGTTCATGTGAACATAAGGAAAGAGCTCATGGTTGTCTTTGTAAAATCTTCTGCTTGAAGGATTACCAGGAAAAACATCCAGAAGTGACCATCCTTGATCCTCCAGGCGCAATACAGTGCATATATAATCGACAATCGATGCTTCAGGGTGTTGCTGATCTGAATCTGTCGGACTGCGGCGGTAACTTCTAAAATTTATATTTCACTTGAGTCCTTTGAGCTAGCGCTTTCCAAATTCCAATGTTTTTGGCAATCTTTGCAGGCAAAATTCGTGTTCCAAAGCAAATGGTTGTTCTGAAAGATGCAACATCTAGTGCTGATAGAGTAGCCGAAGCCGGGCTAAAATTTCCACTAGGTACAGATCTTGGGAAAACAAGTTCTTTATATATGGCTACAACTTCTTCATATATTTTCCTTTGTTTTACTTGTTCAGTTGCAAAACCACTTTTGGTTGATGGAACTGCAAAGTCACACGAGTTGTTCTTAGCATATGACCGGTTCTCGCTTTTGGATCTTGAACCCCCACTTGTCCTTCAAGAGTTCGTGAATCATGGTATTGGGTTTGTAATACTTTTGCCACATGTACAATACCATACCATGGATCATCTGATGTAATCCCATCCGGTTTGTATGCCTGAAGGTGGAGTTCTCTTCAAGGTTTTTGTGGTCGGTGAGATTATAAAGGTCGTGAGGCGGTGTTCTCTACCCAACGTTAGTAATTGTGAAAAATCCAAAGTTGCCGGTGTGTTTCAATTCCCGAGGGTTTCATCTGCTTCGGCTTCTCCAGATGATGCCGAATTGGACCCTCGTGTTGCTGGTGAGTAATATGGTTATACTTCCCTCTTCCTCTCCCATGATGAACATATTCTTAATTTCATATATTGTGTATCATAATGGATATATATATATATATTGTTGCTGCTGCAGAGTTACCTCCTAGGTCTATGCTCGAGAGGCTTGTCAAAGAATTAAGAACCCGACTGGTACTATTCTGCTAAAAAGCTGGTTGAAAGAGCTGTTTTTGAGCGTTTCCGAATGTTAAAGTCTGATTTTTTTGGCGAGTTTTGTAGGGACTCCGATTGTTCAACGTAGATATGATCAGAGAACATGGGAGCAGAGACGTGTTTTACGTCATCGACATCAACTACTTTCCTGGAAAGTGAAACTCTCTGTTGCATTCTCGAACCTTCTCTCACTCGATACCCAGAACAAAGCAGATAATAAAGATGGGTTTTTTTGTTTCGGTTGCAGGATACGGGAAGATGCCAGAGTACGAGCAGGCATTCACGGATTTCTTCCTGAGCCTGGGGCAAGCGAAACTTAAGAAGAGACACTGTAAATGAGAGCGATGTAAATGTCGGAGGATTCATCACCATAGTTGGTAACTCTTACCTGCAAGCTCAATGGGAAAAATAATGTTTCCGTTCTCTCGATTTATAGTGATTTTCAGTGTACAGAGAAAGCTTGATACCAAATGCAACCCAGGCTCTTGTTCAAGCAAGTTTTTTTTTTTATTAGCATTGAAAGCACATCTGAGGAGTAAAAGACTTGCTAGTCTTTGCTTCTGCAAGCTGTCTTTACAGTCTCTGCCCCTCTCTCTCTCGTTTCTAGTGTTCCTTTTGGTTCTGCAAACGGGAAAATTAGAGGAAGAAGATGAAAAGTGGAAGCTTTTCAGATGAATCAGACACTCTGTATAACGGTAAGATGTGAAGGACATGTTTCAAGATTTGGTTCTTGGAAATTTCAAGAATCTTGAGTTGATGTTGCATAACAGTTACAGTACCAAAGAGGCTCATACATTAGCTTCACTTGTCTGAAATCAGTTTGGGTCTCAGTGGGGCACGCTTCTCTCGTTCTGCCACCATCGGTTTCTGTGTCGAGATTCAGAGAAGAAAGCCTTTCTCTGACGGGCACTGGTTCGGAAGCAGAAGCAGCGAGGTTCGGCACGACTGGTTTCCTCGGAAGTTGGTGAAATCTTGGCCGAGACTTCATGCCCAGGTCCCTCTAGATTGATATGAACCGTGCTGGAAGGCGAATCACCGTTTCCTGATTTGTCCTCGTCGTTTTCTTTCTGTTGATTTCTGTTTCAACCTCCTGCTGCAACTCGGGAACTTCTTCTTCTTCTTCAGAAGAATGTGTCGGATTCTTTCTCTCCTTTGCTCCACTCCCCACTTCTGGTCATGTTTCCTTGTCTTGGCCTCGATCGATCTCATCATGAATCGGTTGCCTTCAGCATCTTCTCAGATGAAATTAACTGTGGGTAATTTTTATAAAACAAAAGATCAAACTTTAAAATAATTAAACTGAAACCCAGAAGCCACCAAAGTCTAAGATATAGCAAGCTGAACACACAAAAGGGAAAAGTTCATAAATGAAACACTGTGAGATTTAGGAGAATAAATTTCCTTTTTCTAACCACAAACATGAATCGTTTCCTTTAATTTTCTTTAAAGAAATGGAAAACAAAATATACGGAAATTAGTGGTAAGAACAAAAAAAAAAAAAAAGACTTGTATGCCTATTTCCATGGATCTGAGATTCAAGCATTAGGGCAAAAAAAACAACTCGATGGAAAAAACTGTGGAGTTCGCAGAATCAGCAGCTGCACCAATGGTGAGCCTCCTTTGTTTCTTTACGTTCATATACACACACATATATGTATACATACGTGTGTGTATATGTATATGATTGTTGCTTAGCCCTAACCATTTTTTCTTTTGGTGTGGTTAAGACAAGTGTTTTGCTTGTGAAGACTGGACTCCCTGGTTGGCAAAAAATCCTGATGAAGGTGTTTGAGGACATTCAAGGTGAAACTTCCATTCGAATTCGCTTCTTTTTTAGGGTCGGAACATTATACGACATTCCAAAAACATGTTACACCCCGACAAGATCTTTGTAACGTTTTTTTTTTGTTTTGTTTTTGAACAAAGGCTGCTTTTCTTATATCTTATCTGAAAAGAGAGATTAATGAACCGAATGAATGTATCATATATGAATGAAGGTTTGCAGTTCACGATCGACGCGCCAAACATGTTGATGTATCTGTCGGGTAAAGTCGATCCTCTTGTCATCATCAAGAAGCTCAAGAAAGCGAAAACTCACGCTGTCCTCTACCGCATCGATTACGGCTACGAAGAGAATCCTCACGATCCCCGAAAACCGACCGATGATTTCATGGTCCTGCCATATCTCTTCTTGTTATTCGCATAATAATAACGTCGGTATTCGAATATTTAGACCGACTAGCTAACGGTATATATATATGTATGTATGATCGTTGTGTATCAGAGTTGCACATTCCATGTGAACACGGAAGACGGTGGTTGGTTTAAGAAGCTCTTAGGAGCTTTGAAGACCGTCCAAGGTAAGAGGTCGAAGTCATAATTAAGTTTCTAATAAAAAAAAGATAATTAAATGATGTTTTTTTTTATTAATTAATGTTACTAATTAACCTATCCACTAATTAAAAAAATAAACCCTAATGTAAACTTGTAAGGTGTGTCGTTCACCATAGACGCAGCATCTCAGCTGGGTTATGTCTGTGGGAACATAAACTCAGGAGTGCTGATGAAGATGATTGCAAAGGTTGGCATTGAAGTTTACAGAATCGACTATGGATTCCGACCTAATGATCAAAAACCGAACCAATTACTGATCAAATCCGAACCCGAACCCGAACCCGTTTCTAGGAATGAAATGGATAAGAAACCGAAAAAGGCCGCAGAGACGAGAACCGAAGTTGTCACTTCACCAAACCATCGATCCAAGATTAAGCCTCGAAGTTTCGGAAGATTTTTGGTGCCAAAGTTTCTTTGGACCTCATGAGGTGTGTATCTTCGTTCTTTAGAAGTGATATCTAGGTTGAGTTATATCTCTATGCTTAGATATTTTATATTAGGTGACTAGTATATTTTTTTTTTAATAAAGATTGTATTTCATATGCATAATTATGTAATATTAAACTTTGATTAGAATGTCTCTAATGATATATCAACGTTTAACCGCAAAGCGTTACAGTTATTCCGATTTTTGGCAATTGACGTTTTTTGTTTGGTATACGTTATACTTTTTCTTCTTCTTCTCCAACTTTAAATATCTTCCGGGGGGGACAAAAAAAAAAAAAGACAACCAAGTAAAGTACTTTAAGTTCTTCAACTCGGCCGAAACAGTGGTTTTTTTTCCTCGAACCGTTTAGGTTTAGGTTCCATCCTCAAATCTTGGAACGTTTCAAGTAGATCAGACCACCGATACTCATTACCGCGACGCCCCCCGCCACCACGCCGGCTTGCCAAGTCACCCATCCGCCCCCTCCACTCGTAGATTCCGTCGTGTTCATTTGCTTATTACCCTTTTGCCCATCCGTTGATTCAGTAAAGTCCAGATGTAGCCGCAAGACCTGTTCCGCAAATATTTTTACGCTTTTACGGGTGAAAACGACGGTAAAAACTCGGATTTTGGTTAGAGGAGGAACAAGAGAGAGAGTTGAATTCACCTTTTTCCCGGCGGACTTAGCTGCTGTAACAGCGCTGGTGAGATCGCCGTCTGCCGTGATTAGAACCTTGTCGCCTTCATCGTCCTCGTACTGTTGGAAATCAAACCCGGAGAAGAAGAAGAAGAAGAAAACATCGGTTACAAATGCCGGGTTTTAATTTTATTCTGTCTTACAGCTTATCAATGACAAGAACTCTGAGATTTTACCAGAAGTTGAGGGCGTTCAAGATTGTTGTCATCGCCATTGCCAATTCTTTGCATCACCATAGTCATCAACTCTTCCAGATTTTCAGGAGCTGAAACAAACAGACCATATATCTCTAAGAATGTAATATGAAAATGGGAGTTCATATTTTTCTTTTTCCTTTTTTTTTGTGAAATTTGTATTTAGGAAAAGTGGAAACCGAGTTCAAACTGACCTGAAGTAACCCGATGAACACGGCCCTTGAGATCTTCGAATTTGAAGGCAAACGAGTTCCCAAGTCCTACCGATAAAAAGGACTGCTTCCCTGTCTCTGCACCGTCCGAATGCATCATTGCAGACATTTCACTACAAACAAGATTAATTTCGATAAGTTATAGGTCCGGGAAAAGCCAGATGCCGGAAAAAAATTCAGATTCGTAAAGCTCTGAAACCTGTGAGTATCAAAATCATCCTGAGGCTCTAAGGCAAGTGCCGAATCCCAAAACTTCTGCATCATTGTATTTGCCATATCATTAACAGCTCCTGTACTGTTCTCAACCTACAAAAAGTGATCCATAAATAAACCATATTCTCTAGAAAAGATTTGTGAAAAAAAAAAAGCCAATACCCTTCATATTTCATTCTGCAGACTGGCTATTTCATTACAGCATAGTTTCCATCATAAGACAGATAACATATGAACAGAAAGTGAACATTACCATAGAAATAGCTGCGTGAGTTATCTGAAGAACATCCACACAAGCCGCAGGTGACCCATCTGCACCAAAAAAAAAAAACAAAGCATTTAACTTATAATTTGCAAACTGTAATTATTGTGAGAAAATTAAAAATCAGTTGAAGAAATGGTCACTTGCCTTTATCTAGAACAGGAAGATGAAGAAACTTCCCGTCATGCATAATATGCAAAGCATCGAGAATTGTCGTTTCCAACGCCGCGCATTCTGGATTTGGTGTCATTACCTGAGAAATCAAAGGAATGGAGTGCAATACTTAAACTAGAACTCAAGAGAAGATGTCCACAAAGATATGCTAATACAGACATTAGAATAAATGATAGTCTAATTCTTTATGACATAGAATATCGTAAGAGTTGAAGAATATGAGGAAACAGAACACTAATCCCAATCTCTTTTCACACAGGCCAGCAACATTCATTCCATTGAGTGATCCAATGCAATGCAGTCAAATATAATATTCATTTTCACAGATAGATAGAGGAATATAGCGAATGTAATCTTATGAAATATTTTTTGATATCTATGGCTTTCAATTCAAACCTTTTCGACAAGGGTCAGTTCAGGAGACAAATTTTGGGCCACAACTCGCATCAGAATGTCCTTTGAACTGCAGAAGACAAGAACAAAGGTCAGGGAAAGGAAGAAGCTGACCAGAAATGTACAAAAAACCTCACCAATAATTTGAATTAATGGTGAGGTGATAAATCACAAATAATTTTGCATAGGAAGAAAATAATACAGTAACAACCAAACATTTGGATATGATAGACTCATAAAAGGCCGTAAATTACTGCATGCAAAAAGTCTAGCAATTACTGAAGGTAAATGATCTTGAAACTCAAAGATCTCTAAGCTCAAAGGTGAAAACAAAAAAAAATGATGAAGGGAAATCCGACCTTCGGATTTAGCAAAAGGAAAATAAAGAGATTTTGAGGATTCTAGTAAAAATCTGTATCCTTCTTACCAAACTCGGACTGCATATAAGCGTCAAAGAAGGTGCACACATTATATAACAGGTAATATTTCTTTGCGTTCACCTACATGTCTGAATAGCTTACCAACCATTAAAACTATGGACCCTAAAAAATCTAATATTACTATGACCAAACATGTCATGTCAGAAACAGACAGGAATGGATAAGGGGGCATCAAAGAAGTCTATAAAATTAGACACTTATTTAAGTGGCCATAAGCAAGGAGCAGTACGTTAAAATCCCCTGAACTTTGTTCCCGATCGTGATGACGACAGAGTTAACCCGAAACTCCCGCATCTTTTTCGCTGCTACATAGACAGGATCCGACGGTGATACAAGTGCAACCCTGCAACCAAATGGCACTACAATCGGTAAAACAGACAAAATTAACAGATTCTAATAAGAGAAACTTTTCGTAGAAATTTACTGATCTCAGACAAGAAAAGTACTTTGAAGTTTCGGTTATTATAGTAGACAAAGCAGGCTTGAACATCCGCTCCCTCAAAGTTTCAATGAAAGCATATGGAGCTGGAAGGGCAGCAAGGAAACCGGTAAGTGATAACTGTGATATTGTTATAACATTAACTATCTTAGGTTTTTGACAAGCCTTCTTTGAGATATATCAGGATTTACCACTGTATAAAAAGGGGCAAAAAATGTCAGGATCATCTAGCTATTAGCAGCTGAATACTTATACGTTAATATGAAATAGCTATTAAAATGTTATTAGGTGGATATGGAGAACAAACCAGAATATCCGCTTCCCCACTGACGCTCCACACCTTCCACTGCAGCAGCTAAAGCACTGCCTTGCTCCGCGGCTTTTTCCATCCTCGAAATAGCATCATAGAGGCACTTGGTAATATCCAACAAAGCTATGACTTCACCATTCTCTACAACGGGCAAGTGCCTGAATTTGCCTATTACAGAACACAAACCAATTCAGCAACTGTGAGAACCAGATTCAAATTATTTCAATACAACTAACGAGTAACCAATCACTACAGTAACAATTTGAAGAGATGACACAGAAAATAACCTAACCTTGCACCATTTTCTGAAGAGCCTCAATGGCCAGAGAATCTGCAGTGACAAAAATAGGGTTCCGGGTCATGACCTTTGACACTGTGGTTTGCTCTGGTCTCAGCCCTTCTGCAATAACTCTTGTGGCTATATCCTGCAAACATGCATTGAAATAAGATGGACATCATCACAAAAAACTGTTTCAAAAGAAAGTTACCAATTTAACTGCCGATAGCAGACCTTATCAGTAACAATCCCCGAAAGAAGAGCATTGGCATCGGTCAACAAAACTGCATCAACACGTCGAGCTGCCATCCGCCTACAAGCATCGGACACCGTGGTTCCCTCAGGAATAGTGAGAGCTTTGGACAACCTTAGCTTCTTCACTGTTCTCTCTCCATTAGCAAGCCTTACACCAAACCAAAATCATTAGCCAAAAGGTCGTGTAAAATCAATTCCTCCTTTGATTTCCTTCGATACTGTACATCTCATTAGTTCCGGAATAAGATGTAGCCATAAAAGAAAACACACATTACATAAAGGCCAACAAACCCTGTACAGCTAAATAATCAAATTTCACAAGCAACCATCGAAAACCAGCTCTATCCAATCTTGAGACAAGGAAACCATAACCCCAGGAAAGCATCAAACTCAACTCTTCCCCAGCAAAGCAAAGTAACGAGCTTTTTCCGGTCGGGCTAAAGGATTTATCAGAACCCTAAAAGAAACGAATCAAATGGAGATTACGTACGGTGGAGCAGGAGGCGAATTGGGCTTCGATGTGTTTCCGTTCACGCTTCCATTGACGCTTCCGTTATCCGATTGGACTGGTTTCTTCGATGCCGACGGGCCTCGCCGTACACTGGAAGTGCTCCTCCTTCCCGATGAAGGTGGCACCGTTTGGGTACTCATAATCGATAAATCTAAGATTTCTTTTGCCTCGCTCCTTCCGAAGAAACCCTAAATCCTCAATCTCAGAAAAAACAAAGGGAAATGACAGAGACGATATAGGAAATGCAGCCTCCGCAACCGCCTACAACACGCTCGGCGGCCCGGAGCCGCTGCGATTAATGGCCTTGTCGGGTCACGAATCCAAGAAACGAAAAACAAAAATATCGTTCCTTCTTTCTTGGAATTAACAGAGGTTGTTTAATGTTGTCGGATCTCTGAAATTTAGTATAAAAGAGACGACGACGAGGGAGAAGAAGAAGAACAAAAAAACGGCCAGGAAAAAAATATGGGCGGTGGGGAGGCTTGGGGGCAGAATATGATAAATTGTTTTTTTATTTTTTTATTTGTTTTTTATTTCCATTTTTCTTTCCAGTTTTGTTTACCTTTTGAATGGTGAACAATTGAAAGAATTTTGACTTAATTCAACAGCAAAAATGTTACCATTTCAAAGTTTTATTACTTATTAAACTTGCTTTTTATATTAATTTTATAAATTTAAATTTTTTCTTCTATAGCATCAAATTTTTAGTTACTAATATATATTATAAATAATAAATTATTGAAGAAAAAAGTTAAAAAATAATCACTCTAGAACATACCTAATATCAAAACTAAAAATGAAATTGGATGTTGATTATTAAATTGATTGAATCTTTATATTTTTTTTTAACAGGATGGGTTTTTTTTTTCTGTGGCACCGTTTTCACTCTGATTTTGATTTAGGTTTCATATATATTTTTTTCTTATTCACATATATGTGGACCGCACGATGAGCTTTCATCACTTTGGTTTTTTCCTTGGCACATATAATTAAATTTTGTCCGCGGTCTAAATTAAGGTGTGTGATGATTGGTTTATATTTATCGCATGTGCCTTATACAACCTTGAACAGCCACCAAATGTTATACACATACACACACACATATATATATATATATCACTCATGCTTTTTGTGCTCCGTATTGATTTGCCAATATATTCTTTTTGTTTTCATATTTAAGATATTTTAATACAACCACACGCAAAAAAAAAAAAAAAGATATGAAAGACAAGCAGAGGACATGATCCATAAAATTTTAAGGAAACATTATCTAAAAATGTGCAAATATTTTATTATTAATTTAGACCGCAGACTAATTATCTTACAAATTTATAGAATAAAGTTATATTAAAGTAAAATACGTAAATTCTGTATAATTTCTATTTATGTAATAACACTAATTTATATAACAACACTAAAAATACAATTTCTTTTGATAATGGTCAAACTTTGATGCATACTTTAAGATTGGAGATAGAGAAAAAGAAAATACTTCTGTAAAAATTGAATGAAATTCTGACATAACATAAACAACAATCATTGTTGTTTCATTTTTTTTCCTTAACAAAATATCATTTTGGAGATTTTACACGACAAGTCATATATACAATCATAGTGAAAAAATTATAGTTTTCCATTATTTTACAATTTTTTCAATATAGTATAAAACTATTGACTTAATCATTTTCATTTATTAATATTTTAAAATTGTTATGAAAAAAGAAGAAGATAAATTATGGGATGCTCGATCCGATCCATAGAAACCCAAAACAAAAAATGGAGTATTTGAATTTTGAACACCATAGATTCGGATTCGTCAGCACCAACACTTTTTTTCCTCGAAAGATTATTCTATCTTATTAATTATAAAGTCATCAAACCATAATATCGTTTACTATAGTATTTAAAATCGTCGGTCCAAATGCTAGGAGGGCCTTCAATCAACGGTCCAAATGGCATCTTACTACTTTTTATAAATATTCTCATTGACCCTTTTAATGTGTTATACGAAATCGTTATATTCTTGAACCCATAAGCAAAATCTCACTAAATTATCACCACAAATAGTAATTTCTACAACTGCCTCAAAGAATTACAAGTGGGAGGGGAGTTATTTAGCATTTTCATTTCGAATTTATTTAAGCTTAATGATCACAATAAGATCCATATTTACAATTTACAATAATTATTAATCATAATAAGATCCATACAAACATTCGAGCAAAATCGATAAAATCCGAATACGCCAGAAATCATCACCAATCACACCGACTTCATTCCGGTTTACATAAGTTTCCTATTTTTCCCCAACTTTGAACAAACCGAACCCAAATTAAAGTCGTACCGAATCTAAAAATCGCCATATATTATATATGCCCTAAAGGCGGTTGCGGAAAAAACGTGAAACCAATTTTAACCGGTTTGACCAAACCGGAATAAAACCGGTCCGGTTTCTGTCCCTGACAATTTCCTTCGCTTCAACTCTCCTCATCCCTCAAAGAGACGCAATCCTTAAACCCTTCTGTGTGTTTCTCTCTCCGACAACAATGTCTCTCCTTCTCCGAGCTTTACCTCTTCGTCCATCACCGTTCTCTCTCTTCGTCCCCTCCTCTGCCATCTCCGCCCTCTTCTTCTTCATACCCAAATCGAGATCTCCGATTCCACGAACCCATAGAACCTTCTCCTCTTCCGCCACCGCGTCTGTTTCGGCTTCCCCCGGCGACGCCGTTGTGAAGTCGCCGCATTCTCCGACGTCTCCTTCTCCGTCTAGTCTCCGATGGGTCTCTCGAACTGGGCTTTGCGGTGAATTATCAGTGGAGGATGTTGGTAAAAGGGTTCGCCTTTGTGGATGGGTCGCTCTTCACCGCGTCCATGGTGGTCTCACATTTCTCAATCTTAGAGACCATACAGGCATTGTTCAGGTATTCATATAAAAAGATTGAATCTTTATCTGGTAGATTTTAGTCTGTCGTTGGGAGAGTGCAAGTTATGCTTCATAGTCTTTGGAATTCCAGGGGAAACTGTACTTCTACTCTTCTAGCAATCATAAATTTCGACATTTTCTCAGTTGTTTTGGTTATTTGTCTGTTTTTTCTTTCTTTGTTTGGAAACTGGTGCCCGTGATTTGTTTCTAGAACAGTTGAAAATTTCATGTTTTAGGTTAGGACGCTTCCGGATGATTTCCCTGAGGCACATGCCATGGTGAATGACATGAGGCTTGAGTACGTTGTTTTGGTCGAAGGTACAGTCCGGTCTAGGCCAAATGAGTCAGTCAACAAGAAAATGAAAACCGGATTCATCGAGGTACTTTCTTCTTCCCATTTTTGTCCATTTGTCTCTACCCATCCCATGTGCCCGACCCGTCACTCTTTGTTCATATCCTTCTCATTTTAGCTTTCTTTGAACTTGACATTGTCAGTGTGTTGCACTAGGTAGTTGCAGAGCATGTTGAAGTATTGAATCCTGTGAGATCAAAGCTTCCCTTCCTAGTGACTACTGCAGATGAGACAAAGGATTCGGTTAAAGAGGAAATCCGCTTAAGGTGAATATTGGCCATTTGAACCAACCTGTTAAGATTGTCTATTGTAATTTGTATAAAAGTTGCTAACTGGTGCGTGGCATTGGGTTATGCTTTTTTGCTGTTAGGTATCGATGTCTTGATTTACGCCGTGAGCAGATGAAACACAATATAGTGTTGCGTCATAACGTGGTGAAGCTGATTCGGAGATATCTAGAAGATTTTCATGGGTTTGTTGAGGTAATTTCGTGCAACTCCCTCTGTTTTTCAAGTATCTTAGCTGTTTATTTTCGAAGAAAGTGTACAGTTTTCTTATCATGGAGTTTTTGCAAACTATGGTGGCAGATTGAAACGCCTATGCTCTCTAGATCCACTCCAGAAGGTGCCCGGGATTATCTTGTTCCTTCAAGAGTTCAGGTGCTTGTATTTCTTTCACCACTTCAGATTTTTTTTTTCTAAATCTTATAGTACAGAACTGGTAATTTTTGTGAACATATTGGATTGGATCTTATGTGCACTTATTATTCTGAATTAGAGAAATGATGTGTATGTTTTATCGGTAATGAGTAATCTGCCATTGCCTTAAAGCTTTCTTCATAGGAATAGGGTAGAAGCCTGATCCCATCTAATGTCTATTTTGAAGCCAGGAACATTCTACGCTTTGCCACAAAGCCCGCAGCTCTTCAAGCAAATGTTAATGGTCTCTGGTTTTGACAAATATTACCAGATTGCAAGGTTTGTAAATGATCATTGGCTCTTAATCTTATGATTAGACTACCATAAGCTGCAATTAACACAAAATTTTTGCCGGTCTACTTTGCACAAAAACAAGACTTTTGACTCCGTGGTCTCTTGCAAATTAATGTTTCCTTCTTCTTGGCTTGTCTTTTCCCAGATGTTTTAGAGATGAAGATCTAAGAGCGGATAGACAGCCTGAATTCACTCAGCTTGATATGGAAATGGCTTTCATGCCTTTGGAGGAAATGCTAAAACTGAATGAAGATCTTATCAGAAAGGTTGGGGCATTGGCAGGTTCTTGTGCTTTTACCAATTTTCAGAGACGAATGTAGCTGATTGGTTTGAGGAATTATGTGTATTAAATAGTTGATCAGCAACTATTTTCTTCGCATTTCAAGTTTTCATTTTGCTTTTTTTTTTTCCCCTGATGCAGGTCTTTTCAGAAATCAAAGGTATTCAGTTACCTGATCCTTTCCCGAGGCTTACATATGCTGAAGCAATGAGTCGATATGGTTCAGATAGGCCCGATACAAGATTTGATCTTGAGTTAAAAGATGTAATGTTCTCCGTTCGTTATTTGCTTAGAATTGCACATAGATATCTCATAGCATGTATTTGATTCTCCAGAAAGGAAATCTTTAATCCAGGATGTGCCCTTTTGAGATGTTTCTCAAATGATTAACAACAAATTTTAGAATTCTTCTTTGATGTTTGAATTCTTAGCTTCTTAACTGCAGGTATCGGACATTTTCGCGGAATCATCCTTCAGGGTTTTCGCTGAGGTCCTCAAAAGCGGTGGAGAAATCAAAGTATTATGTGTACCTTCGGGTGCGAAAAAATATTCAAATTCAGCTCTCAAGAAAGGAGATATTTACAACGAAGCAATAAAGTCCGGAGCAAAGGGTCTTCCCTTCTTGAAGGTCTTGGATGATGGTAAAGTGATGATTTTTATGTTCTTTTCCACCTTTCATCGCGGAAACATATTCATATTCTGTTCTGACAAGGTTTAAATTTTGTGATACAGGCGAGATTGAGGGGGTTCAAGCATTAGTTTCTAGTTTGGATCCAGCGGGTAAAGCAAACTTGTTGAGACAATGTGGAGCAAAACCGGGTGATCTTATATTATTTGGAGTGGGTCCTCGTTCATCCGTTAACAAAACCCTCGACAGACTAAGACTCTTTGTTGCCCACGATATGGATTTGATCGACCATGTAAGTTTCTCCCTATTTTCGGAACCATGGCTCTGAGAGATCTTTCCGGTAATGTTCATCACAACTCTGTTATATCTCGTATACAGTCCAGGCACTCGATTCTCTGGGTGACTGATTTCCCGATGTTTGAATGGAATGAACCAGAGCAGAGGTTTGAGGTACAAAATTTCCGTGCCCTCTTTGCCCGAATCATTTTATTCCTTGCACGAGAAGTTACGATTTGTGATACTGTGATGGATAATCTTGTTAAGATTGGATTGTGCTTACTGGGTAACGCCATCTCTTTCCAGGCATTACATCATCCATTCACGGCTCCGAACCCTGAAGACATGGATGACTTATCTTGTGCACGGGCCCTCGCTTACGACATGGTCTATAACGGGGTCGAGGTTAAAAAAACAGCTTCACCGGTTTTGTAGTTTCCGACGAATGTTCTCAAAGACAGGTGGAGAAAGATCTGGGTTTTTTTTCTTCACATTTTTTGTCTTTGCTGTGACAGATTGGTGGAGGAAGTTTGAGGATTTACAAACGAGAGGTCCAAGAAAAGGTGTTGGAGATCATTGGAATTTCACCTGAAGAGGTAAGGAACGGTGTTTTCGGTTGGCGATTACCGGTTTTCAACTCCTTTTTCTCACTGTTATCTCTCTCGAGGAACTTCCATAGATCGATCTTTCCATGGATAAGCCTTTATTCCGAACTTATTTGGCACAGGCTGAAGCAAAGTTTGGATATCTACTAGAGGCTCTTGACATGGGTGCTCCTCCTCATGGTATGTATGAAAGTTTTCTCCTTTTGATCATCTGAACGGATAATTTGGTGACAACTTGTTGAAACCCTAAACCCTAAAACCCTCAAAACTAGTCTACGATGATATGATACTATATCGTATCGAGATAGAGAGCAAGAATGAATAAGGCATTCCTAAACGAACCCGAGAAATTTTGAGTCTTGAACGTCGATGCAGGAGGGATTGCGTACGGGCTGGATAGGATGGTGATGATGCTGGGAGGGGCGAGTTCCATAAGGGACGTTATCGCCTTCCCGAAGACAACGACCGCTCAATGTGCCCTAACCAAAGCTCCATCCGAAGTTGATCCTCTCCAGCTTCAGGAACTCGCTCTCCGTCCCCTATAGCGTAACACTTCCCCTACCGAGCTCGTCTTCTTTCCCCTTTTTTTTTGCAGTTCTTGTTTAGGGTTCTTGAGTGAATGAAGAACAGCTACTGAGATATTGATCTCTGTGACATGTTTGAATAAATCACTGCAGAATTTGATCATTGGTTTTGGAGTTAAGAGCCTTAGACCCTCTTGTTTCCTCCACAGTTCAATCTTTAGTCTGTGTATGCAAGGGGGGCTGGGTAAATAAACCCGATTTTCGGATACCCGAACCGATGCGCGAGTCGTAGGGCTGGCTTATTTGGTTAATAACCGAATAACCGAACCGATCCGAACCGAATAACGCATAACCGTAACTGAACCAAATTAGATGTAAAACCGAATGGTTATGATTTTTCTAAAACCGAAAAAACCAAACCCGAACCGAACCGAACCGAATAAAAAAATAACCGAAAAAACCGTAAATTTTCTTAACAAAATGAATATTTTTTATCATAACTGAACAGTATCCGAACCGAACCGAATATAATGCATAAACCGAATGGTTATAGTTGTTCTAAAACCGAAATAACCGAACTCGAAAATAACCGAACTGAATCCGAACCGAAACCCGATTAACCGAACCGAACCGAACCGAATAAAAAAATAACCGAAAAAACCGTAAATTTTCTTAACAAAATGAATATTTTTTATCATAACTGAACAGTATCCGAACCGAACCGAATATAATGCATAAACCGAATGGTTATAGTTGTTCTAAAACCGAAATAACCGAACTCGAAAATAACCGAACTGAACCCGAACCGAAACCCGATTAAGCCCCCCCTAGCCGAGCCGGGCATTACGTCCATCGGCAGGACAGGTCAGGATCGACGGCAAAAAAAATCCGCTTTTTCGTGTTCGGGTGTTGGACGGCGAAAACATTTGTCCATTGGTATGTCGCCAGGCATGTTTCGGGTTAGAATCAGACATCCGAGTATTTGGGATACCCGAAAGTTCAAATGGGTCGGGCAATGGATTCCGAATTTCAAAATTCGAAAAATTCAACATGTGCGAGACATATTATTATTATTATTATTATTATTATTATTATTATTATTATTATTATTATTATTATTATTATTATTATTATTGTTATCATCTTAAATGAGCGGTTACAGAAGATGATTTTCATGTTCTTCCATTAAATAATTCGCTATGGATGTCGATTTTGCCAACATAGCAATAATAAATCTCACTCTCAAACACTGAATGCTTTATATTAGCAGTTTCAGTTTCATCTAATTGTTGCATTAATGTTTTTTTATATCATTTAGATGCGCGTTAATTTAAGTAATTGAAGTAATAATCTTTGATCCCCTTTCAGATTTTTTGTAGAATTCATTCACATATTTTGAAATTTCCTATATAAAAAATCATGTCAACTCTTATAAATATGAAACGATAAAGAGATGACGAAGTTATATTTCATGGCGTACTATTATAAATTCCTGTGTTATTCACACATTATGCAAATTGTTTTAAAAAAAATACAGAGTTAATTTCAAATCAGTGAAACATTAAATAGGATTAGCAGTTTCGGTTTTGTTTTCCTGGACAGCTTTTCATCTTAACGTATGGATAATTGTTGAAAGAATGGTTTTATAGTCATATATAAAGATATGGGTAATAAATTAATAATTGATGTGATTATAAATCATTTTCAAATCATATTCTATGAATTGGACCAACTGCTGGTAAAAATGTATTTTTTTCCCCTGTATAATTTGGAACGATGTAGGCAATATGTATTTTATATAGTTCGTGACATAAAATATGGTACGTATATACATGATTCAAAGTTATATATATATATATGTATTAGTCTAAAAAAATATTGCTTGGAAGACTCCAAAAATAGAATATATTAGTATGTTTTTATTTGAATAGATACACAAAATCAATACTATTTTTTTTATTAATTTATTTAAATTATTTAACATTGTTAAAACTGATCTTAACGGCGTTTGACATCTGACCTTAATGTTGCTATACCACAAATGATTTACCTGTAATAGCAAACTAATCTTAATAATATATATTTTTTTATTGTGGCAATTGGCAAAGCAAAAATATATTTGCTTAATTCCGAATTTAATTCAGCAAAATATTTATGCTTAGCCATAAGAAACGACAAATTATTTGCCTGCATATTAGCAAACGGTTACTAATTGTCTTATGTGAGAAGGAAATCTTCTATTGATTGGTTTACACTATGCCTTTGATGTCGATTTTGCCAACAAATTTATCATCAAAGTAACAGAAAATGATTTGATTTTAGGTGTAATTACAAAATTCCGGATGCAGTTTCAGTTTTGTGGTTTGGACAGCTTTCCGTGTTAATGTCCCGATAAAACAAAAGCTGATTAGCTCCTATAAAAAGTGATTAATGCTTTTAATCATATAAGATTACAATTTAATCGAAGTGGCCATAAAACACTTTTTTTATACGATATCTGTCAATAACTACACATGCATGGAATCGAACAAATTCTTACGCTAAGAGCATCTACGTACTCGCATTAACATGCAAAGATTTTCATAACCTACAAGAATCTTGAGATGATTTCTTCAGATCACATAAGAATTAAAACGTCGTCTTAAAACGCTATAAATACTCCATGAAAACACTCGTGAAGTTTCCCTCCATCGCCACCACACCATTACCAAGCTCAAACAGGCGAGTTCCAAGCTTTCTGCAAGAAACTCAAAAGCTTCGCTGGGAGGATGACAGTGGCGGCGGTGAAGAACAACAGCAAGAAAGGAAGCATTGGTCGTCAAAGGATTCCGATGGCGAAGATACAGAAGGAGAGCCACAGGCAGGTAACTTTCTCGAAACGCCGAGCCGGGCTGTTCAAGAAAGCGAGCGAGCTCTGCACTTTGTGCGGAGCCGAGATCGCCATTATCGTGTTTTCGCCGGCGAAAAAGCCCTTCTCTTTCGGCCATCCGAACGTGGAATCCGTCCTGGACCGCTACATCTCGAAGAACAGGAGCGTTTCCTTCACACAGACTCAGACGCAGACGCAGACGCAGACGCAGGGGAGCGGTGACAGCGACCTGAACGCGCGTCTGACGCAGGTTCTGAGCGAGCTGGAGGCGGAGAAGAAGAAGGGCCAAGTGATGGAGGAGATGAGGAAAGGGAGGACGAGGAAGAACTGGTGGGAATCGCCGTTGGAGGAGATGAGCCTGGAACATTTGATGCAGATGAAATCCGCGTTGGAGGAGCTGAGTAAGAGCGTTTTGATGACGAAACGTTCTCTGGCGGTAATGATGACCGCCGCCGCAGCGGCTGAGGCTGGGAGCGCTGCGTCTGCGGCTGCGTTTGGATGCTATGAGACTAAAGTGACTCCTTACCACATGAACATGATGGGCTCTTCTTCTGGAATCTCTAGTGCTTACAGTTTTGGTTATGGACATGGTTTCTGATTCCTACTTTTTTTGGGGGTTTGTAGAAATAGAAAAGAAAAACTGAAATAGTGAAATCAAGGCTAGTTTCTTGCTGCCTAATCATTTGGGTCATCATCATTAGATTCAAGTTTTTATATTTTTTCCACAAATTGATGATGATTGATTTTGGAGTTAGACCCATTGGTTTATAAGTGAAACATTAAATTCTATGAGCAGTTTCAGTTTGGGTTCCGGACATTCCATGTCAATGTCTGGATAATGGTCGACTTTAATGCTATTTTAATCATACAGATTTGGATTAATTGAACTGATTATAATCACATTTTATTAATTGTGTCAACCGTTTCAACATGAACAATGCACAGAGAGAGAGAGAGAGAGAGAGAGAGAGGAAGAAGAAGAAGAAGAAGAAGAGATTTACAGTTTGCAGACCAAAGTTACAGAAATGACATTTTAGCTAATGTGACAAAGAAAAAGCTGAAAAAACATTCACAGATTATCATTCTTCCAATCGCAGAGGAGAGAGAGAAAAAAAACAAAGAGCAAGACAGAGACAATGAGAATTCACTGTGTTTCTTCCTCTTACTCTGAAGCAACAACTTCTTCGTCTTCCATCCCTTCTGTTCTAATATCCGGCAAAGTCTGCAGGTCCGTGAGAGCCTCCTTCTCTTCCTCGGAAATCGTATTGTCCGAACCATCAGCCATGTTGTCTGAAGAGTCAGCTGTCTCGTCCGTTGAAGAGAGGTCGGAACTTTCCAAATCCGAATTCTCTGAGACATTCTCCGTTACGACAGACTCCGAGGTTCTGTTCGAGGGTGGAGCTTCCGTTGATGATTCTTTAGACTCGGATCTCTCTGAATCAACTGGCAGGTCAGAGGCTCCTTCCGGTGTTATGGCAGATTCCGCTTTGCTCTCTGCCAATCCCGAAGCTTCGAGACTTATTTCTGATGAGTTGCTATTATCTGTTTCCCGGCTCTTCGATTCAGGATGATCATCGGATTGTGTTTCTATTCTCGAGTAAGAACTCAATGATTCATCGCCACCGTCTTTCTCTTCTGTGTTTGTTTTGTTTGCGGAAGTTTCGTCCCCGGATTCCCCCAACCCGATTTGCTCGATGGCAACTCTGGAAACATTTGTATCGGAATTTCCTTTCTCATTGTGGGAGACTGCGCTCGAAGCATCATCAGCCTTGTAATGCTCTTCCCGTGCCTCGTGAACCGTCATATCAATTTCATCTGAATCATTGCCATCCTCGATCTTCCACTCTTCTTCCTCGTTTCTTCCATTTGATTCACTCCCCTTCTCACCGTTGTTCCCTTCCCTTTCTTTCTCTTCTTCATTCTCCCGATCAGTTTTGCCAGTTTTACCTTGATCTTGCTCATCAATGTCGTCTTCTGAACTGCCGTCATCATCCTCCATGTCTTGCTCTTCCACGAGTTTGTTCTCTTCCTCCACTCGCTTATTCTTGCCTTCCTCCTCCTCTTCTTCTTCCCTCTCCTCCTCATCACGATGCTCGTTCTCTTTCTCCTCTTCTCCACGACCGGTTTCTTCTTCATCCGCACTGTCTTCATCCTCGTCCTCCACAACCCTCTCGTTCTTGCTCACAACCCGGGAATGGGGAAGGTCTTTTCTCCCGAGCTTCGCCACTCCATCTCCGTCCCGCGATACCGTCATTGTTTTCGTATCCTTCTCATAGAATTCCTTCTTCTTCTCGTGCGAATACTTAAGTTGATAGATCAACCAGACACAAACCCCGACGAGAACGCATATCTGCAGGATGTGCTTCCACTTGATTCCCTTGTTTGCCCTTTGGCTCCTGCTCGTTGTCGTCTTCTTCGTCGTCATCATCACCACCACCACCACCACCACCACCACCACACAGAGTCCGAATGAATTCACGAAACGAAACCAAAACCAAAGGGCCAAAATATTTTGCTTCCCTGTGAAAATTGGAAGACAATACAACAGAACAAGTGATCAAGTTCAGGCAATTCGGAATCTGACAAACTTTGATCAATCATTTCACGACCATATCAGATGAGACGACATGCATATAACAGAAGAACCAAACGACCCTGTTGTCCAAAATGAGAAAACCAAAACGCGAGAGCTGCTTCAAATCCTAAATTAAGAAACTACAAGGATGAGAGATTCTAACCAAACCAGACCAAAATCCAAACCGAACCCTAGAAAACCTAGTTACAAGAACAGTAAACAGACGGAAAAAAGAACAATTCATAAGAAACCCACCAAATTTTGAACTCAACAGGACAAATCCCATCGACCAGAACCCAGAACCCATTTCACGAAAGGAGCTAAATTTTTAGGATCAGACGAGAAAAGAGAGAGCCCGCGAAGAAAATGCAGGAACATGAGCTTGAAACTGAGAAGAATCTAACAAGGGCAAGTGAAGATCCGATTGATGTCTTAAAAAGACGAGAGGGAGAGAGAGAGTCAAAGATGTTTCAGACAGTACCTGGAGAAGGAGAAGCCGTCGAATCGTTTGAGATGAATTTGTAAGAAGAAAAAAGCGGCTAAAGTACGAAACTTTGAAGGAAAGAGAATGTGGACGATAACAGTGTCAAGACACAGACAGACATAGCAGCGAAGAGGGCGATGAGGCGATTGTCTCGTGGATTTGTCTCCTCAAAAAACAATTTTTTTATTCTATTTTCTATTATTAGTATTACTGAGATATAAAATTATTTTCTCCCCCGACAGAGAATAAGCATGTATATATATATATATATATAGAAATATCTGTGTATGTATATATGGCATATGCCCGCGACTCATATGTGCCGTCCCCAGTCCAAGAGATCTCGGAGAAACTAACGCCAATCTAAAATGAATCACGTATGCAACTGTACGGATTAAATTTAATTTTAAATAGACTGATTTGATATTTTAAAACTAAACTAAGTTAATTCAAATTAAATCAGGATATGATAGTAAATAAATTTAAATAAATATCTTGTAAAAAAATTAATTTATTTTATATAAATCAAAAAAATAAATTTGAAAATAATAAAATGGAAATATCTGAAAAATAACTACTCCACGTATCCCTATATCAAATCTGTATAGTAAGCAAAATACAAAAAAAAAGAGAATGAAGCAAGGAAATTAGGCAAAAGGGAATATAATTTAAAATTGTAACAAAAAAGGAATTAATTTGAAAATAATAATAATAATAATAATAATATTTTTATTTATTTATTCATTTATCATCATCATGTGGAAATAACCTTAATATAGTTTTATAGATGTCTCGTCGGGTTCTTTGGAGTTGTATCTATTAGGCACACGGTGGAGTCCATTTCGTTTAGTCGTATTTTTTGTTCTCATACTCGAGCGTCTTTTTTGTAGCTTTTACCCATTTTCTTGATTAGTTTGGAGAAATTAAATTTTAATTTAATACTCTATAGAAATTAATATTCCCAACCATATATATACATATATCAGATGAATAACATAGGCTACATAGCGTTAAGTTCTAGGTAAAATTCCTTTATTTCTTGCGGAATTACGAAGACTCTGTCTCAGTCAGAGGCTTCTGGTTGGGTTTTGAGAAAACCGCACATTTTCTCTTGGTTCATTAATTTGCAGGTTAACCGGTCTGGGTTAAGGGAATCCGATTCATTTCGTGCCGTTTTGCAACCGAAGGAGAGAGAAAAGGGAGTTCAGCGGAGAATGAGGCGACAGAGGGGAGGTCAGCGGTGACCGAGCATGGGGATCGACGACGGTGGTACTGTAAGATGTGTCTAGGTCTAGGTCGTGTCTGTTTTTCCTTTCTTTCTCACATTTCTTGGTTGTTCTTTGCGGTGAGACTCCGGCGTTTGTGGAGATCCGCCGTTTTCTTCTTCGATTCCGTCGATAGTGGATTCGCGGGGTATTCTCCGGCCGAGACCTAGGGTCCGTGGGACCTGAACTCGTAAAACTCGGTGTCTTCTCCTTCTTCTTTTTTATTATATAGTTAAATATGTTGATGTTATTAAAAACGATACAAAGTAATTCGAATTTCTGAGTTTCTTTAAATGGTGGGAACCTATCACCACAGTCCTTTGAACCGGACACCGGTCGATCCCACGGATCGGACAACATCTCGGACAGTAAACTCTCCGGCTCCGTGCAATAGCCGGCAAACCACGAGGTAAACCAGTCGAAATTGATCGGTTTAGAGAAAATTCATACCTCAAGAGGAATCGAACCCATAACTTCAGTTAGAAGGGGCTTGTCATTTTCCAACTGAGTTTAACACCTCCTAAATTTCTGAATTTTGAACATTGTGTTTTTTTATTCAACTATTCGCAGTCGCAAATTAATTAATATCAATTACGATTTCTCTAATGCCATCTTTTATATATCTTTGTTAGTGTAAGAGATTTATCCAAGTTAGGTTACCAAGTGGAGAAAGCTTAAGTTTTGGTCTCTTTTGGGAAATTCTATAAATAAAAAAAACTGATGATAATTATACAAATAAACCCGGATGTTATTGTGCGGATAAAAAAAGAGAGAGAGAGAGAATTCCACAAATGCAAACTGTTTTGACTTGCCAAACACACGACACATATAGATACAAAACCATCATAATCTATTTTAGTATGGTTTGGTCCCAATGTAATTCCCCGGAGGATCATAGTTGCACACTATAATAGTTGAACCACTCTCACACTTGACCTTACCACAACCGAGCCGAGCCGTGTCACGCCACACGACCTGCGTGTAATGCCCACAGGCCGGACCACGGCACGAGTTCGAGTAATAGTCATAGGAAGATTTCTCGCCCACCCACATGGCCACGGCCTGAGCCGCCGTGAGATCTCCGCTCCCAAACGCCAAATTCTCGCCGTAGGGTCCAGTGGAATGTACGAGGGCGCAGTCACCGGCCCTTTGGTTCGCGTAGTCCTGAGCCACCGACGCTAGCCCGTCGTCCCATTTCAGTGGCTTGACCCTTACCTTGGCTCGAGCAATGTTGTGTGGTATGAGATAGTCTTGAGAGGAATCTCCCGAGTATTGGTAATACTGTGAGTACTGAGCGTTGGAAATAGTGATTAGGGTTACGAGAATCGCGAGATTCGCTACCGCTCGAAACATTTTTGTTGCGTTTATTTACACAAATGGATGGGAAGTTTCATGGGTACTTATAGAAATCGAGGGAGAGGGTCTAAAAGTTACGTACTATATCAGTGATGCATAAGGTTAGGGCATAAGTTGGTGGCACGTTCCGTCGTGGTTTTATTTGAATAATTAATCATTGATTTCTTTCCATATTTTTTGATGAAATCTTTTGTGCACGTCTTTTTGGACGGCAAATGATATTGAAAAATGAGGGATTAGGGTTACGAGAGATTTTATTTAGAATAAGATAAGTTGGACTGACCGTCTTGGACGGCTGATTGGGATATCTTTGAAAATGTTCATGCAACATTAAACAGAGATATCATATATTGGGGGATGTAAATAAGATACAATCTCAAATTATACGATCCTGTATACGATTACATTTATACATATACATATACAAAATATACTAAAAATACATCATCTGGGTAAATGTTTTATCAAACACTCACAAATAATTTTATCCGTTTCACCGTGATACCAGCGTTTTTAAATTTTAAGTTGATATATATATATATATATATATGTGTGTGTGTGTGTGTGTGTGTGAAACGAATGATTTTGTGCGAGATAAACTTTTTTGTGTCAACAATATCGGACAATTAATATTAGAAAACAAAACATCTCCAAGCAAAAAGAGATAAGGGTCTTATTAAATATGCCACGATCGAGACGGCTTATTCGTGATTGATTTTTGTATCATATATAGATCGATAGATAATATATAGTTCTCCATATCTCAAAACTTTAATCATCCGATCTGAGGGATGTTGAAGACTCTGCCCTTCGGATCAAGCGCAAGGTACACTCTGTTACAACAGAAGTCCGGAATCCCAACTCTTCCTCCCGGGATGATCACTACCGTCACGTTCGGATTCTCTCTCTCGATCTTCGCTTTCGCCTCTTCCGGACTCTTTCCTCTCAGCTCAGGCCACATAAACTTCTTCCCTGCGGTTTTTACGTGTCGAAATTCGATTGTTATATGTCTCTCGGACAACCGTTTTCCGAACACGACTTGTGGTTCAAAGTCAGGTTCCAACCCATGATTTTAGAGATACAAGTATATATGAGTGGTTGGACCAAAGTAAGAGATAGAAAATGAATATGACTCTTTCAGAGAATCATATACCATTGGCGCAACAAATTGGATCTGTGCATCCACCAGCCGCACACGGAGGGTAACGAGGCCAAACAGACATGATCTTGATATTAGTTTTTTGTTATCTTTTTAATGATTATTGCTAAACTTGAGATGTGATCAACAATTAGATGCACACCCACTGTATATATAGCCCTAATCATAGCTCCCAATGGTAGGAAATGAATTATAAATTACCATTAAATGTACATATCGTTAGTTTCCCGATATGAATTATAACCCTAACGGTATGTTTCTCCATCTTGAAATATTTTTTTTTCTCTATTCTAAAGCCTGACTCGAATTGTCAAACAAAAATATGTGGAAAAATGTCATAATGTATCACAAACGTTTTAAAGCTTTTTTTGGAAGAATATGGAATGTCATTTTTTTCATAAAAATTAATGTCGAGATCTTATTTTAAATGTCTAAAAAATTTCTCTCATAATGGAAAAATTTCAGATTTTGTTATCTCCAACTTATTTCTTCTCAAATAGAGAAAATCTCCGGAAAAAAAAACCACGTACTTTTCAGATATCGACAAAAAAACCTGTTTTTTTATTACAAAAAAATGTTATACTAATACTTATTCACCAAAATATAGTTGTACTTTATAAATTCTAATAAATAAACCCCTAAATACAAATACAAAAAAAAACGCGGTCAAAAATCTGTTCAACCTAATCCAACCGATATATATCCGAACCGATTAAAATAATATACTAGATTGGATATGAATATTTCAAATCCAAAATAACCAAACCCGAAATAACCGAACCCGAAATAACTGTAAAACGAATACACCAAACTCGAATTAACCGTAACCGAATATAACCGTTTATCTACTTATATATATGTCATCACTTAATATCCAATATATTCTAAATTTAATTAGAAAAATTAATATAACGATATTGGATTCACTCGAATTTGAAATATTCATATCCAATCTGGTATGTTCATGTATATATCGGTCGGATTCGGTTCGGTTATTTCGGATTTGAAATATTCATATCCAATATGGTATATTATTTTAATCGGTTCGGGTATATATCGGTTGGATTAGGTTTGGACAAATTTTTTATCGTATTTTTTACGTTTGCGTTTAGGGGTTTATTTGGTAGAATTTATAAAATACGGATATATTTCGACGAATAAATATAAGTATAGGATTTGTTTAGTTATAAAAAAAAGTACAAATATATTTTTGTTTGATATATGAAGAGTACAAATTATATTTCGGCGAATAAGTATAAGTATATGTTTTTTTGGTAATAAAAAGGTACGAAGTTTTTTTGGATACGTGAAGAGTATATGATTTTTTTGGTGATTTTTCCTCTCAGATATTATTAACGGATGGGAAAAATTAATAGCAGAATTAGCAGAAAAGAAAATTCAATAAAACAAAAACCAAATAAACAAATCCAAGACGATTCTCATTAGGTTATAAAAAAAAGAAGATGATTATCATTGGGTTGCAATCCCTACTATATATAATCATCACTTCGCAGGCCAAATGAAATGACCAACGTGTTAACACAGAATCTCTTCGTGATATATAGATCAGAGTTTAGTTGGAGCAAAGGTCCATAATATAATTTATCATGAAAATAAGTACAACATACGCGTAATTCAGTACGGCCATGCACGTACAGAATCGCGATGCATATTATTCAATCACAACAAGTATAATACATAGCACAAAACACAATAAAAAGCAGAGAACGTAATCATCAAAATCTGAGAGATTGATGGGTTTTTTTTTTTTAATTGAAATATACACACATATCGCGTATGTGTATATATATATGTATGTGTTTAGTAAGGCCACTGGCCGATGAAGTTGCCACGAGGATCGTAGTTGCAAGTGATGAATGTTCCGCCGTCGTCACACGTCACTTTGGCACAACCCAACCTCACCGAATCTCTCCACACAATCTGAGTATAGTGTCCGCACTGCTTCCCAGCACGACACGTGTTCGTGTTGTAGTCGTAGTCTGCCTTCTCGTCCACCCACATTTTCACGGCGGCGGTTCCCGACAAGTCTCCGCCACCCCACGCTATGTTCTCTCCGTAAGGTCCGCTCGAGTGGGTGAGACTGCAGTCTCCTCTACGCTGGTTGGCGTAGTCCCGCGCGTAGGCGGCCACCGTCTCGTCCCATTCTATGGGCCCCACTCCTACCTCGGCTCGGGCCTGGTTGTGTGCATCCACGTAGTCTTGTGGCTGGTCTTGCGCCCTCATGGGACCCACTAGGGCTAGGACCAAGGCGATGACCAAGATTAGGGTTTTCATCTTTTTTTTTTTTTTGTTGTTGTTGTCGTTTGGGTTTTGGTGTTGTTTAAGCTTTGTTAGGGCGAGATGTAAGGATCCAAAAGAGAAGATGTATATATAGAGGTCTCTTGGGGTTATTTAATGGATAAATATTAAAACTTGTAAAATCTTTTTTCTACATAAATAACACTTGTAATTTTTTGTATTCTAATCCTTTTTTACCACGTGCATTGAATGAAAGAACCAAAGAGCAATAAATTACCATTATGTCACGAGGTTAATAAATAAGCAATTGAATTATAAAATTAGGAGGAAGGTTAATTAAGACTAAAACTTTGGAAATCATTAGACTATATGTCCAACATGCTTTGCTTTTATTTTTTTTAACATATGAAGGAGAAACGATTGACATGTTGTTATTAGTTTTGTTGCTTATTTGTTTTTAATTTCATCCAATATTTGGTCCGTCAATATGCTATAGCCGTCGAGACTTCTCTTTCTAGTCGTTATCATGCTTTGTACAAAATGGAAAAATGGTTGCCAGACTATATATGGAGCAAACAGTTACCGTCGTTTAGAGGGTACGATAGAATCTGACTATATTTCAATATTTATACTTAATATATATAGAAATCATGTGAAAAATTCATATGTATTTTTTAGAGTTTAAAAATTCAGTATTTATTTTGAAAGTTTTTTAAATAGAGTATTTTATATGTGATTTTCCTATATATAATGAAAAAAGGAATATTCTTCATACTTCTTTGATCGTCATAAAATTACCTAACACAAACTAAAAATATATATTATATAGATTAGTGTCTTATAAAAGTTTATAAATAATTTTATTGAGTCAAAGCCATCATTTGATGTACCTTAGTATTCTTCCAATAAAAACAAGGCTGCCGAGCTGCCTCTCGAGTTTGAATTATTTTTTAGGGAGATTCATATATTAAATATTGAACTTTAACCAAATTTCCAAATTAAATATTCAACTGTCACATTTCCAAATTAAATATTCAACTATATCTAAATTGACAAATAAAAACCAAACTTTTCAAATTTTAACATATATCTAAGTGATAATCCCAAAAAAATCATATACTTTTTTTTCGTCACAATTTAAACCCTATACTTTTTTTATCCAACAAAACCCTATACTAACTTTAACCAAATTTCCAAATTAAATATTCAACTGTCACATTTCCAAATTAAATATTCAACTATATCTAAATTGACAAATAAAAACCAAACTTTTCAAATTTTAACATATATCTAAGTGATAATCCCAAAAAAATCATATACTTTTTTTTCGTCACAATTTAAACCCTATACTTTTTTTATCCAACAAAACCCTATACTTTTTCAAAATTTTAAAAATTATACACATTCATATACACATATTAATTATTATAAGCACAAAATTAATTACATATTTATTTTCCACAAAATTAATTACACATTTATTTTATATATTTATATGTATATATATGTTTTGTATATATATATAAAACAATATACAAATAATAAATAGTTTTTTATATATATAATGATTTTTAGGAAAAAAATACATATATCACACATATATATAAAATATATATATATATATATAAATATATAAAATAAATGTGTAATTAATTTTGTGCTTATAATAATTAATATGTGTATATGAATGTGTATAATTTTTAAAATTTTGAAAAGTATAGGGTTTTTTGAGATAAAAAAGGTATATGGTTTAAATTGCGACGAAAAAAAAGTACAAGGTTTTTTTGGGATTATCCCTTAGATATATATTAAAATTTGAAAAGTTTGGTTTTTATTTGTCAGTTTAAATATAGTTGAGTATTTAATTTGGAAATGAGATAGTTGAGTATTTAATTTGAAAATTTGGTTAAAGTTCAATATTTAATATGTGAATCCCTATTTTTTATATACAACAACAGAATTTTAATAACATTAAATTTTATTATTTTGTCTTATAATTTATTAATCGTTTGAGTGGCTGCATTTGCACTCTCCGAGCACTTTTTTTCTCCATATGCAACAGAAAATTTAATTTAATTTAGTATTTAATATGTTATATATTGATGTAAACTTCTCGTGGCGCGGTCGTAGGGTATATAGGTTTGGCATTGTCAAAACGAAAATATATTAATTTCTTGCACATTAGTGTTGTTCTGCGTTGCCTACCCAAAAACAAAAAAATATTGAATGTTCTTTTAGGTTAGCGCAAAAAGAAATAGCGAGTGAATAATAATAATAATAATAATAATAATAATAATAATAATAATAATAATAATAATAATAATAATAATAATAATAATAATAATAATAATAATAATAATAATAATAATAATAATAATAATAATAATAATAATAATAATAATAATAATAATAATAATAATAATAATAATAATATAGGAGTATAACGGTAGAACGCGAGAAAATAAAATGGAAACCCTAGGTTAGCCTAGGTTAAAGTATTTGCAAGTGACAATTATACCCTTATACTCCTGTAATGTCATCGATTTTTATTTTTTTTGGATAATGTCATCGAAATTTATTTTCATAAGAGAACAATTCGTATACCCCACACACAAAGAAGTAATTTTCAAATGGGAAATGTTGTGTGACATTAATTAAGATTGGTTTTTCTTCAAATCTTGATAGTTAGCATCGGTAATTTTGTTGAAGTTTCTAATTTTTATATTCAGTATTGATATTATTGGGGTTAAAAAAGGACAAATCCATGGATTTTCACTAACATCTGGATTGAAACAAAAACTGAGATATGATAATCATTTCGCAGGCCAAATGAAATTACCAATGTGTTAACACTGAATTTCTTCGTGATGTATATATCGGAGATTAGTTGGAGCAAAAGGTCCATAATATAATTTATCATGAAAATAAGTACAAACATACGCATAACTCAGTACGGCCATGCACGTACAGAATCGCGATGCATATTATTCAATCACAACAAGTGTAATACATAGCACAAAACACAATAAAAAGCAGAGAACGTAATCATCAAAATCTGAGAGATTGATGGTTTTTTTAATTGAAATATACACACATATCGCGTATGTGTATATATGTATGTGTTTAGTAAGGCCACTGGCCGATGAAGTTGCCACGAGGATCGTAGTTGCAAGTAATGAATGTTCCGCCGTCGTCACACGTCACTTTGGCACAACCCAACCTCACCGAATTTCTCCACACAATCTGAGTATAGTGTCCGCACTGCTTCCCAGCACGACACGTGTTCGTATTGTAGTCGTAGTCTGCCTTCTCATCCACCCACATTTTCACGGCGGCGGTTCCCGACAAGTCTCCGCCACCCCACGCTATGTTCTCTCCGTAAGGTCCGCTCGAGTGGGTGAGACTGCAGTCTCCTCTACGCTGGTTGGCGTAGTCCCGCGCGTAGGCAGCCACCGTCTCGTCCCATTCTATGGGCCCCACTCCTACCTCAGCTCGGGCCCGGTTGTGTGCGTCCACGAAGTCTTGCGGCTGATCTTGCGCCCTCATGGGACCCACTAGGGCTAGGACCAAGGCGATGACCAAGATTAGGGTTTTCATCTTTTTTGTTGTTGTTGTTGTTGTCGTCGTTTGGGTTTTGGTGTTGTTTAAGCTTTGTTAGGGTGAGATGTAAGGATCCAAGAGAGAAGATGTATATATAGAGGTCTCTTGGGTTATTTAATGGATAAATAGTAAAACTTGTAAAATCTTTTTTGTACATAAATAACACTTGTAATTTTTTGTATTCTAAGTCCTTTTTTACCACGTGCATTGAATAAGAGCATCGAAGATTACTATGTGAGGTTAAATAATAAGAATTTGAATTATAAAAATTAGGAAGTAGGTTAATTAAGACTAAATCTTGGGAGGACATTAGACTATATATATGTCCAACATGCTTTGCTTTTATTTTTATTTTTTAACATATGTAGGAGAAACGATTAGCATGTTGTTATTAGTTATGTTGTTTCTTTGTTTTTAATTTCGTCCAATATATGGTCCGTCAACATGTTATAGGCTTATAGCCGTTGAGACTTCTCTTTCTAGTCGGTATCATGTTTTTGTACAAAATGGAAAAATGGCTGCCAGACCATGGAAAAGATAATTGGATAACATTTCAACGTTTAATGAATGATGAATATTAATTAGAATCAAACAATTAATCGAACGAATATATCATGGTATGTATATATCTTAGAGAGAACGGAAGAAAAGGGTACACAAAGAAAGTTTTAAAAGTAGCAAAATTTTATATATTTCATATTTTAATATAACTGCTTTTAGATTTTTATTTTTCTATTAAAACTTTGTAATTACATAGTTTAATACCCAAGTTTAAAAATTCATTTTTAATATCCGAAATCTCTACAATTTTTTTTTTTAAAAAAAATTTAATTGAATTCGTTCTGAGCCTTGAAATTGAACTCTTCATTTAAGACTTGTTGATGCGAATTGAATCGATGTCTCTAGCACGAGCGAATTGAATTTGTTTGCTATTGCCTATTAAAATTATAAAAAAAAATTAATAATTATACAGATTCGATTAGTTTTTGAAATTATTTTTATATTTCATTCGAATTCCATTTGCTTTTATATATCGAAATCGAAACAGCCACCCTAATTCCTCGGAAACTTCTAAATTGTTTGAAGATTTCAGTATTTGAAAATTTTAGTCTCAGAATTCACCCCAAAGTTACAAGGTAGAAGAACTAAATGTAACGTATAATTTCCAAATTTGGGATTAGGGAATTCTAGTAGGAAACATTTCCATTAATTGGATTAATAAATCTAATTTTCTCAAATTTCAATATCAAAACAAAATCTAAACCATTATAATAATGAACAAAAATTCCTCAAAACCTGATTATTTCCAATGATCATACGTAGGCTAAAACATATTAATTTTGTATCATGTGATAATCTTTAAACGGAAGGTGATTTTAATAAATTTGAGCCCTGAATTGTATATCGTAAAAGTACAAGGACTAATGATATCAATGTGTAATTTTTAATTATTTTATGGACATAATTTGGCATACAAATTCAATAGACCGAGGGTAATGGTCCGTCATTTTAGATGTTAAGGCAATTTCACTAAACCCCATTTATGAGAAAATATATTTTTTACCGAGGAAATGAAAGAATTCAGATATGATTTCATTTCGGTATTCGAGTATATTTAATGTTTATGATTGATTTCAGCATATTATAGATTCAGATAAATTTCACATTTTGTTACAATATTGTATTAATTTTATAAAATTTATAACAAAAATTAAATACGCAAGATTAATTTTCGCCGATCTTGTTAGTTTCTATCTGATTGCTTAGGAGACAAAACTATGTTGAAATTTCTAATTTCTGTATCCGGCATCGATATTTTTTTTTAATTAGTTTTAAAGGAAAATTCATTGACTTTCACTAAGCAGAGATAGACACAAACATATATGATCATCACTAGGAACAAAGCTTATGATTCAATCACAAGTATACGTACCATTGAACACAGTCAAACACACAACGTAATCATCATAGGCTGACAGATTGATGATTTTTATTCATATTACATTACACATATCGTATATGTGCGTGTATATTTGCAGGTGTGTGTGTATATATATATATATATATATATACGTCTTTTGTTTAGTAAGGGCGCTCGCCATTGAAGTTGCCGGGAGGATCGTAGTTGCAGGTGATGAATGTTCCGCCATTGTTACACCTCACTTTTGCACATCCCAACCTCACCGACTTTCTCCAGACAACCTGAGTATAGTGTCCGCATACCTTCCCGGCACGGCACGTGTTCGTGTTGTAGTTGTAGTCGGCCTTCTCGTTGACCCACATTTGTACGGCGCTGACTCCCGACATGTCGCCGCTGCTCCACGCTATGTTCTCGCCGTACGGTCCGCTCGAGTGGACGAGACGGCAGTCGCCTCTACGTCTGTTCGCATAGTCCCGCGCGTATGCGGCCACTGTCTCGTCCCACCGTATGGGGCCCACCCCGACCGCAGCTCGGGCCCGGTTGTGAGCGTCCACGAAGTCTTGTGGTCTGTCCTGGGCCCTCGTGTGAGCCACTAGGGCTAAGACCAAGGCCATGGCCAAGATTAGGGTTTTCATTTTTTTTTTTTTGGTGATTAAGCTTTATCAGGGTTGACAAGTGAGGATCCAAGAATGAAGGTATATATATATATAGAGGTATGTTAGGGTTATTTAGTGGAATAATATCAAAAGTTGAAAATCTTTTCGTGGGAAATGAGCACTTGTAATTTTTGTCTCTCATAAATTATTGTTGTACTTTATTGTGGTTAAATAGTAAGAATTTGAATTATAAAATTATGAAGTAGTAAGACTAAATCTTTGGAGGACGGGGTAAAAGACATTAGAATATATCCCAATCAGCCTTTTGTTCTAATTTTTTTAACATATTTAGGAGAAACGATGGATATGTCGTTATTATTATTTTATATAGTTTTCAACTTCATTCAATCGGTCCATCCATGTGCAGTATAGCCACCGAGAATATTCGTTTTAGTCGTTATCATGGTAGGTTGAGAAGTGAAAAAATTGTTGTCAAACTTGGTTACTTTTGGGTAACCGGGTATCTTAGACCGAGGTCCAAACTAATCTCGGGATTGGGAGCAAACCATGTGATTGAAATTACACTCTCCTCTCCAACTCGAGGCTCGAACTCGAAGTGAAACAAACGTTTTGCGTCCCGTTTCACCGGTTGAGTTAACCAAGTTGGGTATTAACGTCTCATTATATATATATTTGGATGAAGATCGGTTACTTTTAACTATGAAAATTAGAAAATAATTAATAATTATTCATTAGATTCGTGAATTATTTTTATATTTAATTCGAATTCGATTTGCTTTTATATTTCAAAATCCAAATAGCCACCCTAATCTTGGAAGCTTCTAAATTGTTTGAAGATTTGTGTTTTTGTTTTTTATTTTTATTTTAGTCCCGGAATTCACCGCAAAGTTACAAGGTAAAAGAATTAAATGTAACGTATAATTTCAACATTTGGGATTAGGGAATTCTAGAAGCAAACATTTCCATGAATTCATTGGATTAAAATTAAAATCTAGATTTCACAGATTTCAATGTCAATACAAAATTTAAACCATTGGAATAATGAACAAAAATTCCTTCACTTCTTTGATCATCATAAAAGTGCCTAACAAAATTAAATATATATTACAGATTACGGTCTTGTACAAGTTTATAGATAATTTTACCAAGTCAAAGCCATCTTTTTGTGTACGTTTGATTTCTGGCATTTCCCAAAAAAAAAAAAAAAAAAAAAAAAACGAGGCTGCCGTGCTAGGTCCAAAATGGACGCCACTTCATATAAACCTCTCTTCTCTGCAAATTTATTATTATTGAATTTTATTATTCGAATTATCATCATCATCATCATCAATAGCCATCAAGACTCTTCCTCAATCATGTTAGGTCCAAAATGGTTATCAAACGATATTGCAAAAAAAAAATGTTATAGTTGGATGAAGATCATTTCCTTAACTAATATTTTTTTCAAATACTTAGACAAGTGACTCAACGATGCATTTATCGACCAAAATAAAACCCTAAATATTCGATTTGTTATAAAATAATATGAATATGTGGCCTATTAAATTGGGAAATTTTGTGGATGAATATTTATTTAAAAATTGTGTGGGGCAATTTGTTAATCAAAGTTTCATATATATATTTTTTTTAATTCAAATGGAATTCAAGGCGTATAACAAATTAGAAAGAAAAAAAAAATCCAAAATGTTTATGCTTGGTCGAAGGAAACCGCATATAATATTTAATGCATGAGTAATAAAACACAGACCCCTCAACCATAGATTATAGATATATAAAAATATCATTATTCGAATCAGAATCGCATCATAACTAATAAGGTCTCTCCCCAATGTAGTTCCCGGGAGGATCGTAGTTACATGTAATGAACGTCCCGCCATTGTCACACTCCATTTTAGCACAACCAATCCTCGTAGAATTTCTCCACACCACTTGAGTGTAATGTCCACACACCTTCCCGACACGACATGTGTTGGAATCATAGTCGTAGTCAACCTTCTCGTTGACCCACAGGCCAATCGCCTCGATGCCTGTCAAGTCGCCGGTGCTCATGGCCAGGTTCTCGCCGTAGGGCCCGTTCGAGTGTTCCAGTTCGCAACCTCGGGCTTGTCGGCGGGCGTAGCTTTGGGCGTAGGCCTCTAAGTCGTCGTCCCATGAGACGGGTCCCACACCGACGGTGGCTCGTGCCGTGTTGTGGGCGCTAATGTAATCTTGGTGCGAGTCTTGGGCATGGGTGGAAAGAGCTGTGACTAGGGCTAATAACGTCAGGAATAATGCTTGGGGGATCTTGGAACATAACATGTTCTTCTTTTGTTATTTGTGTTGTTTCTTTTAAGGTTTTGGTCTTTTTGGAGGATACAACACAATGATATTGATGAATCATTTCAGGGGAAACATCCGTAATATTTTTATAAGGAGCAAAGATTGAGCAATGGAAAATGGAAGTAAATTGAATTTTTTAATGTTGGAAAATATATTCATTTGTTCATAAATCGGAGATTGATTAATGGGTCATTCGGAAAAAATGATTACCTTCCCATAAGTCCCATTGTTTTTTTTTTGGTATCTATAGTCCATATTTATATTATTTTCTTTCCTAGTTCTAATGTCTTAGAAATTCTTGTAATTTATTAATGAGTATATCATTGAAAAAGTTAGTGTTATTGAAATATAAAAAATGTGAAAATTTAAATCCTTTTCTAGGTGATATTACGTTTATAATTTGGTTGTTACATATATAAATAAACAAGTTGTTTGTAGGATTTTTTGTTTTACATATTTTTTTTAAACATAACCCAAGGATTTCCAGGAAGGGAACAAAGAATCAAAACAATTAGGCCACGGAACCTTACTCAAACCAAAATAATAATTACTATGGTTGCCATTTTAGGTGTTTTAGGTAATTTTTTAAAATCATTTCATATTTTATCCTCATTAAAAATTATTAATGATAAGGTCAAAGATTGTATTATTAAAGAGTATATGTGACACGTGTGAAAGGGAGGAAGTAATAAACACCAAATTATTCTTTTTTGTCAGAAATATATTTAATCATCGAGGAGAGAGAGAGAGCCGAGGGTGGACGGAGAAGGGCGAGGCAAAGCAAGGTGCAAGACGGGCGAGAGTCGGAGGGAAGGCGACAAAACCAAATCTAACCCTAATTCTAGACGAGTCCAACGATGGGTATCCGTGGATACGGCCTCTCACTGTCGCTGAATCCAAATTCATCCATGGCTTGACGGGTACCCGGTTTTCGGATACACGACTCGCATCTCAAATTGGGTTATCTAAATATCCAGCAGAAAAATCTCAAGATTCTATATTCCAACTACGAACTAGAAAAGAAATCAAACAACAACACAGCAACATGGAGACAAAGAAATTGGAATGAGCGAGCCTTTCTAACCTTGAATCTGTTTAAGACTGGCTACGAATAAGTCGTTCCAGGCGTCGGTGAGGCCCGGGAGGCACCAATGCATGCAGTCATCGTGATTCTTTCCTCCGGCCGAGGCTGGGTGAGCGTCGGCTCTGAACTCACTCATCCGAGTTATGTCCAAAACCCGAAATTCAGAACCCTTCATGGCATTATAGAGGTGCTGATTCACCAGACGCACCTCTACGTTCGTCCCGTTGTTTCTCACCGAAAATAAATCTTCAACCTGAGAAACGCGGTAAAACAGTTCGCATCTTCTCTTTAAAATACCGATAACCCAGCTTTCCATTACACTACTCCTCGATTTCTATAAAATACCGGCAGATGGAAAGAAAAGAACATCCTTGGAGGGTTTTTTAAAGCCTGTGTTCCTCAAAATAACTGAATCACTGATTTTAAAAGTACTTTAAAAACACTTACTTCTTGAGGTAATAAAGGTTTTTCACGCGGGCAAGTGCCACCTTGGTTCCAGTCACCTCCTTCGAAATGCCGAGGTGATTGAGTTCGGAAGAATATGATTGCTCCTGGCCGCTTCGTTTTCTCCACAAGATGTATCTGTTGCAAATGACAATACATGGTTATGGAAGAACAAACTGTTTCACTCAGCAACCATCTATTTAACTGAGTTTGGGTTCGTTCATGACTCTATGATAATGCTCCGCAGTATCTATCTATGATTTTGCTGGCGAAAATCATAGTGAGCACAAATGTTCATATTATGCATATAAGTCCAGGTGTTGTATGATAGTATCGATGATTCATAATTGTGCTAGTTAACATACCATATTTTTCAGAACTCGGTCGAGGCCAACCTCTGGAGGTATGGGAGGAAGTATAGGCTGACCACCTTCGAAGAAAAGCATAGGGGAATTTACAGGATCGAATTTCGACGAAGCCCACCACCTAATAAAACCAGAAGAAAAGGTTATCAACAACATCTCAAATTCTCATAAAGTGTCTTCTTCAATTCAAAGCTAATTTACTCGAGTTAGCGCTGATAAAGAGTACAACAAAATACATATCAGTCATAAAAATAGATAAAAAAAAAAATAGTTTCATTAAGCATTAAACGTAAGGATTCTAAGCTAAGAAGCATTCTGAAAAATGAAATCCTCTAGAGGAGCAACAGATTACTGCGATTTACACAAACTAGAGGATTTCAATAAGCAGTAAAAATTCACTATGGTCTCCTATATGCTGGATCTAAAAGTGTGGTGATCAAGCATTTCACTCTAATGTGATAGACAGTAATGAAACTAGATAACAGTCCAAATCAATTAATTTCTTATAATAGATATTATACAATCAAACAGTGAAGTATTTACCAATGCCCAGTGTTGAAAATGAGAATATCATGGAAGTTCGGAGCCTTCTCCCAAGAGCTTTCTGGAATATCTACATCAATCCTATAACCCTCTTTATATCCAAGAGCTTCTAACTCACCACCATTGGCATTAGCAGACCACCTGCATTATGGGGCAAATTCCAACAGCTGTACGAGTTTGATACTGACGTTCAATACGGATGCCATACCAAATTGTCAAAATCATGTCCAATATTCCTAAAACTCAAATGGACAGATACACCTAAACTTTTAGAGAAGCTCGGATCTATCATCTATTTGCATGCTGGTCACATCAAACAAATAATCTGAACAAACCAAGGCAGATGGTAGCACGACAGTAACCACGAAAACAATCAGAGCAGCAGTACAATACTAGAGCAAAGTTAGCTTACCTACCATAACGTGCCAGAAGGTTCGTCCTATGATAGGTGATGGTAAGATTATACTGCGGAAACGTGAATCCACGATCTGCACCTGCTGGACGCCACTTCTTCACTTCACCACTCACACGCTTTAGAGTGCAGAACAAAGATACGAACATGTTCCTGTTCAAGGAATCACCGACAAACCCTGCACTGTTGAAAAAACATAAGGTCTAGGAATAGAATGGCAGCTCCTTAGAAACATCACACTCTCCAATAAACATTGAGGATGAACTCTTTGAATTCTGAACATTGTGATGTGCCAAGTGAAATTGACGAAATCCGATAAATCGGAGTTGAAGTAAACTTTCTAGTCCTCGTGCCAAGAACGAGAAACAGAACTTCCATTTTCCAAGAATGAAATAGCCGACAGCACCCGCGCTTTGTTTGTTTCTTCACTCTTTGCAACTTATCACTAAACTAAACATTCAAGAAATAGTTCATAAATTCAGCATCGAAATCCAAAAACAAAACCAATAGTTACCAGTTGAAAGATCGAGTATATGGATAAACCTCTATCGCCCATATTTAGTAGTATCTACAATATGAGCTTCTGATTCCGCAATTCCATATGTACATTCTTAATTTTCGTGTTTCTACTCGGAATCGCAATGTTACTCAGAGCGAATACAACATCAAAAACCAAGTAACCTCTGACTTCCTTATGAGCCCATACGCATATGCATACGCATACACCTATACGTATACGAGTCCACATGAACAGGCAATCAAACCCTTTTACGCTAAAATAGGGAACGCAGGCGAGAGAGAGAGAGAGAAAAATCACACCTATGTTCGTATCCCGGTAAGTCTTCAGAAAATCAACCGGATCAAACGACGGAAGATCGCAGTTCCTCGGCTGCCACCGCCATCTGGTGATCTCCGCGGCGTTGGATTTGTTGTTGCGCGCGCAGTTCCATCCCTTGAAGATCTCCTTACAGCTACTGTCGTACCTAGCGGAGGCGGCGGCGGCGGCGTGGATCCAGGATCCTTCCGAGAAATCGCACAAAGCTCCGGAGGGATGGTCAGATCTCGACTGGAAAACGTTAGCGGAGCGGTGGGGATGAGGGGAAGAGAGAGAGGCGCGCCTGGTTAAAGAGAGAAGGAAGAAGACAGAGACGAAGCAGAGGAGAGAGAAGACAGGGAAGAGAGAGATTTTCTTGGCCGCCGTCGTCGCCATGGATGTAGTTGAAATCATCTCAGTTCATCTCAGCCATGGCGGAGATCCGGCATTGGTAACACTGATGCTGTTCGTGGTTTTCCAGCGAGCTAAAAAAAAACTGAGGAAATTTATTGAAATGCGCAAAAATAAAAATATTCAACTTCGTCGAATTTATTATATAAGTGGTTTTTATTTTGATTTTCCGGTTCTTGTTTTTGTTTTTTATTTTGTAGTATTTATAAATCCAAAAAATAGATTTCTGGATCGATCAATTTTCTAGTTTTTGAATTTTAAATTCTAAAAATTTCATCCATATTCAACCCTAATAAAGGAAAAATGTGATATAAAATATTCTGACTCGTTGAATGAATGCAGAGAATATTTGCATTGGTACACAAAAGTTGACAAGTTGATCAGATTACACATCTCCTCTGCAATATTATCACACATCACAAGAATATCTCTACTCTAGTCTCTGCCCCTTTTCCTCCTCTTCTCTTCTTTTATCTTCTTCCTATCCCTCTTCTTCCTCTTCTCCTTTGACTTGTGTTTCCTCTCACGGCCCTTTTCTTTCTTCAGCTTCTTACGGGAACCCTTGGGAAGATCGTCGTCATCAGAGGATGAGTCCGAGTCTTGCCTTGGAGGAGGCGGCCCCTCTGGTCGTAGGGAAACCTGCCTGTCTCCTGTCTCGATAGTTCTTGAAGGTTCGTCCATGGCATTGCCACTCGTGGGAAGATACGGACCTGTTTCATCCATCCTCGGACCAATAGCCCCTCTGCCACGCTTTACCCTATCATTCATGGGACAAAATCAGTAAAACTCCCAAAAGGCACCCGACCTTAACGAGGCCCGTGAACTTAAGGCTACCTCCAAAGCTTCCATGGATGTTAGTTTAACGAAGAAAACGAGAAAGTCTCAGCACTAGGGCTAATTTACCTAAACAGATACCAGATACCAACAAGACTTTCTTCTCATATGAGAAGGCATACCTTGACTGGAGAAAAGTCTCGATCTCCTCATCTCTTAAGCCTTCACCTTCTTCCGAATCGTATCTCTTGCTAGTTTTCCTGCTTGATGATGCCTCACAAGTATCATTCTCGTCAGCCGAGGAGTATCTCTTATCCAAGCTCCTTCTCGAGCAACTGCCATCGTGCTCACTCCAGCGGTGACTGCTGCTCTCTTCTCTCGATTTTCTTTTGCGCCTTTCATTTAGCTCAAGCTCTTTACTCCGAGCCTTCCACATCTCACTGACTTCTACAGCTTTATTTGCTGTATGATGAAATAAAAAGAGCGAATAAGAGATAAGGTACAACCATATTTCAAGTAAGGGTTCAGGCATTCGCACTATGAAACTTTGGACATCGATAAGAAGTTCGGGTACGCCACTGACTCGCCTTAAACCTTGAAAAATGAGAAAAAGAGTCTCAACCCCCTCCATGATTTCTTGCTTTCATCTAGCCTATCAAATAATTGTGAACCATACAAACTAGATTCTCTTCAACATAAGCAAATGCTACCATCTATACATAACGGACGATCGATTCAAGGAGAGGAAACCCCATTAAAACATGCTGAAATAGAAACAGGCCTCTCCCAACTAGATAGTAATTACTATACCGAAATTCCAAAATCATGGCAATGCAACATTTCTTCAATCTTCCTCCTACCAACTCATTTAGCTTGTATAAGAAAAAAAAAAGTATAGTGTGAGTCATGACACATACATCCGATAAAGAATAAAAATATACATTTGGAAGAGAATATGGGAAAACATACATTGTTGAACACCGAGGACGGTGGCCGTGAGAAATCTCGAGTTAGGCCGATGCCTTACATTAGGCTTCTCAAGGTATGCTCGGACGCCTTCTCTTTCAGCTTGCCTCCTCAATTCGGCAGCTTCTCTTAAGAGAATAGCAGCTATTCTATTCTCAGTTTCCAGATCCATCTCAGGGCACCAAAGCAACTACAACATTTTCATAGAAACACCACCAAGGCCAAGTAAATTCAGAAAACCCAAGGAAAATTTCCCAAGGGAGTAATAACTTGCATTGATTCAAGTTAGATCAATCAAGGCACATCAAAGAAAACAAAAACTGGAACCAATATCTTGATCATGAACAACCCACGAACATACGAACAGAGATATAGATATCACTATCTAAATGGCGAATCTTTCCCCTAGTTCGATTACTAATATACCAAAGGACACTAAAGTTTTCCGCACCCTTTTCCTTAAAGCTACGTTCTTTCAGAGCGATGCTGATCCGAGACCCAGAAAAACGATGTAATCGATAGAGAAAACGGACAAAGCCCACAATCGGAAAAAGGTTTCATCAACTAGGGCTTTTGCTCAACCTGATGACCCATGAGATTTATGATCGAGGAGGAGATCAAGTACCAGGAGAAAGGAAATTCCTTGGATATCAAACTTCACAGAGCGTTTTCCGGGGCGTAGAAACCCTAACTCTCAGATGCAAAATCTGAATTCTGGGTAAAGGAAAAAATGAGGTGCAGTTGATGACTCTCCGAACCGGAGAAAACCAGCATAAGAAGTCCGATTTGGTTTGGTATATAAATGCCGGTTAAAATAAACCTGATTCGACACCTAACCTAAACCGAACCCTAGTTCCTCGGTCTTACATAAGCCTGAAACTGATACGATTCCAAACTTTGTCACTGCCTTCATTTCTCTGCACTTTTTATTTAGATTTTTTTTGGCGAAGCTGATAAAATGACGTTAACCCATCAACTCTCTTCTTCCATGCTTTCATCTTCTTCATCCAGTTTCTTTGCCCCTTTAAATTTGCATCCCGGGTACGTTTTTCTTCGAGTCACGCCCTTTTTTCGCATCTTGTTTGGTTGCTGAGAAAATTTTAGGATTTAGGAACTCGTGATTATGAACATAGCTATCATTCTTCTTATATTTCTCTTGCATTTGGTTGCTTTTCTTTTAGGGGTTTTATTTTAATCCTGTGTTGTTTTAGTGTGGACACAGATTGTGTATTAAACGTAGGTCCGATTTATCTCGAGTTTTCTCTCATGTTTATTCTGTTGATGTCGGCTTCAGAACTCGAAATGCGTCGTTGCCCGTGACTAAGAGAGTCAGTACCTGCAAATGTGTCGCCACTCCGCAAGAGCAGATCGGTATATCTTTGTGCTCCTGCTCTTCTTTTTGCTCAAGATTCAAACTTTCTGGGAAAATGTTTGGGAGGAAAAAAGGAATTACCTTTTCCATGTATTGGCAAACGGAACCTTTTTGTGCCAATCATAGTTTCAAGTTGGGCAGTTGTGTTTTGAGATGATTAATGGTTAAATTATTTTGTAATAATTGTTGGTTTGGTTCACTTGGTTTGGGAATGGGGTGAGATATTTATTTTGCTGGCGATGAGTGGTAATCCTCTGTTTGCCTGTTTCACCGGATTAAGTCTCTGATGTTTCTCTGGTTCATGAAGCATACAAGACAAATGTGTCCCGGAATTCAAACATGTCAAAACTCCAGGCCGGATACCTGTTCCCAGAGGTTTGTATCCGAGGCTGTTTCGGTGTATTGCAGATGTGTTTTTCCATTGCCTATTACTGTGATATGTTTGTTATTATTTGGTGATACCTCTGCAAAAGAATGCTTCTTTCTAATCAACTTGCCTCTATATCCATAAAGCACGAGCATTTCTCCTCACCATAAGAAACAAAATTCCGGTAGAAAGCATGACCCTTTTTTATCTTATAGGGATCATACTAGTAGGAAATACTTGGAAGTAGAGCTGTATTTGGAATTAAACTTATCATTTGCGCTCCATTATGATGCTACTTAACCCCTTTTGTATGCAAGCAGATTGCAAGAAGAAGAGGTGCACACTTGCAGAAATACCCAGATGCTCAGATTATAAGTCTCGGAATAGGTGATACAACCGAGCCCATTCCTGAGGTTATTACTGCTGCAATGGCAAAGGTACATTTCTTTTATTAGCTTTTGACTTTCTTTTGAAGTTATAGTTAACTAAATAGTCCATAAACATTTAACCTCATTTTTCTATGGATATATCTGGGGTTTAAGAGAATGTCATTTATATGTAGCTTCATAAGCAAAGATACAGAAAGAATCTTTCATTATAGCACAACTTTCTCTTAATCTTACGATAGGGTTAAAGGCATGGGACTAATTTCTAGCAATGATTATGCGTTTTCTCTGGCAGAGGGCTTATGATTTGTCCACATTAGAGGGTTACAGTGGTTATGGTGCCGAACAAGGTGAAAAGGTAAGCAACTCTTCTTTACTACAATGAGGCAGAAGTATCGTTTATATTCTCTTGCATCTGGTGGTCTCTTGAGCAGTGTAGCTGTGAATTCTCTTGTTTCACCACAAGAGACTTGTGATTGAATTTTTCTTCGAAGCCATCAAAAACTATTTTTCAGACTTTTGCTTTTGTTCAAGTTATCAGCTGTTTTTGGTCTATCATGTTCAACAGTTACACTTAAAATAACCGCTGTTAGGTATCTTGGTTCTTAAAATATTCTATTCAATGAGAATACAAATACAATACAACAAATTGTTGTTGACACCAAGAGATGTAAAAGGTTTGTTTCATAATATGTTAATATTTACATCTTTATCTGTCAAGTTTCTGTCTAAAATGAAATTTCATTACAGCCACTTAGAGCTGCCATCGCTAAGACATACTACAGTGGTCTTGGCATAGGGGAGGAAGATATTTTTGTCTCAGATGGTGCAAAATGTGACATTTCCCGCCTTCAGGTTTGGTTTTATGCTTCGCCCCTTCGTTCTTAAATCTTCATCGTTACTCTTGTCAGGGAAAAAAATGAGCAGTTTTATTGCTTACATGTGATGCAGATTCTCTTTGGCTCCAACATTACAATAGCTGTACAAGACCCGTCATACCCGGTAAAATCTGATTAGCATGATGCCAAACTGCAGTTGTTGTAGTTGGTTTGCTTCGTCTGATTTTTTTTATTCTACAGGCTTATGTCGACTCCGGTGTTATAATGGGTCAGACCGGACAGTTCAATACAGATGTTCAAAAGTACGGAAACATCGAGTACATGAGATGCAATCCTGAGAATGGTTTCTTTCCCGATTTATCCTCCGTTGGGAGAACAGATGTCATTTTCTTCTGTTCCCCGAACAACCCTACTGGCGCTTCTGCCACGAGAGAGCAACTGACTCAGTTAGTTCAGTTTGCAAAGAAAAACGGGTCAATCATCGTATATGATTCTGCATATGCAATGTATATTTCTGATGACAACCCTCGTTCCATTTTCGAGATCCCTGGAGCTGAAGAGGTAATATAATATATTCGGAACCCATTATTGTTTTCTGCCTGATCTTCCATCCATCGTTTCTTAATTGCTCGAAGTTCCTTTCGTCTGTTTAATCTGTATCTATATCTTCTGTGTCCTAAAACCACTTCTGCGTTGGAAGCACAGGTCGCGATAGAGACATCTTCATTCAGTAAATATGCCGGTTTTACCGGAGTTCGTCTCGGTTGGACCGTTGTCCCGAAACAGCTGCTCTTTTCGGACGGATTTCCGGTTGCAAAGGACTTCAACCGTATTGTTTGTACTTGCTTCAACGGTGCATCTAATCTCTCTCAAGCCGGTGGTCTCGCTTGCCTTTCCCCCGAAGGCCTTGAGGTCAGTTTTCCCGAGTATCGAAAAATGCCTGTATTATGTATGCATACATACAATACATATATATGTATACAAACCCATTTGGTCTAAGCGTATGATGGTAAAAACGTGGTTACACTTGCCTTACAGGCAATGCAAAAGGTGATAGGATTCTACAAAGAGAACACGGAGATAATCATCGAGACGTTCACTTCCCTCGGCTACAGCGTCTATGGAGGGAGGAACGCGCCATATGTGTGGGTTCACTTCCCGGGCAGGAGCTCATGGGACATGTTCGCGGAGATACTGGAGAAGACTCACGTGGTTACGACACCTGGCAGCGGGTTCGGACCGGGTGGCGAAGGGTTCGTCCGTGTCAGTGCCTTTGGTCACAGAGAGAACATCTTGGAGGCCTGTCGTAGATTCAAGCAGCTCCTCTCCAAGTGAAGGTTGAATCCCCCATGGCTGCCCTCTCTTGGTAATCCTCTGCATGACGTGGAGGTTTTAGTTCTCTCTCTCTCTCTCTCTCTCTCTCTCTTCTCTTCTCTTCTCCATCTATCTATGGAAGGTTAAGAACTTGGAAATAAGATGTTGTCGGATGTTGTTGTCTCGTTTTGGACACTCTCTCTCCTCTCTGCGTTTCTCAAATCCGAACACTATTGGTTTAATAAAATTTCGATATTGAGAAAGAAAGAAAATCGGTGTAAGACAAGCGAGAAAACAGAGTTATCAAGTTAAAATTGTTTGTCTACTGTGTCATTGAGCCCAATAATAAAAATATTAAATTTGGAAAAAGAAAATTCAAATATGTAATCTACTCCTTATCTATATATATATATATATAATATGCTCACATGACAACTTATGTTTTCCGACGGCATTACTCATTCATCAATCATCGAACGATAAAATAATTGGAAAATATCTCATTATTGTAATAATAATTACGAAGACTAAGGTGATGACTAGGAATTTTACTGAAATATTACAAACACAAGTGTGTCTAAAATTGATTTTACAAAATTAACACGTGGCAATTACCCAATTGAGGTGGGTCCCATGTTTGGCGGCTCTCGTGGATTTTAACGTACAAGTGTTAGAACACGAATCGTATCTTGATAACTTGTGGCATATATCATCACACCTTTATTATTATTATTATTATTATTATTATTATTATATTGTTGTTATTATTATTATATTTTTATGGAGCGTAAATTTCGATATATATCATTGATTCATTGATATGATGTCAGTGGTGGCGGATCCAGAAATTTTTTTCAACGGGGGCAACAAATATAAATATGATATAAAATATAAAAAACTAATAAAAATATATTATCAGAAAAATATTTTTCATTATATAGCTAAATTCTCCGATCTTTCATTTTTTTAAATCTATCCCTAACAACTTCATTTATAATTATCTCAAACATATTTTTTTCGATAAAACAAATTAGAAAATCACTCAAAGGCTGATCACCAATCCGATTACGCAAAGTTATTTTAACATGACTAAAAACTGTCATATAAATGAGCAATTTTGAATTTATTCCGTTAAATAGATCATTAAATTTTGGACACTGTAAATTTTTTTGAGAAATTTCTCAATAGATTTCTCTGTTAAATCAATTATGAGATTTGTATAAAAACAAATTTATTAATATGATAGATATTTAGAAATAAATGAATAAAAGATAAAAAAAATATTTAAAATAAAATCCAGAATACTTACATATTTTTGTTGGTTTTAGTTTTTTGGATTTGATTATTATTGGATTTTTATTTTTTTATTTGATAAAAGATTAAACAGAATTTGTAGTTGGTAAAGAATATAAAAAAATGAAGGAGAATGTAAAATTGGTAGAAAAAAAAATTGAAAAAAAAAAGATTTAGGGTTAAAAAAAATGAGGGGGCACCACTTAATTTTTACTGGGGGCATTGTTATAATTTAATTAAAACTATAAGTAATATTTCTTTTTTTAAAAATGTGAATGGGGGCATGTGCCCCCACTTATGTGCAAGTAGATCCGCCCATGCTCACATGCAATGTGATCTCATATTTGTTCATATTATTATTATTTTATCTATTTTAGATATAAATGCAAAGACAGTTATGAAATAGGATAATATTGGCATGTTTTATATTTTGATTATATTTTTGTTTAGGGATGTTTGACTTTGTATTGGATAATGTACGTGAACTGTTCTTTTAATTGAATATAAATGATAAATGTTAAATCCGAATAAAAGCGAAGCATACGACCGTTTTCTTGAGCGATGGTATAATGACGAAAATACCCCTTCAAACAGGCTGTTATCACGAAAAAGTAGGTTCTTTCTTCCAACGGCTAGTTTTCTGCAACCCCTGTAATAATCTGAAGCACACATACACTTACCAAATCACCCGCACGCTCCTCTCTCTCCCTCCCTCCCTCTCTCTCTCTCTCTCTCTCTCTCATGGCGATGGAAGAAACTGAGGAAGTGATAATGGATGAAACGAGCAGCGAATCTCAGATCTGCGAAGACTTCTACGAGAATATCGAGGCCCCAAAGTTCGTGGATCTAACCGCACCTGATCGCCGCCCAATAGGCGATGATCGTTACTGGTTCTGCGCAAGAGTTGGTCCGAATCTTATTCATCCTCTTAAAGAATTTTTTTTCCCCTTATTTTATAACTTGTGACTCCGTTTTGGAATTCTTTGCGTATGACGGTAAAGATCGTTGATTTTTGGACAACATTACAGTGTGTTCTTGCTGATCAGATCATCATGGTTTCCGAAAATAGAAAGTCAGAGAGACTTTACTGTTTATGCGTATAGGTTTCCGGTAAAAATTCGATCTTGATTTTGAATGATGGGGTTCTCGGTTCCACTTGTTTAGGGTGTGATCAGAACCACGAAGACGACGAAGCGATCTACAAAGATTTCCTTCTTCGGGTTAGTTTTACTTTGGTTTTCTTCTTCTTCGATTATGTATGTATCTGAAATGGTCCACGAACTTAGAATTTTAAACTGGTGAATCATAACAGGTCATGGCGGCCAGAAGCCCGAGCGTTCGGCTTCGGAAAACCCTTTGTAGAAAAGCTTCGAGGTAACGTAATTAGGTTATCGACTTTTAGCTCAAGAGGTCGTGTTATGTGTTTGCTTACAATGTTGTTCTGTTGTCTGCTTTGCCTCCAGTACACACCCTAAATGCCCGAATACGGTTCCTCCGAAGCCTTCGAGATCTCGGATTTCTAAGTTGGCTATGATTTCATCGATCCCACAGAAGGATTCCGATAGGACGAGACCAAAAGCAGGACAGGCTATGTCCGAACAAAAGCATGCTGCTACTCCAAAGACGAAGGGAAAGGGACAGGATTCATCTGTTGAAGCCAAGTCTTTCACCGTTTCCGGCAAGCAAAAGGACAGTGTGACGGATCCAGGAAGCCTTCGTAGTGTACAGAACCCGAAAGACAGAGTTGTTGCAAAGGTTTTGGTGTTTCACTCGCCGAAGAAGAAGAAGAAGGCGGTGAAACTGAAGAGATCTGTGGAACTCAGATCCTCTGTGAAGAAAATATGTAATGGGATGAGGAAGTTAGAGATTGCGAAGAAAAGGAACGTTTTGGGCTTTGATCATAAGCCCGTGCCCTCGGATCAACCTCGACAGCCGCTGAAAAGACGAGAGGTTAAGAGCCGAGTGTTTGATTCCTTGCATTCTAAGAAACAGAACGGTGACAAAGCCAAGTGTCCTGAAACTTTGAGAAAGAGGGTCAAGGATAAAGGAGAGGTTTTAGTTGAAAACAAAACCGAAGAATTGCGGGACACAGTGAAGCACGACGAGAACAAGGGTAATGTAGAAGAAAACGACCGAGAGCTCAAGCTAGAACCAAGATTAGAAGAGACAAAGGAACGTGAAGATAAAGAAAATGCCACGGAAGCTGAAGTCAATTGCAGAGACAATGAAGAGGAAGTTATGGAAAGCGATGATAAAGAAAATGCTTCGGCCATAGACAGCAACAGGTGAGGAGATATTCTCATGTGCTTTTACTTGGTATTGTCTCTTTATTCAGCACCATTCACTCAATGGTCGGAATTCTTGCAGGAAAGCCGATAACTTCACCGACCCTTCGATAAAAAAGAAAGCTTTTGGAAAGAAGGAAACCTCCAAAATGCCTCCAAAGGTAAACCATATAAGCCACGACAAGCCAAACCTTCTTCTCGGCAATCTCTCTGCTTCGGCTAATCTGACCATTTTATGGTTCTTTTACATGTGTTTTCTACCATGCAATGCAATGAACCAGGTGGCTTCGACGACAGATAAGTGCTCGAATGGCAAGTATACAAAGCCTAAGCCCACAAATCCGAAGCCTTTCCGCTTGAGAACCGACGTATGTACAATCCAGCTAACGTTCGTTTTCGCGATTACAGCTTGCGTGATTGTTCGTCTTATACTGAAAGAAACATTTTCTTTTGTTGTTGTTATTGCTTCAGGAAAGGCGGATTCTGAAGGAAGCGAACGCGGAGAGGAAACAGCATCTGCCTTCTGCAAAAGAAGAAACTACTACTCTTCTTGGGTCCAACACAATTCGGCGAAAGCAGGAGATCCAAGTGAGTTTTTTAAAAAAACTGAAACACCCACTCCGTTAAATCTGTGGAAAAAGATTGATGGATCTGACATTTTTAACTGCAGCAGGAGAACAGAGCCACTCCCCGAGTGAAAGGATCATCTAAACCACTTCTAAGACCTGATTCCTCGGATCAGGATAAGAACTCCGAAAGGGTGAACCCTTTTGTCAGAAAACAAACTGCTGCAGTGTCTCAACGGTGAGAATCCACGGTTCTTGTTTCACTCAACTCAAACACCGCAATATTTCCGGTGCTGAATTCGTTAAAACTCGTGTCCTTGAATACAGGGCTACTACTACACCTTCGGGTAGAAAGAAGAGAATATATAAGGAAGCTTCTAAGATGATTCTAGAAGAATCTAAGGAAGTTGAGGCAGTGGAGAGGACAGCGACAACAGTTCCAAGGGGACCAAACTTCCATAGCATACATGTCCCCAAGAGCTGCACAAAGAGAAGATTCGCATCAGTTCAATCGGTTCATTGAATTATGTTATGTTGTTTTCTTCTTCTTCTTTTTATTGGAATGTTCCACTTTTGTTTGATTTTTAGTAGCTTTTTATCCAAGTTGTTTGTAAAACTTTGTATCACGTATGTTCAGGTGATTATTATGAGTCTCCTGCAAAGGATCTAATTGTCATTTCGGAAAAATGAGGGGTTGATATATAAATACTGAATTGTAATTTCTGTTTCTTTGTCTATTATCATTTATTTTTATTAATTTCCATAATAGTATCAAAAATATATTTTTCCTTCTTTAGGTCTTTTAGCCACTGTCTGTCTGACTCACCTCATCCTCCACTCCACATCCGAACAGAAGATTTCTACCAAAAGAGATTCGGAGAAGAGGAAGACCCAGAATTTGTGATCCTTCAACAATGGCGGTTCCCCAACCGAAACTGGAGCTCCGACCTCTTGGGAACACTGGTCTCAATGTGAGCTCCGTCGGGTTCGGGGCTTCGCCGCTCGGACGCGTCTTCGGTCCCGTCGCAGAAGACGATGCCGTCGCCGCCGTACGCCGTGCTTTCCAGCTCGGCATCAATTTCTTCGACACCTCCCCGTAATCTCCTCATCTGTTTCTCTTCTTACCCCTTCTTAAGGTTCCGTCTCTGTTAATTTCCCAAAGAAAAAATTATTGTTTTGATGTTCAAATCGATGTTCGCGATAATTTGGTACAAATCGTGTGTTTCGATCCGATTTCTGGTTAACAAAATGATGTTGATCGAAAAAGGAACCAACCCGTTTTAGTGAATGTTAATTTTTGTTTGGAAACACTGAATTTGCGTACAAATTTGTCTGGCGAAATAAAGAACTCTTCATCGCTATCATTGTGCTTAATCCATCTTGCTTGGATGTTGTTTGGAAGCTGAGAATGTTGTCGGAAGGATCTTTTTGTCGGATTTGTCATTTTCAGGGAGAGGTTGAATTGTATAAAGTGTCTTCGTGTTTTGTGTATATGTATGAGATTTTCGTTTTCTTGAAGGTACTATGGAGGCACACTTTCAGAGAAAGTGCTCGGTAAGGCACTGAAGGCACTTGGAGCTCCTAGGAGTGAATTCATCGTATCGACAAAATGTGGACGATACAAAGAGGGTTTTGATTTCAGCGCCGAGAGAGTGACGAGGAGCATCGAGGAGAGCTTGGTGAGGCTGCAGCTCGATTACGTCGATATACTCCATTGCCATGACATCGAGTTCGGCTCTCTTGATCAGGTCAGCAGTTAAAAAAGCCCGTCTTTGCGATTAGATTCCAATACCCTTCGTTGAAATGAGTAAACAAATATGAATTTAAAAAGATTGAGGCTGATTGGAAGTGATCACAGATACGATTGAGAGCAATACCTGAGTTATTTTCATTGTAATTCAAGAAGAGATGCAGCAGTAAATGATTATGTTCTTTTTTTTGCTGTGTTATCCTGCTAAAGATGTTTCTGGTTTTGGATCCAGATTGTGAGCGAGACGATTCCAGCTCTTCAGAAACTAAAGCAGGAGGGGAAGACTCGGTTCATCGGTATCACTGGTCTTCCGTTAGACATTTTCACTTACGTTCTTGATCGAGTGCCTCCAGGGACTGTCGATGTGATATTGTCTTACTGCCATTATGGCATCAATGATTCGACACTGAAGGATTTACTGCCTTACTTGAAGAGCAAGGGGGTCGGTGTGATCAGCGCCTCTCCATTGTCGATGGGGCTTCTTACAGAACAAGGTCCACCCGAATGGCACCCGGCATCACCCGAGCTCAAGGTCTGATATTCTTCTTTTCAATTTTTTTTCCTAACAGTCATATCAAAACAAACTATACGAGACAAGAAATGGATAAAATAAAGCCGAACGCTTTCCTCATCGAGGCGGGGATATTTCGCCACTATGATTGCCGGTGTACCTTCTTGTATGTGACGGATTCTGATTGTTACAAGAACTGAACTCCTGTTACATGTTTCGAGCTTCACACACTGGTTCCCGTCTTAGTCTGAACCCGCATTGCTCGCTTCTGCAAATTTTTCATGACCCTTTCGCCCTTTCTTTCCCGTGTTTGCTCCGCAGTCTGCATGCAATGCCGCGGTTGCGCACTGTAAATCCAAGGGGAAGAGCATTACAAAGTTAGCAATGCAGTACAGCTTATCAGACAAGGACATTTCGACGGTTTTGGTCGGAATGAGCTCCGTGGAACAGGTAACCAGTTCACATATATCCTCTCAAAGCTCGCAGCTTTTTCTATGCCCTTGCTTTGCATTTACACCCGAAACCCGATTCTGCCCACCATTTGTGTCAGGTGGAAGAAAACGTTGATGCGGTTTCGGAGCTCGGATCGTCATCGGGCATAGATCAGGAGACTCTATCTCAGGTAGAAGCTATTCTTGAGCCTGTCAAGAACCAGACATGGCCTAGTGGAATCCCCCAGAACTAGTTTCTCACCATTGTTTGATGTCCATGATGTGAAACCGAAAGCTGGCAAGTCGCACGCCATTGTTGCTCTTGTTTGAAGCTTTTGTGTAATAACAGTTGCTAAATTCGATACAGATTCAGAGTCGGATACAGAAGAGGATGAGGATTCATATATATATATATACACGCTAATACAGTGTATCCTGAGTGGCTGGTATACACGAGAGTTGGATACTCGAACCCGTTATCTGTATTCATCCGAAGGGGATTATTTTGATTATGTCAGATAGAGAAATATGATGAAATTGGCTTCTTCTATGATAAAATCTCAGAAAAAGGTACCAAGAATCCCTCGTTTCTTCTCAATTTCAGGTGCAAATTTCCATTATGATCACGAGGTCTAATCGCCTAGCCTCATTGCGCATGCCAATATCTAGGGGCATTTATGTCTTTTCACTATGATTTTCCTAATTGACTACACTTGTCTCTCTCCTTGTCAAGCTTTGTCACTCTCTTATCCTCCCGCTCAATCAATGCTACGTGGCCCACCACATAACCATCTCACTGACCGATAACTCTAAAATCACATGACGTCTCTCCTTTTCACCAGCACCTCCAATCCACATTAGCCACGTGTCGAGGCCTTAAGGCACAATCTCGTGACTTTATCTTTTCTCCCTCGTGCTCATGGCATAAAACTCTCTCCGCGGTCTCTTCTTCCACTTCCCCTCCAATTTTTTCTCCTCTGATAGTTTTTTTTTTCTCTGTCAATGGAGAAATTATCGTACAATTCCTATCCTGACTCGGCCGGGTCGTCTCCGAGATCTCGCGAGATAGACTTCGAGAATCCTCCGCCATGGGAGGAGCATCAGAGCTACAAGGCAAAGTTCATGTGCAGCTATGGCGGTAAAATCCAGCCGCGGCCTCATGATAACCAGTTTGCTTACGTTGGCGGAGAGACGAAGATCCTCTCTGTCGATCGCGGCGTCAAGTTCTCCGACATGATCGCCAAGCTCTTCGCTCTCTCCTCCAACGCCATCAGCGGCGGTGATTACTCCGGTGTCACGTTCAAGTACCAGCTTCCGGGCGAGGACCTCGATGCTCTGATCTCTGTTACCAACGACGACGATCTCGAGCACATGATGCACGAGTACGATCGGATACAGCGAGGTTCGGCGAAGTCGGCCAGGATGCGGTTGTTCTTGTTTCCGGTGGTTTCTCCTGCCGGTGGATTTGGATCTGAATCGGCTATGCGAACGGAGCCGGAGAGGGTCGTCGGTGGTCATAGTTCCGCGGCGGCGCGTGTAGAGACAGAGAAGTCGATTGCGGCGGCTGGCACGAATCACGTGGATTTCCTGTTCGGCCTGGAGAAATCGATTCCGCCGCCGGTGTCTACGCCGCCTCCACCAACGTTTCCACAGCAGGTACATGTAGCTCCGCAGTATGCGGTGGTTGGAGTCGACGAGTCTGATATTCGATCGGATCGTGGCGTCAATATGATGGAGATGCAGAATCAAGTGCGTGAATTCCAGAGATTTCAAATCGCTGATCAGCAGGATACACGACATCACCATCACCAAGCGGTCAATCTAGCCGAATCCGGTGGTTTTTACCAAAAATTCCAGGAAAGCAGACCGGCGGAGTCTGTACAACATGCGCCATCGCCTCAGATGGGTTACTGGTCAGACAAACACGTGTCCGGCGGCGCCTTCCATTCTCCAGCCACCGGATTCTCCCAGCAACAAGTCTACGTCAGCGACGCCCAAGGGAACCTCTACCACTACGCGTCACCATCACACGCGCCGCCGCAATCCCTCTCGGGACAACAGCAACAACAACCCGGTCAAGGGTACTACAACGTCAACGTGCATCAGCGCGTGTCACCGGACGTCTACAATACCGCTTCCAACCCGACGACGGATGCGGCGTTACCAGTTCGCCACGTGGCGGAGCAGGTGTACGGCCACGTGATGTATGACGGATCAGGGCGACAAGTATATTACACAGCTCCGGTGGGTGGGGTTGCATTGCCGCCGTCGCAGGTTCACCAGTACGGAAGCAGCAGCGACGGAAGAGGCGGAGTGGTGGTGAGTCAAGAAGGGAGAGTGGTGGGTGGAGTCGGTGCTCATGTTGTTTCGAGTTCAAACTGAAAAAGTGTACGTACGAATGTGTTATTTGATATTGAAGATTAAAATTAATATTATGGTTAATATATGATTAAGTGGTAATTAGATATATAATTAATATCGGGGATGGATGTCATGTAGTAATGATGGGGTGTGGCTATGTTAATGAATTATCCTGTTTTTGTGGCTTGCAAGTGAAGTTACTAGTACGATCTTTCTGAGATTCTTACCTTGACCTTAACAAAACAAAAGGCGCATTATCATGTAATGATATATTATTTTATATGCAAAATAACAAATGTAATTGCAATTAGGTTGGACATATTGGTTCTCATTTTGATAGGACTGATCGGTCCGGTTTGATTCGGTTAAAGATTAATCTATTAATTTTAAACCAAGAATATATTTTTATGCCACTAAATGGATTTGATTGATTGAGACTTGGTTTCATCGTTTTCATTTGGGCCCAAAAATTTTAAAATCTTTTATAATTGTTCTTTTATTTTTCTTAAAACCTACAATGATTTAAATATGCAAAAATCAAATAAAAAAGAGTACGTGAACTCTTTCCAATGGTGTGGTCCTGATTTAATCTGGGTATAAATATCTTTTTTGTCAAAAGGGTGCTTGAAGAAAATATCTTTATTAGGATCCCCATAGATGGAAAAACTACTTGAATTTTCTCTGTCATTTGATGCTGCTGCTCGGATATCAATTATATCTTCGGTAGATTAATTTTGAATTTATTTTATCATTTTTAAATATATATAAAATCAGCTTCTACCTCTAAATCTATATATATAAAAAAGATTTTAAAAAAAAAGTATTTGATGAATCTCAGATTGTCAATGTGTAGAATGGGATCCTAAGGATCCAAATGAAGATGAATTCGGAGGTCGGATTCTCATCTTCATCTTCTGACTCGAACACAAATACCCCAATGAATTTCAGATATTCGAATATTCGAAAATGGATGTTTACCATTTTTTATAATAATATTGGGCTTTTTATAAAAATGAAACGAAATTAAATATATGCCGTCACGCCGACCATTGATGACGATGATGGACATTTAGTTAGAAAAAAAAAAGTTTAGTGCAAACATGAAACATACAACACCTTTTAATTGGCACAATCTATCTAAGGTTTTGAGATTTAAAAAATTTACAAATGAATTAAGATTTACTATATTCTTTTTTCGAAATAGTAAAGCCAATTAACTCACGTGTTTGACAAATTAAAACAGTACCAAAATAAATAAAATAAATAAAAAATGGTATGATTAGTGTTTCTTTGAGGTGCGTTATTACTTATTAGAGCTCCATTTTTACGATACATGTTTCCGACAAAAAAAGAGGGAAAAAACAACAAATGCAGTTTTGATTTGTCAAAATCATCATTGTCCATTTGAATCTGAAACAAAGTTTAAAAATATACGGAAAAAAAATAAACCACTTAAAAAAAAAAACCCCTCTCAAACTTTCTACAAATACCCAATTAAAATGTTGATCATCAATATATTCAAATAAATATTTATCTTTTATGATGTACATTAATTTTAAAAAGTAAAAAAAATACATTCAGATAAATTAAAAACTGAAAAAGATAAAAAAAAAAAAGTGAGTAGTTCTATTTTTAAGAAATTATAAAGTAATTGAAAAAATAGCGCACGCAAACACGTTCAAGAAGTTCAAAGAAAACTTTGAGATGAAAAATTATATTTTTAACAAACTGTATTTTTTTTAAAAAAGAAAAACAAAGAGAGCACAAAATACAACAAAAAAGCAACATCTTTTATTCTCCACCACACAACATATTCTCACGCCTACCCTAACATATTTAAATATTTTCACATTCTTCGGCGTTATATATATATATATATATATATATATATATTCCAAAGTAGAAGAGGGAATCAGAATCTTATTGAAAAAAACCTTTACAACTAATTAAAAATCATACCACTTTTCTAAAATTATTATTGGATGATAAGTATTTATAAATATGATGAATAAATTAAATTTAATGATTCGGTTCATACCTATTTTTTATTTCTTCAATTGACAAATTTGAAACCCGCCCGCCATATGTATCTATAGAAAAGTGAACATAGTCGGTGAAAACCCACCATAAAAATTTAATAATAATAATATCAATAATAAGGTATGCTGGCTCCGATAATATTCCCTGATTAAATAATAAAAAGGTAAAGGAAATAACTGCTTTTAAATCGTATATATTTTCATATTTTAAAATTACCATAAAATTTCAGAAACTTAATTATTTAATTTCAAATCTGTGAAAAAATAGATACTTTTATAAATTGTATTTGATTATTTTATATTTTTTTAATCCATCAATATCTAATATAATGAAATAACATTTTGAAATAAAAAATATTAACTTACAATATAAAATATAGAGATTTTACTAAAACTGAAACTAGAAGTGTTGAAGTTTATAGTTTTGTGTTTTTTTTTACATGGAATATTTATAGAAAAATTGTATATATTTTTATATGATTTGTAATAATAATAAACAATAAACAATAGTAACATATCTATTACATATTTTATTTTAATGATGAAAAAACCATGGGAAATGGCATAATCTGTTTGAAAAGCATTGGCATGTATAAATCATCACTGTACTTTCTCGAGTATTCTCGTTTTTTAATATATTAAATATAATTTAAAAAAATTCTCTAATAAAGCCTTTATATATATATATACACACACACATACTGTATCTCGTTCTCATCTCGTCTCGTCCCCCTGTCAAAGATTTAAACTTTTACAGGCGAAATATGAGCGACCCCAAGTACGCGTACCCATATCCGGCGCCCGGAAGTTACCCGCAAGGACCGCCGCCTCCGGTGGCCGCTCCGCCGCAATATTATGCCCCGCCGCCGCCGCAGCAGCAGCAGCGAAAGCCCGGTTTCATCGAAGGATTGTAAGTTTTCTATATCGATCTATTTGGTCATCGTACACGTACTGGTTGATTATATTGTTTTAGTAAGAACACCAGTAAATATCATATACTGTATCCATAATTAGAAAAATTATAATTTTTTAATTTTTAATTTTATTTTTAATTTTTTTATGGTTTTTGGTGAATCGCAGGCTGGCAGCTCTGTGTTGCTGCTGTTTGGTGGATGAGTGTTGCTGTGACCCCACAATCATATGTCTCGACTAATAATTAAAAAAAATTATTCCTTCTCTCTTATTCTTTGTAATATAATTTTATTATTTCTGTTTGCTTAATATATATTTCCCAGCTTTTTATGTAATTAGTTTGCTCATTGTAATTATTTGTGTTTGCTTAATACATATTCTCCGTTTTTTTATATAATTATTTGAGTTTCTTTCGTATCTTTTTCGATTTGTTTATTGTCGATTTTCATTCTCTGCCTTTATTTTTTTTTATATAATATAAAAAAGAAACAGAGAAATCTATGTAAATATTAAATTCTAAATGAGAATTTAAACCTTAAAAGCATCTCTTTTTTACGTCATCTAATCTTGGATGTTCTGTCTTTATCTTGTCTCATCTCTTTCGGACAACGCTACATCTCCATCCGATCTATCTAAATTGGTTTTTATATATTCGTAATGGGATAAAAATATTTTTAAAATCCAAACAATTCGAAATTATATAACTAAAAAAAACAAGGCGAAAAATTGAGGATGTCGTGTCTTTACAAGGAAAAAAAAACCTTTAAAGCACTTTTATGGATTTTCAAAATGCTCAAAGCGCACCATTGCTTTGATTCTTCTCCTCCATGATTTTTAGAAATAATTCAATTTATTTCCTTTTCGATTATTTATATTTTATTACATACTTTTTTAGTTTTATTTAAAATTTGTTTAAATATTATAATAAATTAATCTTTAAAATTAAATATGATTTAGATATCCAGAATCGTGCTCGTTTTTATGTAATGAATCCTATCTGCAAGCAACAGAAAACAATTGGTTTGTTTTCCTGGAGAACAACATAATACCTGCAATAAAAAAAAGTTAAGACCCAATAAATTATCCACTAATGATCATTAAAATATTCTAATTAATTCCGTAAATATATCCTCTTTCTCAAATAATATACTGACACGTGTATGAAGGATTCATGCCCCTTTCAGACGCTTCTTTTTCATCTTCTTTCTTCTTCCTAATCGTCTTCTGCATGTCTACGTGAAATTGTCGCTGGTTTCGGAGAATCGATTCACGAAGAAGTCCTGCTTGCAATTCCTGATTACACTGCGGAATGATCAGTACGTGAATTCCCATTTTTTTTCGTTCCTTTTGGGTTTCTGCACTTGCATCGTGTCTTCGTGATTTTGAGAACTCAGATTTTTCTCTTTCGGGTCTAAAAATTTCACTCGACCGTCTTTTGGGGATTTTGAAATTTGCGTGCTTTGCTTAGGTAAAGTTTGTCTCGGGGCTGAAATTTTCTCCATTGAGATTTAGGTATGTGTAGCAGTGGAAGCTTAGCGATATGATTACAAACCTAGGAGTTAGAGGAGAGCTCTGTTTCGAACCGAACTTGGTGAGAAAAGAGAGTGAATCGACTTGGAGATAAACTTTTGAGGTGATCGCTTGTCAATTACTTTGCAACAAATTGCAAAGCGTAGAACAAGAGGGGCTTCTCATGAACATTGTCACAATCCTGGTTATTATTGCATCATGTGTTTGTCGAAGAACCAAATTTGGAACAATGTGTGTAAGACCTGTTTGTATGTCCGCAGTGTCGGCGGGTTGTAGTTACGTGGTCTTCTGGTGCAGATATTGGCAAAGGATCCTTGAGTCATCCTCGCGTTTTGATGTCTTTTCCGGGAAGCTTACACTCTCAGTGTGCAAGAATAGGTCATAGAATATTTATCTGTTCTTGTTTCTCTTGCTTAGGTGATATAGACGCTGGAACAGCTTGAAGTGTGTGATTTTCCTTTATTATCAGCTTGAATTCCAATTGTTCTGGCTTCTTGCTTGGCATGATAGTTTTAGATCAATTCTGACGAGTTTGAAGGTCGAATTCACCTAAGCTAGCTTGATACGGGGTGTCAGTAGTTCATACACCAGCTACCAATCTCAAACTTTGTCTTTGTGTGATCATCGGACTTGCGATAACTTAAGGTAACTCGTCACACATCGTAATGAATTGGCTTACTCATCACTGTTAGACAATCTAGAATCGAGTAGATTTTGTGAGGCCAGGTGAACTAGGAAGTCCTTGCGCATTTAAATCCATAAAACTATGTCAAGCTTGTTTGTCTCACTGTTTGCCTACGGTGTGACTTTTAAAAGTTCAAATGTTGAATACATGGAAATGCCTGGCGTAGTAGTACAATCATTTTCATAGAGTAGAAGAAAATCTCTAGTGTCTTTGGCTTTATGCTTCCGCATGTGTAAAAGGGCAACCTGGTGCCAAAGCACCCCCACTACTGAGCAAATGCAATGACAGCAAAATAAAATACTACTAACTAGGTACACTACTCGGGCCAAGCAAAATTAGGGACATTAATCTTGGTCAATCAAATATCTTCCACTTCTGCTAGTGTTTGTCGAATATTTTTTTTTCATGTCTTCACACTGAATTCCTTATCCAGGGCCTCGGATGTCAATCTCATTAAGTTGATGTTAAATGGTTATGAATTCCCTTAATCATTACTTCATTATATAACCATCTACAGATCTCCTGGCCTTTTCTCTCTAGCAAGTTACCGTTTATGTTTGAAGCTTGTTTGTAGGTAGATAAACTAAAAGGAGTTGATTGTTCTGTCAGTGCTTGTTGATACACAAAACTGTATCATGCAGAGGATGGTGTTTATTGAATTTCGCAAATTGCTATAGACAAAAAAATGATTCCGAGCCACTTAACAACGCAAGCGACTTCTTTGCTTCAGAAATTCATATATCATTTCATACCCTGTAAAGTAGCTCATAAGTGATAGTACTTGTTGAGGAGCTGGCATGCTTGACAGTTAAAATGTGGATGACTCAGGGTGTGTCTGAGCAAGTCTTTGTCTGTGCACCACTCTCTGTAGCTTTTGCTAGGGAATCTGTAATCTGTCAACAGCATTGGGATAGATTGTATTAGGTTGGAATTGGACCCAAGAAGCTTTAACAGATCTTTAGTTTAGAAATTGGTTCTTTAGATAAGTTTCACTCGGTGTTCAGTGTGCATGACTAATGGAACCATGCTCATATATAGTAAACAAACATATGCTAGCATCTTTTAATCATAATAAATGCGTATATAAGACGTGAAAAATTAGGTATAGTTTGTAAGTATTAAATTCATATAGTCGCTTTTCCACAAGGATTTCTCTCGCCTTAAGTTTTTTCTTCTATCCCAGCCAGTTAAAAGGCTGTGGAAATTTTCAGTCAGTTGTATATAATGCTTGACAGGTACTTGAGGCTCGGAAATCATGTTTAGTAAGTAGAAACCTTTTGCTTAATGTATTTTAATACTCGTGCTATCAAACAATTGGCTATGCGGTACGTTATTTAATTGTTCACCTGGGAAACGTTTCGTTATGGAATGTGATTATATTGGTTTGATATATTTGTAAGTTTGTAACTTAGATATTTTTCTGGCGATTGCCAAAAGGTAAGCATGAACATAGGTGGGAAACCCTTTATTGTTCATTTACATCTGCTTTGTCAGCCATAATTTGATCATGTACACATACCGTGCTTCACATCACCCTTTTCTTCATTTATGTGATTTTTTGTTTGTTATGGTACTTTATTCAATTTGAGTTAGTTTATTCATAAAATCCCTATTTGATTTTGGTGGGATTAGTCATCAACTTGTTTGGTATATGTTTTTGTAGGGCATTAGATCGTATAATCATCTGTCATTCGATAATCTTTTCCTAATTCATGAATCTCTCTTAAAGTATCAGGCGGCAGAGTAGTGAGCTTGTCTGTATTCTGAATGTGTGATTTATTTATCAACTTCTACTGTTTAGGCCCCTAGATTTATGCATGTACCACAGTAGGCATGGACGCCGTAGTGAGTTGTTCTATTCATTTTAGCAAATTCCAATTGACAAGTAGAATAATATCCATCATGTTTGACACACTCATTATTCCATTCCACAATGTACATAGACATGTTACTTTGTCACTTTAAATATAAAAACAGAGCCGGCATTTTCATACCATGTGAAGTACTTGACAGGAGATAAGGGGCAGTGGATGAGCTCATCCTGCTTGATCGTTGGTGAAGACGGGCCTTTGACACGCCTGTGGAGTTACTTGTGTATGCCACTTTGTCCAAGAAGCTATTGCTAGGGAAGCTGTAATCTGGTTTCAATAGTCATACATATTCTATGAGACTGCATAAACCAAGTTGCTCTCAATGTATAGCATGGATAAATAAAGGAAGAGGTGGCAAGTGGAGCTTACACCAGTTTCATTGATTTTTCGGAAGATGCATCTTTGGTTGGCTGTAAATAGCCGAGCTGAAGATGAAATGGTGCCGGCATGTCATATGCAATGCTGGTGGGATTTGCACTTGTACTGCCTTCTGTCACATCCTGTGTTCCATGAGCCTGATATTTCAAGGAAAATGTTTCATTTGATTCAACCAGAATCTACCCAGGTGATGACTATCATCTCTCTTTTGATGCCCGCATAAGAGTTTCATATTTCGAAATACCTTCTTTTGCACTTTCGTAGTTTCTTCACGAATCATGTTTATCATGCTATGCAGCTCCAAATTCTCTTTATGGATGATTTGTCCCTGCAATAGAATCAAAACCCAGTTGATAGCTCTTTCAGATGAAAAAGTTGAAACAGACAATGAAATCTCTAGATTAGCAGAGGAGGGGTTAGTTTCTGGCTGACCTTCAGGTTAAGTTCCCTGATTTCTTCAGTGAGAAGCTGGTCCTGCATGAAAGAAGAACTTTTCTAAATCACATTCCTAACAATTGTAGTAGTTAGTCTTGGTCCACAGTTACCTGCTTTTGTGAGAGATGCATACCTTTTTCAGTCGAATGCCTCTCAAACTTGTTTCCAGTTGGTTTTCGAGATTCTGTAGATCGTTAACCCTCATGCCCGAAAGTTCTTCTCCGATCAGCTTCCTGCATATATAAGAAGTGTACATACGAATGCTTTAGGAAGTAGAACAACTCACCATGTTCCGGTTGTAGCTTCTCTGTACTTATATGATAGACGATCAATATTACTCCTACAAATATATCTCCTGGTGTATTTTGTTATGTATACCTTTTTTTTTTCTTAATCCCGGGCCATATCTAGTGTCAGCTAAGCTAATCAAAGTGGCGTAGTAACAATGGCTGCTAATATTGAGATTCTGATTTTTGTAGGCTGAAGAAACTGTACCTGTGGTATTCTTGCAAATACTGGAGCTGCTGCCGCAGGCTGGCGACCTCTCTTTGCCAAAACTGGTAACAAAAAAGAAGAGAAGAAAATTGATGTTGATATAGGAATGTCTGATTTTAAATACATGAAAAGCTAGATGAACATATAAGCGACTTGTTCCAAGTATCCTTCACGACCATTCTGAAAACACATTTTTTCGTTTTCGTAGTGAACAGGACCGATCTTGTTTACTGCTTTGATCCGAAGGTTTGGAAGGAGGGATCGAGGAGACAAACCCGACAATCGAGCAGCGGAACAATACGTCTGATTCCAACAAGGTTATATATCCTCTTGTCCTGAGGATCATTTTGTAGGAGATATAGAACAAGTACCAGAACAAGTTCGTTCACTCTGTCGGTTCATGGTGACAGCAATGTCCCTTTCCGGTTTCACGTAAGCAAAGTGAAGTTCTATTGGGGCAGTTGCCTTTGCCATGAGGATAGATTGCAGTAATGTCCCATAGTTTTTTTTTTCTGGGTATGAGAACTGCCATTGGGGATTTTGGCAATGAAGGAAAAAGGATTACGATTGGTGATCTTTGATCTTGTTCTGACCTCTTCCCGCACCCCGTTTAATCTATCTTCTCTCTCATACAATATATGTAGAGGTCGAAATCAACAATTTAAAATTTCCCAAGCTCTCTTTAAGATTTTTTTTTAACCATTTGTGATTTACTAATTATCTCATTTAAATTATATTTATTATGTGTTTAAAAGAACAATTGTTCTTTCTTCTTTTATATATATATTCTTTTTCTATCAATTGAAGCATAAAACTATCTTTATTATGACCTATTATACACTAAATTAGTTTTTGTTTTGTCAAACAACTAAATTAAATTTAGAACACAATAATTGTTTTAACAACCGGTTTCCTAAACCAAAGACAAACGGGCTACGAAAATCATTTATTTAATTGTCTAAACAAACGACATGTACGGTTGACAATAAATTTACTTTTTTTTTTACATGTATTATGTTGTTGTTAATAAAAATGATGGATATTAAGGCATGCAAGGCAATATGAATTATCATAAAAAAATTAAACTCCACAAAAATTCATCAAGACCCCTAAACGCTTTTAAAAATATGAAATTTTTAGGTATAACTCAATCGATTTTTGGTAATTAAATGAAATTGATCGCTTATGACCGGTTTAGTTTGGGTTGTAATTTTCGGACAATTTCATTTAATAGTAGAATCATTGTGGAAGGAAAAATAAAAGATAAAAGTGTAATGTTATAACTCTTGAATTTAGGTACTTAATCCAAACCCTAGCATACAAAAGTGCATAACTGAACATGTTCCAACATCCTCGGAGCCAATGAGAAAGATTTGGTCAGACACTGGTCTGTAATAATAAATATTAATAATAACTTTTTTCCCCTCACATTTCTAATTTCTGGTTTTTTATATGAAAAACATCTACTATATTTTTATTCAATTTTATGCCAATTACTTCTGTTTTTCAAAGTTTCAAATATGAATATTCTGAATTTAGGCAGAAATGATTCCACGAAAAGAAAAGAAACAACTCTTGTTACCAAGAAACCCTAGAACATACAAAGTTAACTTTAGGTGATTTTTCTAATTACAATTAGCCGAGCTAATACTATGTAATTAAATGAGTTATAATTAACGATTTTTAAATCATAATATTAGAATGCTATACAAGAAGAAAATACGTACCTTTATCTCTGAAGCAGGATTCAATAGTTGATGTTGGTCTTCTTTCACTTTGTTATAGCGCTCAATGATGCATTTCATGCTAACCAGATTTCAAAAAAGAAAAAAAAAAGATTATTCATTTATCCATAAATTCAAAGCCATTTATTATTGCAAAAGTAAAATTTCATTCTATGTTTAATTTTTTTTTTATAATATAAAGGCTTTGTTGATGAATTTCTATACATCTCTTATGTAGTTGATTTTAATACAATAAAATCCGTAATTGTTTTATACAGTTGATAAACTCCAAAACTACGTCTTAATTTGGTATCTGATATTTTTCGGATTTAAAGTACAATTTATTAGATGGCTTTGGATAACTAAAAGAAATTCCAGATTGATTTACAGATATATATTTTTTGCAAATAGAATATTCACATTACAAACAAGGTTATTTTACAAAAGAATTTATAATTAATATGACATTTCACTCATTTAAAATACTGTTTGCGCTATCTTAACAAAATCCACTCAAAGATAATGAAGTTTATATATACTTGTATATAGTTGAACTCAGCTTCGATTATTATTTACTGCATGTATAACCATATAAAAATACTACTGGGGCTTCAAATATACAATTTCTGGATCTTATTTTAAAAAATACAGAATGTAAAAACAAACATATTATTTTCGGAAATGAACCTTGCAATGTACGTTCGTTGAAGTCCACTAAGCAAACTGAAGTTGTATAGCTTCAATGTTCAAAGCTGTGATTTATGAAAAACGATTTGTCTGCTATGAATTTTCTTTCAAAACTCTTAACATAAACAAATGTGAATATATATATATATATGTATGTATTATGCATACATATATTGGCTCATCCCCATTAGCTCACGAGGAATGCGATGCTCTTGACCACAGACTTTATCACCCTCGAACAATGGAAAGCTTTGATTTGCTTGTATGTATGTATATACTAAGATATATATACACACACACACACACACACACATATATATATATATATAAGTGACACAAAATCAATTTAAAGAGACCAAGAATGTACATCTAGGTTAGATTCGAGGGTATTGACCACAAATCGAAACCTATATACAAATACCCATTTCAAGGAAAAGAGAAGCTACTAAAGTTTCATCATTAGATTGGAGAAAGAAGAGGAAGGAGCGGATACCTGGAATTGCTGGCGTAATCGTAGAGCCTGGAGGTGCTGGAGAATACCATGACACCGATCTCCGCGTCGCAAAGGATCGAAAGCTCCCTCGCCTTCTTCAGCAGCCCGCTCCTTCTCTTCGAAAACGTCACTTGTCGGCTCGTCGAATTATCAATCCTTCTGATCACAATCTTCCCTCTCCCCATCCTTTGATTTCCTGTCCACATACCCAATCATCATAACTATATATATGACGAAAGGGGGTGCGTGGATTCGCAAATCCCCGTATCGAACGATCGTATATCAAATCTGTATTCACACTGAAAAGGAGAATTGAAGAACCCACTTACTTGGTATAGCTAGGCTGGTAATGGAAACAATCGAGACAGAGAAGCTTCTCTTTGTTTTTTTTCCTTTCTTCTTTCTTCTTTTTCTTCTCTATAGATGCCCTATGTTTTCTGTTTTTGTATACATGGCCAAAACCGCTAGTGGTTTCGTCCATCAGAACAGACCCACTCGCGCGTGTACGGACAACTCTTTGTACTCGCTCGTAACATCCTAGGTCAGATCCAGTCAAAGCGTTTTTTGTTTATTTTGGCAGCTCAATGTCACGTTCACTGTTGGAAGATTCTCTTGGACACGTGTACTCGCGAGGAGGCGAGTAAACGCACCTCGGAATCGTGGGGCGTCATAAGTGGTTTGGGGTTAAGCGTATAGATGATGTACACGTGGACCAGTAACAAAAAGCTTTTGGGATTCCTGAGGTATTTTCGGAACTTGAAGCGTCCGTACTTTGCATTGTGTCAGAGATGACACTTGACAGTCTGTTTCTTTTCTTCTCTCTTTGTTGTTTTTATTTTATTTGTAGAAAACAGATGAACGCCGTTCGACTTTATTTAATATTCTTTCTTATCTACAGATTTTTTTTTATATCATTTCTTATTTATTCGCCTAAATTTTATATTTTTACGGGAATATATTTATAAAAAAGCATTTGTTTTTTCTTTCCATCTAATATCTATAACTACCCATTCACAACTTTCTCAGAAAAATAGTGAGTTTATTCTAATCTGATTTATATATTTTTGTAATATCGATGTATAAAGTATAAACGGCCTAATATTTTTTTATACAATAAACATTGTTTGTTGAAGAAAACTTGAGAAAATAATTTTATTTTCTAATTTATTTTTCAATATGAATAATTAATTGATCTGAAGATTAATGCGATTTCTTGAGATGAATCTTTTCAGAGTAAATTATTTCCAGTGACAGTGCCCAAGTTCCAAAGGGATCTCAAAGGTCGTTCTCTGACCTAAGACTCCATTTTTCTAACCAAAAATATTAATGCTGACAATTACCACTAGTACTAGAGTTTATATAATATAATTTTTTTATAAAGTTATATAATATAATTTTGTAATCAATATTTTATAAATGCACACACACACACACACACACATATATTTATCCCTAGAGTCGGATGCTAAGAAAGACTTGGTACACTAAATAAAAGTAAATATATTCTACAATGATGTAGCATATTAATGATTAAAAATTAATAGAGTTTATTTTTTACAAACAAATTTACACAACTAGAAAAGCTCCATGAATTTACAATTGTTGTCACATTCTAGTATATAGTGTATGTATAATGAAATTTTCCTTTTGTGTGTGTGTATATATATCAATAAATAATACATACATTTATTTTAATTAAAAATCGATTTGATATCAGTTTTTTAAAATCAAATTAATCTAATACTAATCGAATATAAATAATTGAAGAAATCAAATAAAACGAAAATAACTAACAAATATTTTCGTAACAAAAAATTGAATTCAAATCCAATCAAATTTATAATCTTAACAAAATCAATAACTGAGATAAAAAAAATTATTGATATGATTTTTATATGAATATAAAAATTTCATAGGAATATAACAGAAAGGATTTAAGCACCCGATATTAATGTATATTTTTTCTTACCATAACCATAACATTAAAAAATGTCGAGAAAATCTTATTCAATAGATTTAACAACTGACCGACCGTAAATATTTGAATGTTATAGACCAATAATTGTAGTATTTAACCAATTAAATAACTTTTACGTGGTCCATATTTTGATTGTACGTCCTCTATTTCATAAAGAATATTCAATGAAAATGTGTACGCTGTTGGTTCATGCCAATTTCAGTCTTGGGCATGTTTCATCATCAATTATCAATACAATATATATGTTTGTCATTTTGTGTAACGGTTAATACACACCACATTAGTTCATTTAAGATTATTTCTAGTTTTAAATAAGACCATTTAAGGGGTAATCCCATATTCCCCCACAAATTTTTGAAAATGTTTCAATTTTCTACACCAATTTTTAATTTGATTAAAAATTACATCGGATTTTAAACATTTCCAAAATCTCACACAAAATCTTAAAATGTGTTACAATTTCACCCATATCCATAAATGATATGACGTTAAGTTCCGTCAATTTTAATGCTGATGTGGCCTGTCACGTCATACATATCTTGCCAAATCATCACATTTCGCCAAATCATCATGTCACTTCAGAAAATAAATAAAAAATAAAAAATACACATATATATTTATATACATATATACATATATATACACATAAATACATTGAATATGTATATATATGTGAATATGTATGTATGAATAAATGTATATATATGCATATTCACACACATATATATATATATATTTATTCATATGTATATATACATACATATATATATATATACACATTTATACATACATACATATATCTATATTCAATATATATATGGATATATATGAATATGTATATATGTGTATATGTGTATATACATATGTGAATATATATATATTATATTTATGTGTATATATGTATATATATAATTGTGTATGTATATATATATATGTATATGTAATTGTATTTTAAATTAAAATTTTTAAAACTTTTTTAAAAAATTTTAATTTTTTTAATTTTTTAATTTTTATTTTTAAATTCTAGAATTTTTTTTATTTTTTATTTATTTTCTGACGTGACATGGTGATTTGACAAAATGTGATGATTTGATGAAATATGTATGACGTTATATGCCACTTCAGCATTAAAATTGATGGAATTTAAAGCGGTTTACGGATATAGAGAAAATTGCAACACATTTTAAGGTTTTGTGTGGTATTTTGGAAATATTTAAAATTTGATATAATTTTTTATCAAATCAAAAATTAATGTAGGAAATTGGAATATTTTCGAAAATTAGTGGGGAATATAGGATTATCCCGACCATTTAATAATGTGGACATGCGTACAAAGAGAGAAAAATAAATATTCACGCATGTTCTATATAATTATAAAATGAACCTAAAACAAGTTTCAAACGCCAAGGCCAATTAATTGGAGACACAGAGAATCAACATAGAGATTTGCTGCTTTGAAAAAAAAAAGTGAGTGGGAATATTAAAATTAAGAAACTGAATATAAAAAAATATCTTAAAATATAGATATTATAGTGACAATTTAAGGTTTCCTTAAAGAGAATAATTCTGATTTACCCTACTAATAATAAAAATAAAAAATATAAAGTACCTCCAACTTGTTTGGTTCGGGAGTTCCGACAATACCTGCCCATCATTTTCACCAATGCTTCACATAATAATAAAGAAATTAATACCTACATGTACACACAAACATATCTATATATATATATATATGTTTACATAGCTTTAATACAAATTCACTAAATATGCTTGTTTCCTGTTGGAATATTCTCTAAATGATCTTAAACAAAGATTAGGCTAAGCTTCCTGATGTCTGATTAGAGATATGCTGATGTAATTAGATTTTTATATGCTATAAATGGTTGGTTATATATTGTTGGGTTGGGCCACGAAACTCCATTCTTCTCTCAGCCATTAGGTAATTAAAATTATCCGATTAATCCGCGTGTACCGGAAAATTACAAAAACAAATTGTATTTAAGTTGTGTATACATGTGTATATTTGTTTAAAATATTACAGATATACATCTGAATTTTTTTATAGTTCTAATATGATTTGGATATATATTAGATCAAATCATATCGTAGTGAATTATGTGTCCATTTTGCTCATAGCATACATGTCAAACAATTGTATTTCTTACTTGTACAAAAAGAGAGATTTATTACCCATTAAAACAAGCTTACACATGAAAAAATTTTAAAAAACGAAATATTTTTCTATAATTACTATACGCTAATGTGGAGATTTGAGTGTGTGAATGAACACATTTGCAAACTTTAAAAATAATCATTAAATAGTAAGATCCGAATTACAGTTTTTCATACTCAAAATAATATATACGATTTTTTACATTAATTTCCAATCGATATTATCTTGAAAAATATTTACATAGTTTTAAAGATGGGACGAAATATTCGAAAATCTCAGTGATAATAAAAAAATATATATATTTTTTCTTTGGATGAATTTGAAGGGAGGAAATTATGAATTTTTCTTTAAGAGTAAGGTATAAATGTAAAAGGAAATCAGATATTAAGTAACTTGCATCCAAAACATATTCAGTGGAAAAAGGATTTCACTACAGAATTATTAAATTTATTAAATATTTATTCGTCTTACATCATGGAATTTCAAAGTAACAGAATTGAAAAAAAAAATTCTCAGGTGAAAAGCTGAAATATTAAAATATAGATCTTATGATTAAATAAAAAATTTAATTACTAGAAATATAAATAATTTTTGTTTGCCATAATAGAAAGACTAAAAAAGTTTAGTTTAGCTTTCTTGAGATGTAAAAATCTTACTAGTTCTATTTATTTTTTGTTTCCATCTCAGACAAAACAGAAGAAGAAATTAAAATATGATTACCAAAAAAAAAAAAAAATTGTGCGAAGGATGACGAAGCAAAGCACGCAAGATGAGACGGCTCGTCTTCCTCTATATCCTCGCTTTCTTCGCCTCTTCACTCCCACGTTTTCCAAAGGAACCCAAACTCTCACACACATTCCCTCTCTCTCTCTCGTCCATGGGATTCAGTTAAACTTCGAACTTTTTCTCTGGGATTGAGATACTTGGATTCGTGTTCATGAATTCCAACGACATCCTTACCAGAATCGAGGTTTTCTCGTCCTTGTCGGGATAAAACCCAGAATGGGGATTTTGTGTCGGTTGGCTCTGTTGATTTCTGGGTGTCCTGTTCTGCAACTGCACAGCAGGTTCCTTCAGAACCTTGGTTGCTCGTTGGTGATGGAGTTCGATCCGTTCATGAAGCTTCTGAATCAGACCGATGGTTTCGGGTGTGGGTTTCTCTTCTTCGGTTGTTTCTCTCAGGTTTTCAACCTGTTCTTTATTTCTTTCCTGTTTCTTTTGGGGCTAAAATTCTTGAACTTCAAGGGTGCTTCTTCTGCTGCGCACTATCTGAGTAATGTTAGAGAGAAAAATGGGAACTTTGATGCCTTCGATCGGAAAGATCCGGATTGCAATGACGGGTTTGTTAAAAATCCTCGTAATGTTGATGGGTTTGATCGGAAAGGTATGATTTCTCTCTGGAAAATCGATGCTGCTGCTAAATCGGGTAGGAAGAAAAAGTTCTCAACCCGGTTTTGTTCCGAATGTGAGTTACATGATGGGTTTGGTCGGAAGAAGAACATGACTGGCGAAGAAAGAAACAGAGGCGTTTCAGCTCTACCAGAGACAGAGATCGATGAAAACGACGACGTTGCAAGAGAAAAGGATAATGAAGAAGGGTTTCCCAGTGATGAAGACGAAGTAGTCGACGTTATCACTCTCAGAAAAATGGTGAAGAGAGAGAGGAATCGAGGGGATTCTCTCTACACAGAGCTGGAGAAAGAGAGAGTGGCGGCTGCATCAGCAGCAGAAGAAGCCATGGCTATGCTTCTCAGACTGCAGAGCGAGAAGAGCTCGGTGGAGATGGAGGCGAAACAGTACAAGAGAATTGCGGAGCAGAAGCAAATTTACGATCAGGAAGTGATACAAGGGTTGCAATGGATGGTGACGAAGCACGAGGAAGCGAGGGATGCGCTCGAAGATAAGCTGAGGCTGTGTGTACAAAAGCTGAAAATGCATTCGAATGGTGACGGTGAAACCGACTTTGATGGATTCTTGGAAAGCTCCATGGATGGCGGAAGGGATCAGAGGAACATCATCGTGGGTTCACCAGAAATAGAATCCGAGGGCTTCTGAGGTTGTATGAAAGCTGGAAACTGTGATAGAGTTCTTAGGGGGTTGAACTCAAATTCAGTCATGTAAATTAGCAGCAGTAGATGTATCTTGAAGTTCATGGATATGCAATAAATTTTCATCAGTGGATTCACCTGAAAGGAAGGTGAAAACTTCTGAAAGCTTTTTGTTAATGTTATGATATTGCAGAAAGTTCCTTTGTACTTGTACATATGGTTCCAGCCTTCCAGGATTGGGTTAACGAACTTGCCTTAGTGCTGTTAATAGTTCACACCATTTGCCATGGAGTCTAAGAGATCACGGATTCGAATCAACTTTTCTCCATATAAAAAAACAGGAATACACTACTTAGTATATTCCACTTTTTATTCATGTGTTTTGGAATATGCGTTTCCTCTTTAAATTTGAGATTGGAATCCGGAACGAAACAAACGTTTTACACTCTCATGACGTAGCCAATAGATGATGGTGATGGTGATGATGATGGAAGCCTGTGACGTCTTTGGGAGCAAGGATTAGATTAGCATGCCCTAGAAAGATTTCCGGTTAACAGAGGTATGTGTGTAAAATTGTAAATACTCGCAAACCGGTTCAGAATCAAATCATTTTTGTGCGATACGATTTAAGTTTTTAAGACTTTTATTATTTTATTTTTTTATATCTTTATTACTGTTTTATTATAATTTATGTTTGTTTATACTTTTTTTTATTTTATTATTATTTGTAAATTTTATGCTGTGTTGGTATTTGAATTGAAACATGATTCTATGGCATCAAAGTGAAATCTAAGAATGAATTGGTTTTCGTATCGTAATTTTGTTTTGAATTTCGCTAGCTAAGTATTTTTCAGCTCGCTAAAAAGCGAGATGGATGAGTAGTGGTGTATCGAAGATCCGTTTCTCAAACAACATATAGAGTATTTTTCTTGAAGGGACATTCAATTTTAAAGATAAAAATGAAATTAAATTATATCTAGAGAAATATATTGGATTCTATTGTAATAATAACTTTTAAATTCGGAGTCTCCAAGGAAGGTTGACGAATAAGGTCCAATATAATATCATTTTTGAAACCATTATAAATATGTAGGATTACAATTGTCTATATAAAAAAATACACTAGGATACCCATGTATATATGTTTAAAAAGTATATTACTCGAATTTGAATTCAAATTTATGAATATGTGTGGATTCAAATGTAAATATTTAGAAATCAGATTAAAATTCGAATTAAGATGAATATTTAGAAATCGCATATCTCGAGATACCTATTCGGGTAATTTTGTATGGATCGACTTATTTGACTTGTAATATGGCCATGTATGTTAAAAGAGTGAATGTTTAATGTAAAATTTTAGAATTTAAATCCTATATATATATATATATATAACATTTAAATAGGATCAAGTGATTCAAAATTGGTTATTTTTGCTCTGCCCTAATTCTGCAATCCTTCTCTTTTCTTGAGACATGACTGGGGACAAGTCACGTGAGGTGCATCGTCAAGGAGAATTCGTCATCGCAGCCAGCCAGCCATGATGCTCTTGACTTGAACCGGAATCTCGAGTGTGATATCGATATCGATATCGATTTCGATTTCGGTTTTCCGTACCATTTTCCGGTTCTAAATATTTATTCCCGGTTCGGCATTGTTGCTCCTCTCCATAATCTGCGCAACGCGACGAAGCGAACCACCACCCCGTTTCCGTCGTCGAAATTGATCGGAAATTCGGCGATGCCTCTCTTTCCGGTGAGTTTTCCGGCGATTTGGTGCTTTCTCAGTTCAATTCTCTCTCTTGATGATTTCTTGTTTCGAGGATGAATTCTTGTCTTTTGCTTGATCATGTAGTTTGGATTTTGTTCGTGTTAAGGTGATGCCGATTCCTCCTGGTTTGTTGGTTTGATTTCTTGCAAATCAACAGTGAGATTATGTAATTACTAAACATGGTGTTCGTGTTAGCTTTAGATCCGAGAGCGAAATTTGCTTCAGTCCGAAGAAGGCCTTGGTGGAGACATCTTCTATTTTTTGTGATTCTGGAATTCTCCGACTCAGTGGGACAAATGTGAAGAAAGGTATTAAACAGAGGTATGATATTAATTGTGCTCACATATGTATTTATAGTGTTACAAAGATTGAGTTTCATCCTGTTGCAGGACTCTTGTGGATTGGTTTCTGCCTGATGGAAAAACTCTACTTTGACTGAAAAGCATTTGAGTCCCACAGCGGGAATCACATATTGCTACACAATGGAGTCTTTATATTGCTTGCACCAAATTGTGGGTTTGAAATACGAGGATAAGGAATTATATGGATCACTAAATGAGTTGGTCCTAAAAAAGAAGAAGTTCAATATTAGACCTCAATCTCGGGATAGGATTTAGTACAGTTGCTTAGTGTCTTTGGATAAGGCACTTAACAATATTGACAGTGGCATGTTGTCTGCTATATCGATCAGTATCAATTTGGTCTTCTGTGTCTGCAAGTATGTGTTATTTTTCCTGTTTATTAACTGGGTAAAGAAGAACTTACCTTTTGCATGTACACTTTTGTGCAGGGTATATATTGTGCTTATTCATGATGGATATTGATAGCCAAACAGACATGGAATTGAGTGGAGATCCTCAGATGCTCCCTCCAACACCTGGAACTTTTGTAGATCGCGAAGAGCTTATCCAACATGTTGGTGAATTTGCTGTATCACAGGGATATGTTGTCACTATTAAGCAGTCAAAGAAGGACAAAGTGGTTGTTCTTGGCTGTGATAGAGGAGGTGTTTATCGGGATAGGCGTAAATCTAAAGATCAGTCCTATGGTGAACCCAGCCGGAAAAGAAAAATTGGTTCTCGCCTTACCAATTGTCCATTTGAATGCGTTGGAAAGAAGGATGATGGTTTGTGGGTGCTTATTTTAAAAAACGGAACACATAATCATGAGCCCATTAAGGATATATCAGAGCATCCTGCTGCTCGGCGTTTCTCTGAGAAAGAAGTTCTGCTTATAAAAGAAATGACAGAAGCTGGATTAAAACCTAGGCAGATTTTGAAAAGACTCAAACAGAACAACCCTGAGCTTTTGTCAACTCCAAAACATGTTTATAACATCAAAGCAAAACTTCGGCAGGGGAACACAACAGGTGCATCTTACCATAGCTATAAAAAATTTATCTGCCAGATCTATTTCCTCGAAAGCATAGTCTTATTCTTTCTTATTCGTTTTGTGAGTCATTTTATTACCTCAATTTATGCGATCTGTGTAGCCAATGCATGACCTCAGGATGATGATGCATTTGCTAGACAGTGTTGCTGCTTTTGTCATGTTCCTAGTTCTTAGTAATTCTTTCCGACCACTGTTTTGAGGAAGAAGAGTTGGAAAAGATTAATTTAAACTGCCTTCTATCTTGGTACCAGATTTTCGTTGTTGCCAATTCTCATATGCATTTTTATTTTTTGGAATTTTCTAGAAAAAGGATTTAATGTGAACGAGGTACTGATTTGTAGTGTCGATTTGATTAAGCTTTACTTTAAGCTCCTTAATTTGGCTTTTATTTGTGATGAATATTGTAGTTTATAAACACTTTTTTCCTTGTAAATATCTTCTACCACATTGTGTGGCAGTGAGGATGTTCAAATCATTGAAGCCCGAGAAATGTGCTGCAAGGAAAAGTCACCTATCAAATACTGAGCCATCTTGGAGGCAGTGCTATCCCCAGGTAAGTTAGAATCGAGTATAATGCAAATCCTAGTTACGATAGAGCCTATGTGCTCCAGGAGAGAACAGATAAATTTCCTGCCATTATTGGAACTCTGTCAAAAATGGGTTTTGACATCTTTCTTTGTTGTATCTCAGAGGATTTCCAATCTTATTGGAGGTAGATTTGTAGATTCGGAGTCTTTTGCATCTATTGATGTCATTAACCCTGTAAGTTCGAGAGATAACTTTTGTTTTCAAATGAGTATCTTTGTACTCAATATTTTTATTATTTTCTCAATCACTTATCACTTTTGTGATAGGCAACACAACAAGTTATTTCTCAAGTTTCTTTGACTACGAATGAAGAGTTTCGAGCTGCTGTGTTTGCAGCTAAACGGGCTTTTCCCTCTTGGAAAAACACTCCTCTTAACATCCGTCAGCGCATCATGTTTAGGTTGCAAGAGCTTATTGAGAGGGACCTTGTAATTTTCTTGATTTCATTTATTTATGTGATTTTGTCTTTCGCTTACATTTTATTTGGACTCTTCAACATATCTTCTCTTGTTATGAGAACCCAAATCGTAATTTATAGGATAAGCTTGCAATGACCATCTCCACAGAGCATGGGAAGCCGTTAAAATATGCATGTGACGATGTGGTACGTGGACTAGGTACATATCTCTCTCCTGAAGTGCTTCTTGATTGCCTTTTTTGGCATGATCTAATGTAGAGTTTTTCCATAGAGGCGCTGGAATACACTTGTGGTCTGGGGTCTCTGCAGGTTGGAGAGTTTGTATCCAATTCATCTGATGGGGTTGATTCTTATAGCACAACAGAGCCACTTGGTGTTTGTGCTGGGATATGCTCCTTTGACTTCCCAGCTATGATTCCATTATGGGTAACCTTTGCAGTGCTTATATTTTTCCATGTCCCTTTTGTAAATGGGCTGTCTTTGGATGGCTTTAAGTGTATAGGTATAGAAAATTAAACAAAATTAGTGGATCCAGTTTCCTATTGTGTAAGGCGTCACGGTGCTCTCTTGGTTCCTTTCCTGCTATCTTTCTTCCTTTCTGTTTCTTTAGCCAACTTCAGGATTGTTTTTCCTTGAGAGATGCGAGATGAGAGAAACACGATCTTTTGATTTAAGGCAGCGGTTTACAATCTATTCTTCTCTCATTAATGTACAGATGTTTTCTATTTCCGTCATGTGTGGTAATACTTACATCCTAAAGCCTTCAGAGAAAGACCCAGGTAATGATAGTTTCTGTTTTGAATAAATTGCAGAATGCATACAACCTCCTCGATCACTTCCAATAATGTTTCTGATGCTAAAATCTTCAGTATTTTGTTTTCCAGACTTAGTAGTTAGTAGACTTCCAGGTCTATTGTTTCTGGTTCACCACTGATCAGGCTAAGATGATAAATGAAAATGTTGTACCTTTGCTTGTTGAGCACCTTGCTAAGGATGAGGCAAAGAGCATGAATGGAATTTAACTTGCTAAAATGATTTGATTCACAGAATTTTCTTTGTTCTTTTCATGTGTTCTCGTTAAGTGTAAGTCTTACATTCTTTTTCTCTATTTACAGGAGCTGCCATGTTGCTTGCAGAGTTGGCAGTGGAGGCTGGGCTGCCCAGCGGTGTCTTAAACATTGTGCATGGTACCAATGTAAGTTCTCTTATTGTTGATTTGACTTCTTTCATTTGTAATTCTTGTTTTTCTTGTAATTTTCCTTTTTTTTTGGTAGGATATCATTAATTCAATATGTGATGATAATGATGTCAAAGCAGTCTCATTTGTTGGTCCAAAGACGGTAAGTTATTGGAACTTATTTTTCCTTAATCTACTGAGAGACTTTAAAAAAGGATATTTTTGTTAAATGAATTCTGATACGAAATCCTTTATTTTTCTTCCTTAATCAGGCCGCTGTCTATGTGCACACAAGAGCATCAGCTACAGGGAAGAGGGTTTTGGTAACTGAGCAAAATCTCACAATTTTTTGCTGTGCACATCATGTCAATTTTTGATTCTTAACTGACATTATTTTCTTGTTGAGTTGTTTTCCAAGTGTAATGTAGGAGGCAAACATCATGCTGTTATCATGCATGATGCAAGCATGGATACTACTGTGGGCACTCTAGTTGCAGCTGGTTTTGGCTGCGCAGGACAAAAATGCGTGGCAATATGCACGGTTATTTTTGTTGGAAACTCAACTCTATGGTATCCATTTTTGTGGTTGATCTAATTCGTAGCCAATGTTTTTACATCACGGGTGTACATTTTTGAGGGTGGGTCTAGGACCTGAGAGTTGGGGATCCTTCTACACCTGCGGTTGGAACCTTGGAGAAAATGTATTCTTTTTCTCCTTCCTCTTGTGTTGGTTTCATATGTCGGTGTATATTTTTTGTGGCCTTTTTGGCAGGGTGGATAAACTAGTGGAGCATGCTAAAGCACTTAGAGTGACAGCTGGTACTGAGCCGTGTGCTGATGTTGGACCTCTGATTAGCAAGCAGGTGGAATCTTTGTTTTGCATCCTTGATTTTCAGATACATAATTTATCTGGTCCCGAGAAAATTGTGAAAACCTGGCTAAATGATAATGGAACTGAATTGACAGGCACAGGAGCGAATGTGTAGATTGATCCAAACGGCTGTTGAAGCTGGTGCGAGATTAGTGCTTGATGGCCGTAACACCATGGTCTTTGCTCTGCTACTTTCCTCTTTGTAAATCATTACCCTGTATAGTGATCTAATCTCGTATTTACCCAACAGGTCCATGGATATGAGCAAGGGAACTTTATTGGCCCTACAATATTAACCGGTGTAACAACTGAAATGGAGTGTTACAAGGTGTGCCAATGTTGATGCCTTTCGATTTTCCAAATATCGGCACGATGAACATTATATAATGGATGTCATGCTTGGACGTATTATTTGATATCGGAAATCTTGGTCGCTGAATGTTCATTACATCTTTTGCAGGAAGAATTGCACGGTCCAGTGCTTCTCTGCATGCAGGTCCCTTTTTTTCCCCCTCGTATTACAGTTCTACAATTTTTGAACTTTTTCGTGTTTTGAAGATCTTATTGGGATAAATCATTATGCAGGTTGACAGCTTAGAGAAGGCCATAGAAATCATAAACCAGAATAAGTAACCATTATTTACCTCACCGAGTAGTACGCATTCCATGAATGAGGAACATATCTGAAACGTGCTGTTTATATTATCAGACATGGTCAGGCTGCTTCAATATTTACGACATCCGCCATGGCTGCAAGAAAGTTTCAAACAGATATCGAGGTTGGGCAGGTAAAGGACTATCTTTTCATCCTGTCCTGTATCTTTGCATAGTCCAATTAATTGTACAAGCTAGCACGAGTTCTTTGCCAATTTATGCGTGAAGCTGTATCTTTTCCGTCGGGGTTTCCTAACGAGAAAACGTGGGTGTGAACAGATTGGTATAAACGTTCCAGCTTCAGCTTCATTCCCATATTCCTCTCTCATGACCCTGAGGCCGAATTTCTCGAGCGACCTCTCTGACGACGGTGAGGCAAAAGCTTTTGCATTTGCAGATGCTTCTTGACATAGCGGACCGACTTAATTTACGGAAAAACTCCGAATGGGTAATGGTGGAAATGCAGGGAAAACGTGGGTAGAGTTCTACACGAAGACGAAGAGAGTGAGACGACAATGGGGAGACTTGCAGATACAGAGTGAAGGAACTTCATCTCATGTTATGGATGCTTTCTGTTGAGAGTGAAGACGACGAGGCTTGTGGTTCATAGAAGTATCCGTTGTTGAATCAGCTTGGTAAGAACTAGGGAATCAATGTATATACATATAATGTAAATTCAATTTAATCTTCCTTGGTCTAAAGCATGGAACGGAGGGAGTAACCTAAAACAACAATGGGAGTATCCGCTGATTCATTTAATATAAAATCACTTAGAATAACAATTATTTTAAAATAAAAATTATTTTGAAAATGTGGAAGTCATTAATAATTTAATGATAAAATAATATTATCATTAATAATTTATTAGAATTTGATAGGGATAAAATTGAAAGTTATTGTAAAAAAATATCTTGAAAATGTAAAATGACAAATATTTTAAAACATGAAAAATAATCTAAAATTATAAATATTTTGAAACGGAGGAATGCAGAAACAATTCGAGCTAATAACATGTTATAAAATTGATCGGTAAAGCATTAAAGGTTAGAGAAATAAATACAAAATAAATTAAAAGACTCGTCTGTAATCTTGGTTTAATATTTCTTTCAACAAAAAAGAGATATATGAGCATTCATTAAACTACTAATATTAAAACTAAAATTGTTAAAATATTAACTTGTGTTTTTTTATAATTGATAACGTTGGTAAAATATGGACAATAAAATTTTCAAAATTTTATATATATTCGTTAGTTTTATAACATAAAAGCCGCAATTGTCGGGAAAAAAGGACAAAAAGAATTGTGAGATTACCAGTAAAATATAAATCGGGTCAACCCGGAAGCGAAAATGGCACTCAAATTCTGAGAGATCGGAGCTCGGATCAGTAAAAAGCCAAAATCTCCGGCATCGGTGATTTCTCCGGCGGCTTCAGTATCATCGTCGTCTCTCTTCGTTAGCTTTATCGATATCCAGCGAGGCAGAAATCGACTGATCTCTCAATTCCTTTCCGATATTCGCCAACGAGGTGATATTTTCTTCACTAATGATTTTGATTTTTTCTCGATCTGGGATTTGTGAGTTTCTCTTTGCGTCGAAGTTAGATCTTAGGGTTGTGAATGTCTATTTGTTGTCTAACTGAAACCCGTTTCATGGAATTGTGGATTCTGTTTGCCCATTTTGTCTGATCTAGCAATTTTGCGCGACTAATCCGTTGAATGTGATCAGTGAAGGTTTCTATGCGTATTGTAGTTTTTCTTTTCGTTTATGTTAGATCTTAGGGTTAGATCTTTGTCTTTGCATTTCTGCTGGAATTTCTCGAAACCCATTTTGTGGAATCCTTGATCTGTTTTGCTCAATTTGTCTGATCTAGCAATTTTGGCTAATCCTTTGAATGTGATCAAGGAAGCCTTTTTGTATGCATTTTGTAGTTTCTGTTTCATTGGATTTAGATCTTAGGGTTCTAAGTGGTGTACGTATTGTCACCTGGAATTTCTCAAAACCCATTTTGTGGAATTACCAGTTCTTTTTGCCTGTTATGTCTGATCTAGCAATTTTCCATGAATATCCATTGCATGTAATTGGTGAAGAATTTTTCAATGCATTCTAGTTTCAGTTTCTTTGCTCGTTTTTTTTATCCTGATGCATTCTCACGGAAATAATTCTCGTTACTGCCCAGATTTTTTTGAGGTTATGGAGATTCAGATATTCAAATTTGAGGGATCTCGGAAACAAATTTATTAATATTGACAAATCTGAGTTTTGCAGGGAGAGAAGAGGACACATACATAAGGGAAAGA